ACTGTTTGTGTTTGAACTCCAAAAAATACTTTTTGTAAATTCTGTAAATAAAGTAATGCTTTTGTTGTTTTTATGAATGACAGTTGCAATTGTCTGTATTGTATTTGTACTAATAAACACTACATTACAAAGTTAATTTGAGCCTGAATCTTTATTTTTTAATATCTGTAAAATGCGTTAAACTTTTTTTTCTACTTATCTTTAAAATGTACTGGTAATCTCCATGAACCAGTAAAGACCTTTAGTTTATTACATGCGGAACATGCTAGAATCATACCTGGTAAACACCATCATGCTGGTGTTAAGATCAAAGTAGTTAGCTGTCATCAAATGTTGTCGTCCTGGGATAAGTGAAATAAAAGATGATTATAATCTGTGTCATATGTTGTAATAAGTTGATAAAAAGCCCCCTCTCAAACACAATAGTTTTCATGTGATTAACTGGGTTTACAGGTTTTACTTCGATAGTACAAATAAGCAAATTGGGAGAACAAATCAAATATTGTGAGTGCAGGGATTAGTATTTCAGGACATGGTTTGTAATTTTACAATTTTATCTTTGATTTTCTGGGCTAGATTCAAAAGAATTTTCTTAAAATATTAGTCAGAGCTGTGGGAAATTGTCACTCAAATAAAATAATCATTTGAAATCACTGTAAGAGGACTGAACGCGGTGGCGTTTGCAGGATTATAAACACCGGTGCTCTCTGGAAAATGAGATTTGGAAACACACCTGCAGTACCATCTATCGCCAAAGAAAATAGATGGATATTTGTGACATTGTAGCTTTAAATTTCTTTACCTACAAACATTTCCATTAGCATCTGAGAAAACATCACAAAATCAGTACACGAGACCAAATAAAAAGGCATTAAAATCTGCAGTGGGAAAATACTTGAAAACTAACTTTTATTTTACTTTGTTAACAAAATACATTCCATATCAAAGACACAATAAAGGCATTTGCAGGGATGCCAGCGTTTTAAGCAAACACAGAGAAAAAACAGCCGTTATTGAACAGTCACTCTAAATATCTGTTGAGTACAAGTCAAACATATCAAAGTATCACAAACATCTGCTAGAAACTATTTCTCTTTCAAATCCGTTAGGAACCTTTGGAGTTATCCAGCATACGCTGATCCATCTGCGTTGAAAATACAAGCGCGCTACTTCCTCTTTCTTGAATAAATAAATGTTTATATGGTGGAGAAATAGCCTTTTGTGTGTGTGTGTCTGTGGGTGTGTATCAGCTGAAGGAGAACCCGGACGCCGGCAGGCCGCCACACCAGTGGCTGATGAACTTGAGGACGTCCTGACACTCTGAACTGTGAGTCGTCTGAAAGTAAAAGATGGACATTAAAAAAAAAAAAAAAACAAGCCTCGAGAAAACCGATTAATCGCACGCTGCCACTGCCGCCGTGTGACGTGGACTCACATCACACGACTCACAACATGAATCACTCATGTTGGTACGGATGATGAAACTCAGTGAAAGAAGTTTAGTCAGTGAGACATCAGACAACTCAGATCCCTTCTTCAAATCTTCTCAGTAAAATCAGGGAGAAGAGTGTAAAGTAGAAAATGGCCCCTGTGACTGTGATGCCGTCACATATAAAATAGGATTATTGTGGTGTTTAATGTGAAAGCACGATTTAAGGCCGATGGTTGAGCTGGAGCTCTCTTGGAACTATTAAGTAATGATTCCTTTTAAATATGGATTAATATGTTGATAATTTATTGATTGTTTGGTTCATAAAAATAGTGAAAAATGTCCCCACAATTGCCCAGAATCCAAAGGGACAACTTCTCAATGCTTTAGTCCCACCAAACCCCCCCTAGATCTACATTAATAACACACCTTCGGCTGTATCTCACCTTTGTGGCCACGAGGAATTTATTCCAGTCTTTCTTGATGGCTACTTTCCCCACAGAAGAGAACTCGATCTTATCTCTCAGCACCGGGTAGCCTGAGAGGAAGCAACAGCGCAGATCCACGGACTATACTGAATATACATGCGAGCATTTGTGGACATCGTGGCACGAAACCATGATGTTCATTTGAAGACCACGGACCTCAAAACATGGCGAGATTTTTTCATTTTGAAATCAGCAGGTGTGATGAGGGAGTGTTGGTGTGTACACGTGTGCCTGTGTGTTGTGTGTGTGTATGTTACCGGTGAGGACGCAGGGCAGAGAGCGGATCCCGGTGTTGGCGGCCACCAGCGAGGCCTCGTACATGTTCCGCTCGTCACGCGGCAGCACCTGCTCCAACCGATTGTCCATGGACACCATCAGCACCCAGTCACGGATCTGCTCCCGCTGCGTGTCCTGCAACACACACACACATATTAAACAGCTTGTTTTCTTTGAAAGCTGATGGTTGAAGTTGAAGCTGCAGCGTTATGTATTGAGCAGTTTAAGGGGAAGGCCGATAAAACAGGGTCCTTCTTGATTAAAAGGGCGCGTTGACTTCCTGCCGCTGTACCCGAACAATCGGGCAGCAACTCGCTTGCATAGCAACTGTTACTGAAATTAGGGATTAAACATGACAATTAACTTTGGTGCGTAATTTGATAACCAAGTAAAAATGTATCTTGAAAAAAACACATTCAGGATTAATAGTTAAAATGAGCAAAAACTGATAAACATATCTTATGAAACACAATTTTTAAACCGGAGAAAAGCACAGATTTCTGTAACTTTTCTGTTTTCAGCACTTGAAGGTGACTCTCTAACACGGTAAACAACGTTCACCGGTGTACAGGCATTTATGTTGTACATATGTTTAGTTTGCTGGTATTTTTTGATTAATTCTACTCAGTACTCTCAGGTCACTGATACTTATTTGCAGGAAATTGACTTCTATGCAGGAATTTATGTTCTGTGGTAAATGATTTTCTTTCACTCATAACGAAACAGCCTCCTCCATCATTTATGGCTTCCCAACAATGTCGGATTTACAGAATATCCCATAAGCAAGCGATGAACGCTCCATTGCTCCTATTCATTCCCCAGAGCTGATTCTTAAGGAGTTTGTCCAGTGTGACCTTACAGTGACGCAGAGTTTGCTGGGAACTGGAACCTCGAAGGGAATGTCGGTGTCCAGGAAGTCCGAGTGGTCCAGTGCGTCCAGCGTCCCCTCGTCAACCGCCTGGAGACAGAAATCGTCCCAATCAGCACAGAGACCTGACCCACGGGCAAACTGTCGAATAACCAGGGGAAGCATTTGTCCTCCCAGAGGAGCTGCGATGGTTCACTCACGTCACACAGATCCAGGAAGTGATTGAGGAAGATAAAGGCCATGTTCTCCCAGCCGACATCCTGCCAGGTTACAAAGAAACAGTTATTTCATGTTCATCCGGTACTCAGGTTCATGTATTAGTCAGAGGAATGGGCATTGTCTGGCAAATGTTTATTGGCGGCGATTCAGGTGACACATATGAAGCAATTTTGTGACGGGAAGTTGGTATTTTTCAGCAAATTTGCACGACATCTGGGAATTTTAGTAAAAGATTGTAACACAGGGGATTATTTCATTATTTCATTTCAGCAGCAGCGGAGGAAGGATTCCGATCCTTTAATTGAGTTAAAGTACTCTACTACAAGTAAAATTCCTGCATTCAAAACCTTAAATAAGTAAGATTAGACAGGTATTATGAGCAGGATGTAGGTATGTGCATGTTTTACTGTTACATTCTATGTTTCTGGATTTATATTCCTGCTACCTTCATGTATGTGTTGCTGCAGATGAACTACTAAGGAAAGCAGCCAGATCAATGTAGTGGTATAAAGGTACAACCTAGCCTGTGTCATGGAGTACAAGTACAAGCAAAAAGTGGCATTAAATGAATATAATTACTCGGAAGTTCCTAAAACTGTACTTTACTTGGATAAATGTACTTAATTGCATTTCAATACTCGGACAGTAACGACAAACTGAACTGAAAGGAGCATTTATTATCTGAGAACACAGGCTGCATCCTGAAGTGTTCCTCTTTGTTGGGTGGACTCACCCTGCAGGCCAGGCCGGCCTCGTAGAACGCTTTGTCTGCAGGAACGAGCTCAGTGTGACGCAGCAGAGACACGGACAACTTGGCTGCCAGACTGACCTGCAGGCAGAGGGAAGCTTTGGTTTAGAAAAGATAAAGCATCTTTCACAGGTTTTTTTGGAACAATGGAACATTTTGGAATGTTACGCTTTTGTTGAATAAATACTGACAATATTATAAAGTTGTTTTTTAGATGCGCCGGCCCTCACTGTTACTGAACACGCACAGGACAAAAAACACAAGAAAATAATAAATAGGGGGAAAAGCGCAGATGCAGACTGAACATCTTTTGTCTAATAAATGGCCTCAGTGTTCCTGTGCTTGGCGTACCAGCTGAGCGACTCCTTTGGCGGCAGATCGTGTGGCGTAATAGTTGGCGATCAGCAGCATCTGCTCGAATTCTTCGTGAGCTGGAGAGTTGGCTTCTGCCGACCGGGACATGTTCTCACACTGAAATCACACACACACACACACACACACACACACACAAACAAAACACATGCATCACAAAAATAGGTTGACAGTTGAGGAATATTAGGAAATTCACTCCCCGTAATTTGTAGGGGAGTCATTCTCCTGATGTCGTTTACCAGCTGCAGCAGGAAATTGCGAAGGTCGGCCCACATCTGGTAAGACTCCGGTCCGTCCGTGTCGGGGAGGTTAATCAGGTCCAGGAACAGTCGCTTATAGATGTTAAAGTTCTAGGATTAAGATAAGAAATACAAAAAGGCAACACATTAACATCTGATCTAAAATGATGTTGTATTTATACAGGTGTGTTTTTCAGACCATAACGGAATCCAGGCGCTAAAATATTCAGGCAGCAGATCGGGAAGTGTGAGGAAAACGCGCTCATGGAAGTGCGGTCACACCCTACCTGAGGGTTGGGTGGCGCTCCGTGCTGGACGTAGAGCTGCAGAGCCTTCGGAGCGTCTTCCTCCTGGATGAGGTGTGAGGCGTACAGAGCGACGTACTTATGGAGGATCTTAAAGTTCTGACGAAACACAACAAGGGCGATGATGATGATGATGTCGAAGATGAACACGAGAACTACTGTTTACAGGTCTTTTTGTGTATTGGACAACTTTATATACGTCCTGTCTAACTACGAATGGAAGGTTTGGTTCCGGTGAGCATTACTTAAAGTTAAAAATCATTAAAACGTCTCGTGCAGCAGCTTACAGCTTTAGGAGTCAGGTTTGCGCATTCAGTACCTGTTTAGAGGCCGTCTCCAGACATTTGTCCCACTGGCCTCTGTCTGCATACATGTCCAGTGCTGCCATGACATCCACGGCCACCAGCTGTGAGACACACCCGCATCAAAATCAAAAAGTGTAAATATTCAATATTTCACATCCGGCTTTGTTCACACAAGTACAATGTAAACTTTACAGCTTCCACGCATGCTGCAAATACTGATTTGTTGAACAAGCAGAAATGATGTAAATCTTAGTAAAACACACACACAAGCAAACAAGGTTTAAATTAGTGAAAGATCAAAGATAATCAATCATATTTCCGATTGGTTCACTTCCTCTGCAAGGTAAGCGAGTAAGGCATGTCTCGTATTTTGCTGACAGTGGATTCTTTCCCAACTAGGTCCTGAGCTACATTGCGTTAGACTGATTGTATGGAGATATTTCCTCAACAAAATCATACTCGTTGGATCCGGTATGTGCGTAGTCGTACGTACAGTGTCAACTTTGCCTTGGTTCTTAAGGTACTCCTTGTATTTGTGGTCCACATAGTCCTCATACCTGCCAAAGAGATCCCGGAAACAAGATATAGAGCAGATGTTAGAGGAGAACTCCAGTTATTCTCAGCTAGAGACAATTTGCATGAAAGTAAGTATCATGTATCACATTAAAAATATACACACAAACTAAAGAAATATGCTATCTGTGTTTGTGCAGAAGCACTCGTTTTCCCTAATCATTGCACAATGGAGTAGCAATGGAGTAGCTACAAAAGAATGACATCATCGACCTAAAATGACTCCTGGGAGATCACAAAGCTCCACTTATGACAAATCAGAAGGGCCTCAACTGTGAACCAACCCAGTCACCAAAAGAGCGTCGACTTAATCCTTTGCAGTTACTGTCCCATCGGACGCCAATTCACATATTGGTGGTGTCATCAAACGCTTATTTTATGTGTTTATTATGTCTTCCATTGCACATAAAAAAATGTCATTTAACAGATGCAGTGGAGTAAAAAGTACAATATTTAAGTATAAATGAGCAGGGCACGTAGATACTACTAGTGTTAATGTACGAGGTTGGTACTGCATGTGTCTGTGTCTTTAGACCTGGGCTCCAGCTCCTTGGCCACTCGCTTGGCTTTGTTCCATTCATGGCCCTCAATGAAAACGTCGATCGCCTCTTTGATGAGGTTCATGTTCAGGTAAAGCTCAGCAGCCTTCAACGCAAGAAAACAACAAGACAATAGGAGAGAGAAATCGAGCAAATTAAAAACCCAAAACGCTGAACCCGGCTCATACGAGCAGGAAGTGGCGCGCTGACGAGTTCACTCACGGCGTTGTACTTCTTCAGCGTTGTGAGCTTTGGTCCGACCAACCGGATCACCTCCACTGCTCGATCTCCGCTGAGGAACTTGATGGACAGCTCTGCAGCCTGGATACACACACACACACACACACACACACACACACAAAGACACATTAAACAAACCTTTGTTCACCAGAGTATGTCTTGTTTGGTCTTACACAAAAGGTATATGAATAAATATTTGTATAAAAAAGTATTAAAAAAGATATACATTATTCTAACCTGAGGTACTCTGTCCCTCTGCAATCTGCTTAATATTATGGGGTGTCAAAATGAATATAATAAAATGGAGAAGAAATAATGCATCATGTATTATCTCTAAGAAATTGTGAACAGTTGGGAAAGAGGGAACATTGTTTTATTGGTCAGTAAGTAGTAGAACTATCACGGGACAAAATGTATCCGACACTTTTTTACATATATACATAACGAGAAGGCTAAAAAACACATAAATAATCATGATGAAGTTTTTTAGCACAGTGCTGCGAAACACCACTTACTTTTCCTTCATTTCTTTTTAAAATGAAGACTTATTAGTTTTACTCTTTTCTGTCGTTTGAATTTTAATATTGAGGTTAATATTGAGCTGTAGGCATTCAAAATTTTAGTTTTCAAAAAAAAAAATCTTCCATCAAGGAATTGTTAAGACAAAAAGTCAAAAAACATTCCTATTTTCAGATTGCATATGAATAGATACAGCAGCCAACAATCCCAGGTGGATCCAGAGAATAGTTATTAAGGGTGCTTGATTAATAACTCAGACGGATGCTGTGTAACATATGTGGCCAGTGACCCCTTAAATTAAAGCTTTTGTTTTTGGAACCACGTTCTGAAACCATTAATCGACTATGAAAGTATTTGATGATTAAGGCTCAGCCTTACGTGGCAGTAAAGGGAGCTTTATTCATGCGCAGTGGATCCTTTACCTTCATCCAGCACTTCTCCATCAGTGCAGCGTCGGCGTCGTCCTTCACCTTCAGGTAACACTCCACGGCCCGGGAGTGTTCACCTGACTGCTCCCACTCCTTGGCCTGTTCCAGCAGGCCTTCCACACCTCTGAACCCACGAATAAACAAATGCATTTAGTTAAAGGGTTCATTTTCTGATTTTAAATTAGCACGTCAAATGAGCAAAGATGCATTATTACGTGTATTATAAGATCTGAAGGATAAACTCCTGATATATTGGCCAATTGGCAACAATGAGTGGGCATTTTGCTTTTATACATCCCAGAATCAAAGGGATTAGGCCCACGACTATTGCTGCTCTGTCACTTTTCAACCCGATATCAAAAGCGTGATATCTTCCACCAAAAGCCTACAATGCACCTTCGACCTCAACTTAATTGGACTTAATTCTCCTAAGAGAACAAATCGCATTTCTTTGACCATGTAACAATGCATTTGACTGCCTACAACAGATAATATTCTTTCCATGAATGCACCTTAAAACAAAATCAATCGATTAAAAATAGTGTTCATTAGCAGGATTATTTCAATGTGCAAAGTTTGTTTGCATTAAACATTCAATACCTCCCTGATCAATAATTCCGTCATCTTTCATCTCTGATCATTTTCCTTATTAGGTATATATGTATCTCCTCAAGAAACAGGCTCTCTCAGCGCTCCCACTTTGGCTAAAAGGCAGAATATTTGTAAGTCAACAGAACACTCATTCAAAGAGAGCTCACTCACAGAAATCATATCCACAGTGCCCCCTTTTGAATTAGGAAGGATATCTACTCCCCCCTTGTTCCTTTTGTCATCTCACTCTTTTCCTTGGCCTTACTTTCATTACTCATCTTAAAAAAGGCTTCAAACTACAATTTGACCATGCTTTGCAGATGCTATGAAGCCTTGACTGATCTGGAGGCTGAGCTGTAAACTCTGCAGCAATAATTCAGTGTGCTCTGACTTTAACCCTCTCCTCCCCGCTGGTTTCCATTGGTAACTTTTGATGTTTGCTCCCACAAGTCATTAAAGCGACGGGAGGAGGACGAGAGCCCCTGCTGCTTGGTCCGCCGGCTAACGAGCGATTCCTCCCAATGTGGGAAAATACATGAGCTGTGTTTCAATAAAGCATCAAACTGACTCTTTGTGCATACTTTGTGCTGCGGGCGGTGGGAGCCTTTGAATGTTCATAGCGGGGTTTGTGGTTCCCCCCACTGACTTTTCAGAGGTTTCTTAACATGAAAAGGTCAAAGAAAATACTATCTTGAATGAACGTAATGTCTGTAATCCTAAACCTGTGATCTATAATCACAATTACCTCTAAACAAGGTTCACAAGGATCTTGCTAATGTGGTAAATATAATTAAAGGTATAAAGATACATTTTTATTTCTTAAAATTTCGGACCCCCTCAACTAAATGACAAGAAATGAGGCCCATCAATTTCTTGTACTTTTGGGTGTTAATCTCACCGGATTCCCTTCTTGGAGGTCTCCTCCTCGTACTCCTCTTGGAGCATGGAGAGCTTGTTGGGGAGATACTCCTTACAGATCCGCATGGCATCACTCCACAGGTCTGCATCCTGGTGAACCGACAACAAATATGGATTCAATAAAAAAAGATCTGCCCAAAAGCTGGGAGGGTTAAAGTCTATGATAAAGTAATGGTATGGCTCTCATAGCTACCTTGTAATATTTAACAGCGAGTTCGGGTCTCTGGGCTCGGAGCAGGAAGGCTTCAGCCTTCAGGAAGTCTTTCTGTTCAAAGCAAAACTTGGCTTGGCTGACCAGGATCTCAGAAACGGTGTCTGGATCGTGGCCCTCCGCCACCCGCTGCGCACTGGCCCAGTCCTTGTTGTGGATGTACCTGGAGCACATAGACACACGCTCAGAAACAGCTGTTTGAAGAAGTGCTTGAGCTGACAGTTTACATTCACTCACATGAGCACGGCTTCTTTGGGTTTTCCTGCCTTGATGAACTCAACCTCGGCCTCCGGAAACTTTCCCTTTAAGGTGATGATAAATATAAGAAGTAAACACAACTTACTATTCTCGACATGAGCAGAAATTAAATTTGCAATAATTATCAATGCAATGGTCAAATTGACACGACTGAAGACAAGAGATGTATTATTGGACATTTTTGGTTTGATGCTAGGAAAAGGAAATCTTGACATATTTTGTGGAAAGAGAGAATCTAGTTATTTCATAACTAGAATGATGGATGGATTGCAGAAGATGCCAACCAAGCACTGCCCCAGGGGCTTTAAGAGGGTAAAACGGATGACCAGGAAGGAACACAAATCCACAGGAGGAGTAACAAACACAACAAAAACCCTCTAAACGGGTATAGAGTCGGTTTTAAGTGGTTGGGACTTTGGCACTTAACATAATTCACATAATTCCCCCCAAGGACAGAACTAAAAAGAATTTCCCTTCAGGTTAAATAAATATTCTGTCGGACTTCAACTGCAGCAACTAACCAGTTTTGCAGCTGGAAGTAATCAGTAAAGATAGTGTGGTGTGTGGAGGTGAGACTTAAAATAAACCCACTGATATTACTAATGTTCACCAAGGAATTGTACGCAGCAGCTCTAGGAATGCTTTACCTCATCTTCCAGGAATATGGCGTGTTTGAGATGGATCTCAGGGATCTTTTCCTTGTTGGAAAGGCGAGCCAAATCTAAGGCAAAGTCAAATGAGCTGGGGGGGCAAACGAAGAGGGAGAAATAAAGTCAGGTTCCACCTTACAATCACTGTCTGTGGGACAGTTTTATTTTGCAAAAGTAGTCAGTGTGAGCTTAACAGAGCGAGCTGGTGGACGTCAAGACAAAACACATTCTGTCTCAGATATCAGCTACAATGCCCTCGTGACTTACTGCATTCGTCCCCGTTTCTTTATAGGGAACTAGTGACTATCACGACTGAAAAAGGTTTGGATGCACATTTTTTGGAAATATATGTTGTTTAAGAAATATATACATATTCTTAAACAGCTCACATAGGTAAACAAGCCCATTCCAACAAATGTCATGAAAGAAACATGTATTTTTAAACTTAAAGCTTTCTTAAAATATAAGTTTTGTAGCAATGAGTTTTCTCAGATAACATTTTTATTTTGAGATGCTGACCCTTAGTTATCCTCGTTCCACACAACATTGACTTAAATGATCCCCTTTTTGTCTTTTTTCATCACTAAGCGAGAATGGGCCTTCATGCATCTGACTGTGGGTGTTGTGTCGTTGTGCAGCTCACAAGTTATTTGAAGCGAACTCAATGGCGTATTCCAGGAGGCTGAACTTGTTGAGCAGCTTGACGGCCGCCTCTCCTCCCAGGCTCCGAGCCCACAGGTAGGCCACCTGCTTCTGGGCTGCAGCCCCTCCGTGGCTCTTAGCCACCTGACACGCACAAGCATATGGGTAATTATATATATTTATATATATCCTTGTAGGAGTCCTGCGGCAGCGTGACACCCTAACTCCCTCATCACATATAATCCCAGTGAAAAACATTTGACAGAAGCTGTAAAGTCGCCCTGCGCTCCCGAGCGCAGCAGCAGTAAAGACGCTCGACGCTCGTAAACAACGCTCTCTTTTTACTTAAGGCCTCCTATCGGATGAAGAGGAAATCGGATAAATGGCTCGTGATGCAATATAATACAGTTATATGCAACTTAAGGAACATATGAAGTGTTGTTTATGTTTTTGTAAGCAATTATAACTTCAGTTTTTTATTGTTGTTGCATGGATACGGAGGGACAGCAATGGACAAACTAATGCTATTGTAAACATTAGTTGTTTGGAACAAAGTTGTAGGCTTTAAAATGACATACAATTAGAGTTCAAACATTTGCAGTGCAAAACCCAACATTGCGACAAAATGCTGCCAAGGCAACAAAAGCAAATACCTACCCTGTATGCTTCCTCCCACATATCGTTGACTCTGTACATGTGGACAGCAGCTTTCCACTCTTCAGCCTCTATGAAGTGGTACTCTGCCTCCGAGAACCTGGATTCAGCCTCCAACTCCTACAAAATACATTTAAACCACACACGTCATGCACAGAACGTGCACATCAGGCAGAGTAAGGCGGCACTAAACACCACGATTGTTTATCTAAATACAGAAAAACACCTAAAGGCAATAATCTGATAAATAAATGCCCAAAGTACAATTCACGCACCCTCAGCAGTACTCTTTCAGTGACATGGCCAGAAAAAAAATGAACAGCTGACAAAAGCCAGAGAACCTAACTGGGCAAATCATGAAACTGTATTTGATTTCTTTGAAATCGTATTTGACAAAACTATCAGGGGATTAAAAGGGTTTAAAGTCTCAGAGCGTATCTCGACACAACTAAACGATGAGGGGTGGAATGTGACAAAGTACATTAAACTCACTAAGCAGAACAATTACATTCTGCTGGTTGTAAGAGACAAGAACAACTACAACAAGAAGAACAACACATAAATAGCCATATTGTTGCTGGTGGTCTTGTTTGCTTCTGTGGGTCGTACACAGGCATCAGCATTACATTGAGACTGTTTCCGAACCACTTTAAAGCTCCTTGTAGTAACTTTCAGTAAAATATTTGAGTACTTCTCCCACCACTGCTTAAGGTTATGATATTAGACACGTGTGTCAGCTGGATGTCTACATAAACGTTTTGATTCACAGGGTTTTAGAAATGTCTAATTATCGTAATAATGTAAAGCTCTACGCAATATGCACATGTTAATTGGATAACCACAAAACTGTGAACATTTGTCAGCTATTAAAAAAATAGAAATTAAAAAGAAAGAAATGTGACTTTGCTGTAAGGTTGGAAAAACTCGAAAGAGCCTTTCAACATGGAAAGGATGAAGTTGCTGAGCGGTGCAATAATGAGACCAAGGCATAAACAGTCCTTCTACCACTGACAATGACAACCGTGGGTCTGTGGTTCATTACTGTTGAGGTAGTTGTGATGTCACTTTCCGTGACAATTGGTCTTGTTGTGCATGGCGCTGAAAATAATGTGTCGCTTCTCCTGTGTCAACTATGTGGTGCTAGAAAACTTATGCTAATCATGCGTCATGTGGAATTTGGGAATGACTAGTTACAAAAGCATCCTGTGTCAAATGGCATTGTCTTTGCAATTTTAATATGTTAGAAACGTATGACTTTGTAATCTCAAAGAATGTCACAGTTTGTATCAAGTTGAGAGATTTCTTTTTTTCCAAAATTGACAACTATAATGTCAGTCAATACCCCCCAAATGTGTTGTTTAGAATAAAAAATGAGATATGTGTCATATGTGATTCCGCGTTCTCTCCGATCAGAATAATGTACCTTGGCCAGGTGCACGCGGGTCTCTGTGAGCAGGTCAGGGTGATGTTTAGCCACCAGGCGAATGACATCGTCAAACATCCGGTTCTTCTTGTACATGGTTATGGCGAGGTCAGGCTGCTTCACTGTGGCAAATAGCCTGCAAGTACGAAATACTTCAGTCAGGACATAATAACCAGTCAGTCAGTTCGACTGAGGGTCTGAAAGTTCCACCTGTCCATCGTTAAACCGTTTTCCTTATTATTCTTTCTGTAATTACTGCAATACATGGCCACTTTATTTTGCTCCGCTACATTTTCATGCTCCAGTCGGCCGGTGATTGAACCAATTACTATAAATAAATCTCCAATTACCTCTCGGCCTCCTTGAACTTCCCATCTCTCTCCAGTTCCTGAGCTCTGCTGATGTACAGAGCCATGACCTCCTCCTCCGTCATACACTCCACTGCCAACTGCAACAGAATGCACCCAAAAAACGACCAGGGCTTTTTGTTTTATAGCTACACAAACATTCACAGGATTATCATCTTTTAATTAATTTACAATCCTGTAAAATTGTATGTTTTTATTATTGCTTTAATTTAATGTGTCTTAATACAATTATATATATATATATATATATATATATATATATATATACATATATGTATATACATACATACACACTATATATATTAGACAAAAAATGAACTAATTAATCGCACATTTATCGGAGTTAATTGCAATAAATGTGCAGTTGCGTTAAATGCGTTAAAATATTTTATCGCATCAATCGCTGCCACACTAATCGCAGTAACACGTTAATGTTGACAGCCCTAACATTATACATATATATATATAAATATATATAAAAAAAATATTTAAAAATATATATATATATATATATATATATATATATATATTTTTTTTTTTTTTTTAAATATTTGTGTAGTTTTCAGGCATACTGACCTTATGAGCCTCTTCCCAGCGTCCCGCTGTGGTGTACATGTCTATAGCATCCTTGAGGTGACCTCCTTTCACAAACAGTTGCTCTGCCACCTGCATGCCACAAACCCATGAATTACATAAGATCTAAACATAAAATGGCATATTTTACATTCCTTGAAAATGAAATACAAAAAAAAAAGTTTAGCCTTCTGACACATCCACAGTATATCAATAAATTACAATTGCATTCCTGCAGGATAAAGAGAGTAAACAAAAATCATATATGAAGCTAATTTAAGAGTGGCTATCTCCACTGTGTTAATGGCAAAATTCAAGAAACTTTGGGCAATGAAAGGAAAAGGGAAAAATTGCCAGGCAAAGGAAAAAGGTATTTTCCATGAAACCGCTTTCTAACACAGAAGCCAATGTACGTTTGGCCTTGGCAATTATAAACACGTTAAGCCATTGTTTTCTTTTGAGATAATTTCTGCAATGACATCACAGGTTCGAGCTTCCTCCATTGTTTTAGTTTGCACTGAATTATACTTTCCGGCAACTTCTGCAAGTTGGAAAGCAAAGAGCCTGTTATCTTAATTACTTTCTGTGAATGTGCCCATTGAGCAAACAGACTGAAATGGTCGGCTATTTTCAGAGGCTGACAGTCTGTGGAGGCTGTTTGGCTCAGCTGCGCTCATCAGCATGAGCAAAGCACCATCATCATCATCATCATCGTCGTGTCTCTTATTTTTCTCTTTTCTTTGTATTCACACCAGATTTCCCCTCTTCTTTTAAGCTGTACTTTTGGCAACTGCTATGACGATCCGACTTGTCATTATTGCCAAGGCCCCTTGAGCAGACACAGCCCACACTGCTCCATGGAGACCGAGCTAAATCGGATCCAGGGCTCTGTCTTCATGCTTGGAATGCGTGCGTATACTGTACTGTTTGTGTGTGTGCGCTTGTCCTGGGTGACCGTATGAATTCTAGGGGCGATTTGCAGAAATGACTTGCTGATGGCGAAATGTCACTGGCTCCTTCCTCCCTCTGGTGGCCTCTAACTCACTGTCAGCTGTTGAGTTCAGGGAGCGAAAACGAGTCGCCGAACCACAGACGTACCTCCCGCCTCCTCTCTCACCTCGTAGTCCTGCATGGAGGCGTAGTACTGAGCTATCTTCACGTAGTATTTCACTGCTGATGAATCTTCCTGCAACTCCAGGATGTGGACGGCTTTCTTCCACTGGCGCGCAGCGATGGCCGCCTCGGTGGCTTTAAGTGAGCAGCTGAGAGTGGACCGGAGAGTGACAGCAGAGAAAACTTAAGTGATGTCTGAATGCTTTTTCACTCACCTCACCTTCCTAACATCTTCTCTATTAGCTGCAGCTATGCTGTACTATATATTATGTTTTACTATATCCCTTTTCATAAATATTTAATATTATCCTAAACAGTGTTAATATGTTACATTGTATGCACCATATTGTGTGTCAATAAATACAAAAAATGAGTGTGACTGCGTAATCATATTTTCTGCTCTACCAGTCCTGTAACTTTATGATGTCATTTTGTCACCACAGGCCCTTGTGTATTTCTATTCTTGTTACATCCCCCCGGGTTGAGATCATGCATTTGGTTGGATGTGTGTGTCTGTCCACAGCTAATTTTGAATGTGTGTGACTGTTTAATCAAGGACCACTTGTGACTAGGGGGACGTACAATTAAATTATTTTTTACAGCTATAAAGATAATGAATTGCCCCTCGGAACTGGCCAGAAGGGGCCACAAGCACTGTTGAAGTAGTTAAACCCATTTATTTTGTTGCAGGCTACATGTTCTCCAGAACCTGACGATGATAGAAAAGGTTGGTCTACTTTTGAACCGGAGCGTGTGCAGAGTTTGGCAAAACAGGACATGAAGTTTTTTCTCATCCTCAGCAACATCTTGGCTGTAAGGGAGAGAGGGACAACTGAATGAGGCTCCAGTGAGGTTCCACTTTTTGTTTGGTAGGCGAGAAACACCTTGTGGACGATCTACACTCTTCTGTGTTGGTTTTTGTAGTTCTATCCATGTTCTAGTTCATGTCCCTTTATTATTTATTTATGCTACTTTCTACATCCTTGCACTGCTGCAACGACAGAACTTCCCCTCTGGGGATCAATGGAGGTTTATCTTATCTGATTGTGTCGCTCCGATGACAAAGCCCAATTGAATTGTGAAAAGTAAATTTACTTTGGTTAGGATTTAAGTTAAACCTAATCATTTTATCAAGGCCAGCCCAGATTAAAACTTTTTCTGGCAGCAGAGAGTTGTGTGGACAATTTTACCCACAGTAAAAATTCTGCTACTCAACATACTCAACGGGAAAAGAATCTGGAAGATCATCATGTTTAAAGCAATCTATTATGGTCCTGGTGATGATTAAAAGACTCATTGGCCGTCCCTAATGTTTTTATTTATTTATTTTTTTGAACGTGTCATCTTTCCTCCTCTCCATCTGCCCAAAATGTCGTCCCTGCACTCCTCTACGCTACATACCCTGCTTCAATGAAATGGTTGATGGCGGCGTCCATCTGTTTCTGCTGGACCAGGTAGTCTCCCCAGGTCTCCTCCAGTTTCACCACCTCAGCGGGGAATGCGAGGCGAGCCAGCTCCACCGCTACAGGGAGCAGAAACTTTATTTAATATACTGAACCTACACTGTGGTGTACACCCGCACTCAATTCAACCTCCAACGGTTGTTGTCCAAAATCTTGTCACAGGAAAATTGATTATGCCTTTTGTAGTTGAAAGCAATACATACTCTACTTGTGTCAAATGTACGACCAGCCATGACGGCTGCGCTTCAAGCCGAAGGCTGACATCAGCATGCTAGCATTGCTCAAACTGGTAATTCTAATATGCTACTGCCAGGTTCCTTCTCTTAGGTTAGCATGTTAGCATGCTGATGGGAACATCATTAGTTTTGCAGGAAATTGGTCTTGCATGAAATTGGAATTTTGTTCTAGAGCTTGACAATAGGGTCAGAAGACCCAATGAATCCATAAATGTATGATCCAAATAGTGTTGCAATCCATCAAATGGTTATAGGGATAATCAGACTGGACCAAAGCAGCAGACCGATCAATCGACCCCCTAAAGCTGCTACCATAACAACTAAATCAACATATTCCAGATATAGGGTTAGCGTTTTCATGCTATCAACTTATTATTGATTTACCTTTCCTGAAAGCACCTCCTTTGCAGTAGCACTCCAAAGCTCTCTGGTTGTTTCTTATGGTCTCATACAGATCTCCTGCCTGGTCAGAACACACAGAGCGTATCAATTTATGAAGAAAATTGTTTTTTGGGTCAGTGTCGTTGGGAATGGCAACTATACTGTCGAAACAAGGCACATAATGGCACAAAATGTTAGGCACACTTTTGGTCCAGGCTTCTTTTCAAGGGGTTGTATTAATATTCATGCTGACGGGGTCCAATCGCACGAAGCAAAGTCCATGAATAAATAGTTTAGCCACTTTGGGGTTAAAGAACGTGACCGGCCTGCACAAAGCCTCAACCCCCAGACCGGATGGCTCAACATCACCGTCTGACCACTGGTTCTTTTGTGGCTATCCTTCCCAGATTGGATGTTGTTATAGCATTACATAAAAAACCCATTACTTTGGAAAGCAATGTTCAACTATCAATCACATATGGGTGTAATATCTGGCTGTCCACACACTTAATTCACTTAGGTCAAACACTTCTTCAACAACAGAATGCACAACATGTGATAAGCCAGCATATACGCCAAAATATACAACATGTCGACCTTCAGACACCGAAACTGATGGGATCCAACACCATCAAAACGCAGCGACACATTTTGTTCTGAAGTCTCGTTCTCTCCTTCCCACTCGTCACGTAAACACAGATGGCTCCAGGAGGAGAACTGTGTTCTCAGACAAACAGCTACAGAAAGACACGTAGAGAAATAACAGACAGATGGAGGAAGACAGGGTGTAAAACTGCCACAAAAAAAAACGGAGGAAAAAAAGCTCCTCCGCTGATACCTTTCCTCTCCTGGCGTTAGTTAGGAGAGGAAAAGAGCATGAGGCGACAGGATGAGAATCACCGGTATGGAATACCAGCTGTGATACATTCTGCAATAAACAAGTTAGACGGATAGTAAAGAACAATACGTCCCACCCACCCTCTCGTAAAACTCTCCTTTGATGAGACTGGCGGCGATGCGGCCGACGGTGTCGCTGTTGTTGGTGATCTGCGCGTGGCCGATGGCCAGCCGGGCGGCTTTAGCCGGCAGTCCGGCCTTCAGGTAGAGGTTGATGGCCCCCTGGAGGTCTCCCTCGCTCTCCCTCACCTCGCCGGCCTTCTCGTCCTGACCCGTCTCCGTTAACCACTGGTAGTGTCTCCCGCGCAGGCTGTCCAGCTCCGGGTGGCCCTAGCAGAGCCATTTGGGGGAGAAACGGTGGGGTTTGTTTCTGCATTAGGCATCCACGGATGGACGGATCCAAGAGCGCAGAAATCACACCCAATCATTTTCTGAACTGAGGAGAATTTATTCAAGATGTATTGAACATGTGACCACAGAAAAGGTTACAGGTTACAGTAGATGGATGTATCCTCACACCTGTGGAAGTTGCCGGTGTGTTATACTGAGTGACACTATAACAAAGGGGAAAAAACCCACAGCTCGCCCGTCTTCCGGACCCGATTAAATTAAGGGGCGCCCGGCGTCATGTGATATGGGCCGTGCTGTACGAGTAATGGACCTGTTCTTTAAGGTCTGACAGTTTGGAGTTGGGGAGGTCTATCATTTTGTGGTGTGATGCATTTATATTTGTCCCTATAGGAGGCGGTTACAATGGAGAAGAAACAGAGGGCACAGTAGAGGAGAAAGGGCTGGATTATGCTCTGGTAGAGCAGCAGCGGAAAGCGGGGTGCAACTTCATGAAAGTATTGTCAGTCTTGTCGACAGCAATGTTTATGCCAGTATGGAAGGAACATCAGAATGTAAAACGCATAAGTATAAATTTAGTCTCTGCGTTATCACCTTTGCTTCAGCCACGGCAATGCAGTCGTCCCACATGTGGAGCTCCTGGTACATCTCTATCGCTTCATCAATGGAATTCTGCAAAAAAAGAGATGATGGGTGCTGACAGTGCTGCAAATAATAAAGCAAGTACAGTCATTTGCCAAGAGTGGCTGATCTGGTGAACTCAACCGGGGAATTGTAATTGATAGGTAAACTATCTGAGCAATCACAGGTGTCACCAACACAGACTGGACAGAAGATAGTGGTTTATGGATTTGAATTCAAAAGGAGTTTTGCCACAACTTGCTGTTAAGAGTGCACCTGCAATTAATCCTTCCTAATTTCTATGAATATACATATTAGAAGTGTATACGGGGCATGTCTCCAACCTGCTCCATGTAGTGCATCTCAGCCAGTTTAAAGTTCTTATCCTGCATCGCCACGCGGGCTTGGACTTTGAAAAACGCTGTTCCATCTCCTCCCTGGTTAAGAGAGAGAGACACACACACACACACACAAACACAGACTTACTCCTGTGATCCCTTTAGTTTGTTTAGTTTTATGAAATTGTGTTGCATATATGGCCAGTTCTGTGATATGCTGCTGTATTTTTATCTTTACCATTTCCTGTGAAACCTTGTCGGCGATCTCGTTTGTTTGGTGGAGGAAACGCAGAGTCGAGACGTCCCCCAATGCAGCAGAACACCTAAAAAAGAAAGAAAAGAGAAACGAAGATATGTTTCACCTTATTGAACTAAGATAAATTAAAGCTTTTGTCTAATTAGCCTTTAGGCAGCTGCAGTCTGAGGAGCGGCAAGATAAAAAGCCTTGTCTTAGCATTTTGCCACTTTATTACCAACTCTCTCTGAACAGTTGCGTCAGATTAATTTCCGAGCCATGAAAGTAAAAAAAAAAAAAAAAAAGAAGTTGGAAAACTTCTTCTGTCTGACTCTTTCTCGCTTGCCTCCATCCCTCATTAACATCCCTTCCCCCCCTCATTAACATTATACACCTCAGACAGAAACGCCTTCCCTCAATTTCATGATTTATGCAGATCGGGGGCCTAATGACTAGCATGTGCATTATTAATGACAGAGAATTCCCATTTTTCTCAAAACAGAGAAAAATATGAAGAGCGGATGCTTAGTATTTAAAAAAAACTGTCTTTGATGTTTAAGAAGTTAGAGATGAAGGTCAAGCAAGGAGACGGCTCTGTGCACGTGTGTGTGTGTGTGTGTGTCCAAAAGCTTTTTTATTCCAGGTGACGAAGGTGCCCTTGTTGTTTCCGTTCTCTTTAGTCACAGAGATAAGCCTCACGTTCAATCTAGATAGAATCAATTTTGAGTGTGTGTGTGTGCGTGTGCGTGTATGTCCTTTTACAGCTACTATTACGAGGACCAATCACAGACAAGTTTGAGGGTCAGACAGAATTCGGGCATTTAGTTGTGATGGTTAATCTAAGGGGGAGGAGCTAGGGAATGGACGAGGTCCTCACAAATATTAAAGTACAGGGTTGTGTGTGCGCGTCCTGCTGACCTTTCTGCGATGTGCAGCTGGTGAGTCTCCAGAGACAGTTTGCTGAGGGTCTTCCACATGGCTTCAGTCTCTGGAGACATTTCCAGAGTCTCAAGGAATGCTGTGGCTCTGTCAACACACATGAAGAACAGATGTGACACTGAGTTGTTCAATTACTTCACAGCAATAATCAACTTACGATACTGCCTGCCATGATAATCACTGCACCATACATGGACATGGCCTCCATTCTAACCTTATCAGCTTCTCACCAGAAGAAAGCGCGTAGGATGGATGAGTAAAAATGGATTTGGTTTCAAAGCCGCACTCCACAGGTTGTTATCTTGAACGTTTTGTTAAAGCTGCTAAAAATTGAATTGCCGTTATGAGTTGTATTTTAAGAAATTAATTATTCTATGCACCACATGTTAATATTCATGTTTCAAATGTTTAATACAGAGGATTTATAATTTTTTGCTTGTGCCCTTTTGTTTGATTGATTGATTTAATTATTAAGAATTAAGTTTCTTTCTATATAAATTTGATTATTATTGTTATTTAATTATCATTAAATACTCTTGAAATGACACAAATATAATTCATTTAAATTATTTCTGACACAAAATATCGTCGTTTTTAGGTAATATAATTGATGCATCCTGGACCCGGGCTAAGAACAAGGAAATACCAATTAATGAATTAACAGATTGAAAAAAATGAATGAATGCCACTTATGCGATCACCTATTGATCATTCTGAGATGGGGAGCCAAACTAACCAAAACAAATCATATTCTTAGTTTACGGGTGTGTTACGTCTTACAGCAACCAGCAATTACATCATAAATGTTGCTTTAGACAGTGAGACAAGCACAAATCACAAATAAGTCCCATGAAAGGTTGGCATGTTGTTTAGAGTCCAGAGCCACAGTGGAGAGTTCAGCTGCAGCTCTTCCACACTGTGAAAGGTCAGTGGGCGAGTATGTGAAAACCGCCTCTTTAGAGTTGTTCAAACGATGACACAGTGAGGAGACCACGCCTCCCGGCCGCCCTGCCAGCTCGGAAGAAATCCTCGAGATGAGCTAGAGGAAGCTGCTGGATAAAAGGACATCTGGCCTGTTCTCCTCGCCCTGCTGTCACTGTGACTCTGACCCAGAATAAGCAGCATTGAGGGGTAAAGGCCGGACGGATGTACTACTCGACTGTAATGACAGTGATGGGACTTTTGCATGCGACAGAACATCAGTCAAAGTAGTCCAAATGTACCTGTCATAATCCCCGTCGTCGATGGCGGTGCCAAACTCAATGAGGCCTTCGTCCAGGGTGTACGTCACCGTTTTGACGCCCTCTGTCACGATCACGTCCGTCTTCTGCTCGGCTCTTTCTAGATCCACAATGTCTCCCTGTCAAAGCAGAGCGACACCATGCGTTTCCTCAAGTACGGCACTCCGGGAGATTACAGTACTCGACGCAATATAAAATACTTTAAACTAGGTCCGCCTCAATCAACTAAAAGAGCAAAATGTTGCATCTTTGCCGCAAACTGAGTTTAGGTATATTTTGCTCATTATACAGATACAATTATACATCAATACGAATTTCAAATCAGCACTTGGGGCTATCAATGTCAATCATGTCACTCAAAAAGAATATTCAAAAAATGGACCACACGATCTTCCTCTGTACGTGGAAACCACTGATTCTGCCCCAACAGGTGAGGTATTCATCATATGGAGAACTACCACTGGCAAAATAACCATGATGATGTCACAGCGATGTAATTTGGTTCATCTCCACGTGGACTTGGACCCATATTCGACGTGCCTTACAAAACTGTAAAGCACTGGGCACTAGGCTGAGAGGGTCTAACGTAATTATGAAAAGGTCCAATAAGCCGTGGTAAAGTTGACACACTCCCACTTACAGAGAGAACAAAGCCTCACCCTGATGGGGAACATGGTGATGCTCTCCGGGCTGTCGATGCTGTACCAGATGCAGAGGTTTCCCCTGTTTTGAGCCACCACCACGTCGCTGCCAGGCACCCACTGGACGTAGGAGCAGAAGTTTAGCAGCGTGGTCTTTGTGCCCGTGTCTACGTCATAGAGATGGAGCTGCGGAGGAAGGAGTAGAGGGTGGGAGCGGGGGAGGAGGGGGAGGGATGCTGATTGTTAATTGCATCATCAACGATGGAATTTGACTTCCTGCCAGGAATTAGATGAGAAGATTGACACCACTCTGTAATCAGAGGACAGTTAGCTTAGCGTAGCATAAGGATTGGGAACAGAGCAAACAGCTAGCCTGACTTTGCCCAAAGATGCCAAAATGAGTCTGTTAGCCCCTTTAAAGGTTATTTATTAAAATGGGGTATCTCGTCTGTTTAATCTGAACACATAAAACCAACAAGTAATGCTAAATTGAAAAGGCAATGGTAAATTAGTAGACAACATTGCCTATGGTTATTTATTATTGTATCACTAGTTTTCGGTATTCGGGATTCTCACGATGACGCCAGATCACATAACAAACCCTCTTGCAGGTCAATAATAGAAATATTTGCATAGAAACCAATCGATCATATGCTGATGAGTCTCCTAACAGTTGTGTTGATGTTCGCTCCAGGTCTCATAGGTCTGACTAGAACACAAAAAGATATTGAGCCTCTTGAAGCACAAATCACTGTCACAACAACGCCACTTTTCATTTATAGGTGTACAATCCCTCCCACAAACAGTGGTCACATCCAGAAACGGATTCAAACATACATACAGCCAGTGAGTTAGTAGTACATGTAGTGACTACCCTTATTTAGTTTACAACGCGGATTTGATCTCCTATTGCTTGAACAAAGTTGATTAACTTCCAGCGGCTGCGTGTGAATATTCACACTGCAATTTACTACACGATACTGTTGATGAGTTCAGATTAGATTCTATAAGCTACAGTGGGTCCCACAGCACTTAATATGTATGTGTGTGTGTGTGTGTATGTGTATGTGTGTGTGTGTACGTCAGACCGCCTGCAGGTGTAATCAGCGGCCTTAATATCTTACCCCCCACCATTTGTAATAACGCTGCATCTATAGTTTTAGCCTGGAGCTCAGTCAGGCACGTTTTAATGCATTGAGGAAGAGCAGCCTGTTGATTAGAAAGTTTCAATTAAAGAAACATTTGTTGTACAATTTGCTCTTCTTTTTTTATTGTTTACTGGTGTGAAGTGCAGTGAATCAATGCAAATGTGCAAGTGTGAAATAGCATTAATCATTTTCAGTTACTGATTGTCGGTTACATTTGTATCCATTTTAAAAGGGAAGGTTTGGAGGTTGTTAGTGGGGGTTCTATGAACACTAGTGTCCATCAAGGTGAGGATTCATTACTACAAACAACCACCTTATGATTAGAGCCTCTAAAAAGAGGCAGAGGAATTACTTATTATTAGCTTTCTGGTTCTGATTACTCTCAAACTTCCATCATTTGGCGTGTTGGAGTTCCTTCTGAATTCACTTGTGCAAATACAGAAATATTTCGGTTTACAGAAAGTTATGTATGTACCAATTTTTTACAACAAAAAGTCCAAAGCCAGTGAGGGAATCCCGATTACCAGAGTTCTCCATGTCATTGCCCCAGGGCTTTGAAAACAAACCGTTTTATTACCCCGGGAGCACACAGCACCCCTAATTAATAAAGAGCTGTGAGGTAGTTTTGGGGGGAAAAAAACAGCTTCCAGAGAGAGGACCTTTAATTTGTATGACTCCGGACAACAATGCAGACTGACTAAGACAGATGGGTGTTTAAACTGAAATGACTTCATTGTTAGAAAAATGTTAATCCCGTTGAAAGTCTGCATTTGCTCATTTGCTCATAAAACAATGATGAATGCATTGCTGAAAAGACATGCTGGGTACAGGTTAGTCACTGTCTATCTTTTGCAGCGAAGGGTGTGCTAACTTAACCCCAACCGCGCTGGGAAATGCTATGCTATGTCACGGCAGGTGTCTTGCTCAGGACTCTCACTGCTCTCACTGGTTCGTTGTAAACGACACTTTTTAAAATTAAAATATGCCGTTAGGTACATTTGAACATGACCTAACCTGGAGGGATTTGAAGGATCCCATCCGACTGTTTGTTTGGAAAACAAAAATACGAGTAGTCATGAGATGATTAAAAAGGAGTTGGTGAGACCAGGGGAAAATTATTTATGCCACACAAAACACTAATTACACTTGAATGATTGTTAATGGGTCATTTGGGCTTCTTAGTTATTTCATACATACTTCTTTTTCTGCGTTCTTGGCACCTTACGCTTTCTGCCTTATTGGCACCGTGTTAAAAGAAACAGCCCCATTGCACCCTTCCCCTCCCGTGGCATCTGAAATGCTATTGTATCACCTGGACGAGAAGAACGTCTCCACAAAAAGCCACAAGCCATCATTGGGGTGATGGACGTGGCTATAAAATTAGAAAAGGCCTGACCACGGTGAGGCTTTCTCGACTTGACTCACTAACTCACACTAACGACCATCTATCATCTGCCCTGTCTGCCTTCAGGGCCTCCCTACCATCATTTCCACTCCCACCATCCCTCAGGGCGCTGAGGTTTTTTTATTCTCACCCGCAGCTTCTTGTCCCTGAACAGCAGTTTGTGTCCCGTTTCATTGAGCTCCAGCCAGTCAATCTTGGAGTTTTGGCTGATGGTTCCCAGATTGCAGCCTGCGGCCAAGTCCACTGAGGGGGAGAAGGGTAGGACAGGTTTTTACTGAGCGGCAGTCACAGTTTGACAGCTTCTGTAGCTAAAATGTATCACGCAATCTCTTTGTAATAATTATGTATGATTCTATCAGGCTGTGCATCTACTTGGAAAGTACCTGCCTTGGGAACTCGTTTATGTTATAACCCTGCTGATACATCAAATGTTTTAATCAAAATATAATACGGTCTGGGCAGGGTGGTCCACTCGATGGAACTAATACAGCTCAAGGACGACGTATACTTTAGTTATTGTAGCAGGTTAATATTACTGTGAGTGATTATGTTTGAAAAGTAGCTGTGTGGCTCAATGTGTAAAACAAGACATGCAAGATGGTTTAAAGCATATATGTCAAACTCAAGGCCCGCGGGCCATATCCGGCCCGGCATGCAATTATATCTGGCCCGCGAGATCATTTTATATAATTGTTACTAATGGCCCGACGATATGAAGCGCTGATAACAAAATAAACTACAGATGCCACAATGCAGCGCTTCAGCTGCCTTGCCGAGCGCTTTCCGTGGCGTTTCTGGCTGACATAACCGCACGTCTCAACGCCTTAAACCTCCAGCTCCAGGGACGTGACCGCATGATCACTGACATGTACGACGCAGTGAAGCTGATTTTATGGGAGACACAAATGCACCGGTGCAACTTGCCTCACTTTCCCTGCTGCCAAGTAATGCGGCACAGCGGTGTTCCCAAATACGCACTTTGCTGATAAACTGAGCGCACTGCGCGCGGAGTTCGCACGACGCTTTGTTGATTTTGAGGAACAAAAAAATAATTTTGAGTTGTTTCGCAACCCATTTGCCGTCGACGTGAAAACTGCACCTGTGCAGTTTCAGATGGAGCTGATTGAGCTGCAGTGTGATGGGACACTAAAGACAAAGTACGACACTGTTTATTCACTCCGGTCCCGCAGCAATGTCCCAGCTCCGTCTACATGCGGCTTGAACCGTGTGCATGTTTGGTAGCACATATCTGCGTGAGAAGCTGTTCTCAGTGATGAAGACAAACAAACGACTCACTGATGAGCACCTTCAGTCCATCCTGAGAGTCTCCACAACACGGGACCTCGCGCCAAACATAAACCAAAGTGTGGCCAAAAAAAGATGCAAAGCATCCAGCTCTGATAAAATGGCATAAGAGCAAAGAAAACTGAATGTTTTGCACCGTTATTTGTTATTTCTGAAAAGCACAAATTTTATTTATATTTCCATAATGTATAATTTTGACCGGAGATATTTTTATGGAGAGTAAAATCATTTGTGATATTTAAAGTTTTTTTATATAAAATGACAAAAGCAAATGAACTCAAATGTTTTGATTTGTTATTTTAATATTTACTTAAAGCACAAGCACAATTTTTATTTATTTTTTCAGGCGTTTTTTTGCAGCATGTTCATATTTCTAACTTGCATAATTTTGGCTGGATATATTTTTATGACAGATAAAGAGAGAGCAAGATATTTTAAGTTATTTAAAGTTTAAGTTTATTTATTGCATAATAACTTTCCTGTCTGTTTGTATTTATATTTATGCTAAAAGAAACATTTAGTTTTAGTGTGTTCAATAAATGTTTATTCTGTTCGGCCCGCGACCTGAAGTGTGTTTTGAATTTTGGCCCCCTGGGCAATTGAGTTTGACACCCCTGGTTTAAAGAGATAGAAGTACAATAACGGAAGCATCATCCGCAGCAGAAAGCGTGCAGAAGCTGCAGAAGCCGTTGTACAATCAGCCTTCCACAAACCCACAGCGCATGTTTATCTGCAAAGTTATGACTCACTATTACTCAGCCAGGCTCGGAGGGTTCACCATCAACAAGGGACGTAATTTTGATCGTTTACAAATCCGACATACAACTTCCTGCTGCTCTGAATACTCACTCAAGAGTGCAAGATGAGGATTATTTTGCTAGTGAAAATAGTTCCCAAAAAATGTTTTTACGTGGGACTTAATTCAAAGATGTGAGACCGAAGCATTGGCAGCACTATTGGCACAATTAGATAGCAGAAAATATCTGCTATGATGGATGAAAAAAGGGTTTTCTGTGGAAATATGGAATGTGAGATATAGGATATTGGAAATCAGTAGTTTCAGTTTATAGTACATGTTGTTATACCATAATATAGATGTCAAATCTGTATTTTTATGACACAAATGGCTGCAACAGTCAATGTGCCCATTCACAAATTGTCATTAGGATAGAAGCTGGAATCCAAAATAAATACTTTTATACTGTAGATCAATGTTTTTCCTAAGTAAAATTAGCAATGCCACAGTGTAAAAAAAAATGCATTGTACGGAGTGGCACATTTCTCACAGAGTTATATACTAATGCATCCATCGCTATAGACGGGCCTTATTAAAGCTATGCTATGTATGTATGTATGTTAGGAAAACATCCAGACCGCAGTCAATAAAAAGACTGCTCTGACAGACCAAAGATCAAAAAACATGTGGGATCTGATCTACACGGATGGAAATACTCATGTAGAGTACCTGAAAATACCCCTGAAGTACCGTACATGAGTAAATGTACATTACACCGCGGTCAAACGGTCATCGTTACCGATGCAAATGGTCTTCATATCGATCAGATACGCAAGCTTCTTGTTGTCTTCCACTCCTCTCTGCTTCCTCTCATTCAGCCGGACACTGCGCAGACACAAATACAGCGTTCAATGAAACACGACTGAATGTACACTGACTCAGCATGGAAGCATCAAACCCAGCATCCGCTCAGCATAATGGTGTTCAGCTACTTTTCAAATCCCGAGGTGCCCCTGATCCCGATGTTGTCCTGCCACAGCGTCCAGCCAGAGGCGAGGAGCAGTACGGACATGCTGAGATCCGCTGGCCTCAACCGCAGTCGGCCATCAGCCACCCGGCCACTGTCGGTCACGACACCTTTGACAGGGCTTTGAATTGTGTAACTGTGCTGACCAGCAGGCGAAGGCTCAACGGATGCCTTCCTGTTGTGATACCTGGAATTTATCCACAGCTCAATACACCCATCTGATGGGCAGAGCTGGAAATTCATCTTAGGGAGGATCCAAACTGTGACACTGGCATCGGCAGCAAGTGTATTGGAATGACATGGATGTGGATTTGGCAGTTTTGTTTATTACACTAGGTTTGAATGAAGATTAAAAATATAATATAATCACATCATTTATTTTACTATTATTCTCGAAAATAGACACAATCGTGAACTTCTATATGAATCAGTTTCCTTAAGGTTTCTTATTTTCAGTTCTTTTCTTTTCTTTCTGAATATTTATGATTATCTTTATCTGGATTACAGGTATATTCAGACAGCTAGTTAAGCAAAATGCATTCTTTGAATTTTGTGAGTTTACTATTTACAAAGCCATATTAATGCATTGTCTGTAATGAATAAATACACGAGGCAGTGGGGTTATATTTACAATAAGTAAACAAATCAGTATTTTAATTTTCTTTCCAGTAGGCCCAATTCATGACAATGTCTCTTTAAGATCCGGATGCTTACAGTTATATGGGGATTTATGAGATTAATTCATTCCTTGCTGCTAATTCTCATTGCAAAAGGATAATACACAGTAAAGGGGGCATCTTAGGTGCGATTAAAATGATGCAACCTCGCAAGGTGAAGTAATGTAGTTACTTGATTTTTTTTTGGCAGTTTTTTTCCATTTAAAAATGTGTAATTATTATTTTCTCGTACAATTTGAAATATTGTAAAGTCAAAGTTAACTTCACTTAATATTATTGTCTTGCTCCAATATTCTTTTATTTTCCCTACAATGGGCTTCTCATAAAGTTGTGTTTGGCCATTTTATACGTCAAAGGTCACAAATTGCATCAAAATCTGGAAGTACAAGTAAGTGAAACAACTATTTAAATCTGAATTGGACTTACTGACAAAACAATCAGTTGACCACCAATGGGGGGGCTGCACATGCTCTTCAATTTGGAACCAGACAATCCTGTTAATGTTCTTATTTCTAAACCAACCTGATGAGGTGGGTTTGTTTTGTGTGACTGGACCCACCTGATGAGGTGAGGGTTCATAAATTCGGTGCGGACTGATCCCAGGATCTCGTTGCTACTGTATTCCACCAGACTCAGCTCCCCGGCGTTAAAAATCATGCACACCTGAAACATCAAATGCAGTTACATAAAATACACCAGCTTGTGATATAATGGGAGCGGTTTTAAGCCACGACTGAAACTTACTACTGGAAAGGGATCGTTACTATATTCTACAATTCACTGCTCATCGGCGAGTACTGACTTGGCACTGCTGTAAACTTTATGGGAAACTCCACAGGTAGATTTCTGTTTAATACTCAAAGGGAAGAGCTCCATAACAGCCTGTGTGTGTGCGTGTGTGTGTGTGTGTGTGTGTGTGTGTGTGTGTGTGTGTGTGTGTGTGTACGTACTGATTCATTTTCAAAGAAGAACTTTTCGTTTCCTCCTGAACCGGGCCATGGCACCTGAAAGGAAGGCAGTGGGTTTATTGTGTGAAGGAAGAACAGGTGATGTAAGGGTGACAGGACAGGACAGGACAGGACAGGTGGGGGACGCAGCCCTGAGGAGGTGAATAGAGTTCATTCAGCTGTTCAGAGCGGACGGACAGTCCAAACACCGGTCATGAGTGTCAGAGGCGGGTATTTCAACACCTCAGCAGGGAAACTCAAACATATGCAAACATAAACAAATGAAACGTAATAGTATTTAAAATGAGGTATTAAGGCCTATGTAAGTACTTATAAGATGCTTGCTAACGTTATTATGTTTTTAGACTATACAAATGTTTATAAAAACCTAATAAACATTATATCACATTTATAAGCACTTATAACAGATGGTTCATAGACTGCTTAACATTTATATAAAAGCCTTATTAGCTTTGTATGCATTGACTTCCATAACTTACCTATAACATCTTTATATGATATTGATATGATGTTTTTTCTTTGTTGATTTACTGTACTTGTTCGTACCCTTTTTAGAAAACTAAATATACACGTATTAATAGCGAAAGTGTTTTAAAGTAATTTTCTAAAGCGAGAACAACACATTATTTAGGTTAATTAATCATTCATTTTGCATTTACTAATAGATAACTATGGTTTTTGCAGCTACGCCAACCACTACTACGTAGTGGTCTAGGTTATTAAATGTGAAGAAGGAAATAGATATGAAATACAAAAACAGTTTTCTAATCCAATAAAATGTTGTTGACGTTACAATTAACACTCGTATAATGAAGGTAACATCATGTTAATAAGAGTATTATAACGATGACTCATAAGTGTCTTATTACTTGTTAGCAACCCATTATTACGGGGACCTTAATATTGAACGTTAATGTTTTTTTTGTTCTTTACGGTTGATTTAGGTAGTGTGATAAAGTAAGTCCTACCTCGCTCAGTTTATTGGTCAGCAGGTCTCCCAGAAGAAGAGTATCGAAGGTGTGGGCCACCAGGTAGCGATCCTTGCCCATGATCTTGACTTCTTCTATCTCATAGCCATAGTTGGACTTCAGGACCACCCGCGTTCCTGTGGAGAGGTTCTTCACTATCACCTGGAGAAGAACAAGGGGATTAAAACAGCGATGTGCAGAGGACAAAAGTGGCAATAAAGAAATGAATATGATGTTTTATGAACGACTTGAAGCCAGCACAATAACACTATACTGGAAGTGGATTATGAACAATCCCTCACAACAGGAAAGAAAATCAAAAAATGGAAATGTACTCATTGTTTGTGAAATTACAGACACATCAGCTTTGTTGGTTCAGACGCATATTTCTAATTTCCTTGCGGTTGTCTCTACCTGGCTCAGCCCGACGTAGGTCATCTCAAACTTGTTCTTATAGATGACTCTTCGCAAGCAGCAATCAAACAGCTCCACTCCCCCACACAGTGTTCCCTGTCGAGACACAAACACACACAGAACAGATCAACGCGTGACCCCTGCTGCAAATCTCCATCCATGAAGTAAAAGAGCAAAAGTCAGTTTGAATCACGCTGGATTCCAAATGATACAATATAGATGAAGCACATACAGCGCAGAGGCGTGATCCGTCTTTCTTCCACGCCAAGCTGGTAATGGTGTACAGGTTGACGATCTCTTTAGGCTTGGCTTCATCCCACGCGCCTCTCCTGGGAGCCCAGTTAAACACCCGCAACCTAAGGGGGGGAGGGAGGCGGGGGTAACTTATTGAGCTCAGTACAAAAGATTCACTGAGTCCCGCCCACTGACCGGTCGTAGCTGCCGAACACGACCGACTGCCCGCTGGGGCTGGTGGCGGCCACGCCGAACTCCCGCTCGGTCCGGTCGCGGCCGTAGTCGAAGGTCTGCAGGACGTGGCCCTCTCTGCCGTAGGCCACCACTTTCTTGTCACAGCCGCCCACCATGATGCTGCTCGCGGCCCAGGCCAGGGCGTAAGGCGAGCACGGGTGCGTCAACAGCTTACCCTGTTCGGTCGGAGAGGGAAGTGTGTGTCAGGTGTGCCACGCGCGGGCAGCGGACAGCTTGATGGACCTGATGGGTGACGGAGGTGGACGGACGTACCTGAGACTCCCCTGAGCCTTCATCGTCGAAGAAGTAACGCACGACCGTCCCGTCGGCGTGGCCTGAGAGGATGCCTTTACCGGAAACACTGACAGGGAACAGATTAAAAACACTGACTGAGTGCAGCGCAGAAGCAGTCAATGAATAAGTATTTTGTGGCGTTTAGAGGAACGAGCCTGTCAGCATGAAGGTTAGAAGGAGATACAAACCACCTTATGCGGAGTGGTCATAATTATACATGATGATGATGTATTTACTTGGATGCCAGTGAGACGACACAGGACTCGGTCCCGTAGATGGTCGATGACTTGTTTGTCTGAGTGTTGGCGAGGCGAACCTGTGAAAAAGGTATTGCATTGGTCAATCGACCTAAAACAGACATTTTTTATTTAATGAGGCAACTCTTTTTTTCTGTAATACAGAATGGCCACACATTTGAACTTTGGAACCTTTTGGAACCTCATACTCCCACTCATAACACATGAAGAAAATCTATACAAATGCTAACTACAGGTGAGAATGTGTCGCTGACCTACCTTCCCGTCCACTAATCCATAAACAACTGCATGCTCAGCAGGCCAAAGCAGACAAGCCACCGCGCTCTGCAAAGCAGTGGAGACATTACATTAAATGACAGGTCATTTAGCTGACGCTTTTATCCAAAGCGGCTTACAATAAGTGCAGTTCAACCATAACGATACAAACTCAAAAGAACAAGAAACAATAAAGTGCAATTTCATCAAACTGTAGCGTTACAAAGTTTTCCGAGAGTCACATTTCCTACCAGGAAAAAAAGGCATTAAAGTCTGAATTTTAAGTAGGACAACAAACAGGTAACATGTCCCCGCCACTGACTTCAGAAGCAAAGACATCACATTGCATGAAATGCACAAGCGTCAACTCCTGTTTACTCACAGTCTGAACAAATTTGTTGCAAATGGCTTTCTTGTCGCCCCTAAAAGAGATAACACAGGTCACAAACATAGTTTGGCATGCGTCCATATAAAAAAAATCTATATTGGAGATGAAATCATTCCCGGGACATTACCACTCTTCCCCAATTCTGTAGACAAAGATGATGTTGTCGGACTGGCCGATGGCGATTTTGGTGGAGTCCGGAGAAAAGGCCATGTCTTTGACAACATAGCTGTCTTTTCCGTACTGACAAAAGATTTCATTTGATTTGTTATTGGCGCACAACTTGTAGATGCATTCGTAAACGTGTAAAGGAAATACCATTTTTCAGTCTTTATGTATCACATCACATCAGACCAACTGCCCTCGTGACTCACCTTGGAGTCTAGGGGTTTGGTGGAGAACTTGTCCCTCCTTTCCCCCTGCTCATCATAGAGCAGCACCACTCGATCGACCGTGCACACTGCGAACTTGGTGTTATTCGGTGCCCAGGCCATGCACGTCACTTTGGCAGCACCGTCCTGTAAAGGGAAAGCAGAGATCAGCCGATGCCTTAGCCGGTTATCTAAACGGCTGTTAACGTTGATTTAATGTGTCTACGTGTGACTTTTGTCAATGGACGAATCCGTCAGACGCAGTCTTCGCTTGATTGTGTGTCAGTGGGTTCTCGTTCCAACCCTAACGCACAACAGTGGCTAACGAGCAAAGTGAGGTAAATTAGCTTTAAACGTGCGTATTCGGCTTTGATCACACCGACAGGAGAAACATGATTGTTACGTTCCGGCTTCTTTCGTGTTGTGGTATAAGATCATCGACGTTAGCAGTTACACGTTTGAGCTGAAGCATCATTGCCATTAGCATTAGCTAACTTGGCACTTACCTGTGGTATCAATAGTGTTTTGAGATACTTCAGTTGCATTTTTCGGAAGTATTTAGGACGGTCGTACGGGGAAGAAGGGTAATGATGTTGAGATATAGTGCTATCTTTACACTGTGTTCATTTTGTTGACCAGCTTCGAGATAGCGTCTAGAAAGAAGGACATCTTTCCTAAACACAACTGCGATCTCCTTAGTTACCGCCCGGGCTGTAACTAAGGAGGGCTTTGATGCATTTAAGGTTGTGGGAAATGCCAGCTTTTCCCAAAGAGTTTATTGTTGTTCATTTATATAAATTAATTGGTCAATAACTATATTGAAAAGCACTCAATAGGCGTATTTCTATTTGAGAATCAAATTCGGGGGCAAATAATGTGTCAAATAATCTTTAAGGCGTTTCAAATGTTCAGCTTGTCCAATTATCGGGTAATTGTCACAATTAATGTATTACTATACACATGGAAAAAATGCAAAATATTTATGATGATTGCTTTTCAAAAAGTACGTAAAAAAATACGTAAGCGAGTATGGTATATCTATTCAGTGTCCACGATTTCATCGAGACCCAGACAAAAAGTGTGGAGATGCCGGGGATTGAACCCGGGGCCTCATACATGCAAAGCATGCGCTCTACCACTGAGCTACATCCCCTTCCATGTTAAAGCCTTAAAAGTTTAAGATTTTAGCCTTGCTGAATACAAAACAGATATAATTTTTTTTAAAGATATTTACGATCTATTAAGCTTTGTATATATGTTTTAAAAATAATTGACCTTGCCCTCTAATCCTACACAAAGCCCAAGACAAATTTACCTGCAGGACAAGATATACTTTATTGTCCTGCACTTTATTACTTTATTTTTTACAAATACTTTGTTTCTTTTTTTACATCTAGATATACAGGCTGATAAAGACTGCCTAAATTCAACATATAAACTGTCTCGATGTTGATTTACTCAGCAGTTTTTACTACTGTATATTTTATGATCTTATCTATGGAGATCTATTTGTTTACCTTAAAAACCTGAAACCGTATACCTGAACGAAATTCCTCATGAAATTGAAAATCGAAATTGAAAAAGTAATTTATGCAACAACCAATTCAGACTAAAGGAGAATATGAACGCTCAATACTGCAATTACAAGATTTCAATTGAAAGAAAAGACAACCTTAAATCACAATGAATCTGAAAAGATGCCTAACGGCTACAAATGTATTATTATTTGTTGGATTTGTCTGAAGTTGTAACTGTTTGAAGTCAATGTATGTATATGTGCTTTGGATTTTGTTAATGTAAAAAATGTAAAGTAAATGTATTTTCATGTCTGTCCTGCTTTTATTTCGGAACTTGTGAGCGGAAATGCAGTGACTACGTCAGAGCTCCATGTGCAACACGCGGGTTCACTTCCACACTGCCGACGGCGCGTGTGGGACACTTTTCTCTGACTGCGCCGTCCGACCAACCACCGTATTATCGAACTAAACTCGCTTTCTCCGTGTAACTGCTGCTTATTTTACTCAAAATTCAAGGCCACGCCGACAGACATCTGCTCCGCGGTGAAATTTGGTCTTAATCCGTAGTTTTTTCTTAGTCTTCATCTCCCCTCTCCTGCTCTCCAGAGTTTCACGTGGAGAGCGGAGGGCTCGTCACTACGAAGCCTTCATCAGTTCATCAGTCACGGCTGCTAGCATCCGCTATCTTGAGGGAAGCATGTCAAAGATGGCAACATTGATCCTGGAGGACGGGACGGCGTTCAAGGGGCTCCTTTTTGGTGCCGATGTGTCAATTTCGGGAGAAGTTGGTACGTCCCTTTTTACGCTAATTCCTGGCTGCTAAATCTCTGAACGTCAGTGCTACTTTCAGCTAGCTCGTACCGTGCTTAAGTCCCCTGCGTGCGCCCGCTCGCCCAAAACGCAGACTTTCGATGAGGCTCTTGGTACGTGGAACGAGTCGACGGCCCAAAGCGCCAAACCCCCTTTTTCCCAAACCAGTAACTCAACATTACTTCCCCCCCCGCGACGTGCAGCCAAACTTATGCCAACATCTGTTAATTACGTCCGGTTGGTTACAGTTCATTAGGCACATGCCGGCTCTTCTTTCCAATATAATTCACCATTCAGTGTCAGTACCTCCACGGATCTACGTGTCCTTATGGGCTGGCAGGGCAATGAGGGACTGTGACTGGAGCTTCCAACTTTTTAAAATAAGTCGAATTTCGCTGGAATAACCGCACCTCAATGTGCCGCAGGTGTGCCAAATTACAAATGAGGCAACATTTGAAACTAGTTGACTGATGCGTGTGCAGATTTAAGTCAAAACTAATCTTGCCTTCCACTTTTAAAGAGTGATCACAGTCCCTTTCACACAGTGGGATAAGTGCATGCCTGTTTAAAAATGACCTAACAAATGACTTTGCTTCACATATTGAAGCTCCAGTCGCATTTAACCGCATCATTTTGCGCTTCCAGTGTTTCAGACGGGTATGGTGGGCTACCCCGAGGCTCTCACTGACCCATCCTACCACTGCCAGCTGCTGACCCTCACTTACCCTCTGGTGGGCAACTACGGTGTGCCGCAGGACGCCGAGGGAGAGTTCGCACTCAGCCAGGTGGGGCGGCCATGAGTCAACTCGCGTGTGGGATGATGAGCTAATGGAAGAAATGAAACTCTTGTCTGTAATCCTAGCGTTTATTCCCCTCACACCGACGCCAGATCGTGATGACTTTTCCCGCGCGCTCGCGTTGTCCTCCTCAGTGGTTCGAGTCGTCAAAGATCCACGCTGCGGCGCTCATCATCGGAGAGCTGTCGGAGAATCCCAGTCACTGGAGTTCAGTCAAGTCGCTGGACCAGTGGCTCAAGGAGCAAGGTGTTCCGGGATTACGAGGTGGGGAAATCTAAATGGATTAATACTAATGAATTTGTTCAGAAGTAATTGCTTGATTTGACAGAATTGGAACTAGTGTTAAAAAAAAAACCTGATGTTTGCAAGCTTTTAAATATAAAAACATAAGACCGTGTGCGTGCCGTTTCTATGTTCTCCAGGCATCGACACCCGCTGTCTGACCAAAAAGATCCGAGAGAAGGGCACCATGTTGGGGAAGCTGGTGGTGGACGGGACTCCTGAGGACAGTGTTCCATTTGACAACCCAGACAAAAGGAACCTGGTTCAGGAAGTCTCCATGAAGGTAAAACGTTGAACTTATTTAGAGCCTTGTGACTTTTTGTGTGTTTTTTCTATCTTCACATTATCATCAAGTTAACTAAAATGTATCTGACTACTTCTCGTGCGTTTGTGTCCAGGAGCCCACGGTATTCAACCCCAGCGGTGGTTTGCGAATCACAGTAGTGGACTGCGGCATCAAATACAACCAAATCCGCTGCCTGGCTCAGAGGGGCGCCTGTGTTACCGTCGTCCCCTGGGACCACCCGCTGGACAGCAAAGGTCAGTGACGTACCTCCATGCTATCGACAGACTTTCCTTTCAACTTCCGCACTACGTAAGGGAAAGCGACATTTAGGTGCAACATTAGGAACAACATTTAGGTTCAAGATCTGGGCCTAATCACGGCGGGTTTTTCACTATAACGTTTGCATGATACTTCATCTTTGCTTTTTAACACCTTCTGAAATGAGTTTGTATTCAAAATGGCCAGAGGCCTTTTAGGAGGATGTCTTCGTGTTTGTTTTCATTAGCTGACGTCAGGAGTCCCCAGGTAACGTGGGGCGATGTGCAGAATCCGAGCAGTGGGAGCGTCAATGGCTGCAAGCTGTTGACCAGCTCTGCTAAGTAACACTGGACTGATCGAGAATGCTCGTGCCTACACTTGCTTCCTTTTCCATCCAATCCACGTGTTTATTTGACAGTCACTATTCGCACAAAGGCCAGAAGGTGATTTATTTAGGGTTGTGTGTGCGACCTTTGGTCAGGTGCCATATGCCTGGAAGACCTCTCCCTGCTAAGATAAGTTTTATTGTCACTCTGAACGAGCATTGGACAGTTCAGACCCCATCCCCCACAACCTCACCCGCCAGCTCAGGACCTCCAAACCCCCCCGCCCCTCACCCACCACGATGATTGCTCTCTACTGTCAACAAGTCTTCACTTGTTCAAAAGTCAGAACCCCCACAAAGCAGTTGCATTTCTTTTCCTATTACGATGTTACGCAACAATCTAGCCAAACATTAAAAGTTGGGGGGTTTTTTTGCTGTCTTTTCCTAGATTTTGATGGTTTGTTCATCAGTAACGGCCCCGGGGACCCCCAACTGTGTCAGACCACCATCAGCAACGTGAGGAAGGTGGTCTGCGTGGAACGTCCCAAGCCGGTTTTCGGCATCTGCCTCGGACACCAGCTGCTCTCATTAGTCATTGGATCAAAGACCTTCAAGATGAAGTTAGTACCCCGTACTCACACACACTTCCTTGTTTTGCTCTGGTCTTTATTGCATTACTCTTTACATTTGCATTCTCATCTCCATCACATTTTTGCTGAAAACATGGCTGAATCAGTGTAAAAAAATGCTTTGGTTGGTTGGCTTTCAGCATCCTTCTGATTTAAACTCGCTCATGGCAAGCTAATAGAATATTTTTGGAGCAGGACAAAGACCAAAATGCCCCCTCGGAGTCCTAAACCAGGGAACCTCTTCAAAAACCTGTGTGCGCTATCTAGAAACAGACATTCATGCCAGGGATTATTTTTTTGTTGGAGAGTTGTGATGTTAACTCCAGATTTCTGCTGTTCTCAGCAGTCTGCTCGCTCCTGACTGATCTTGTTATGAGAGAAAGCCTAACAGACAAGCCGGTCCGCTCCCCACCGCAGAAGCCCACAGCAACATCTGTGAGACGCCACAGACAGCCGCTTTATCAGGCTCCGAGTGAAGGTCACAGAGGACAGAGACATTTTCCCATCGCACCTCTGGAATGTTGTTGGCGTCTCAAATGACGAGGGCATTGTGGGATTGCAGCTATTCAGTTCACAGGGAATCTTTGAAAGCACCGTGTGGTGTATGTCAGCGTTGGACCCCAATAACTTTTAATTTGTAAGTTAAACAAAAGAAAGGTGCAAGCTGCCGCGCACTTTGTTATGCATCTTCATCTGTTCAATATCTCTCCTGGAAAGTGAAGTGATTTTTGTTTCAGTGATTGTTTGACCGGCTTATGTTTTTTTTTTGTTTTTTTTAAACTTTTTTTTAAAAACTTTTTTTGCTTCAAAAATTTTAATTTGACTGTTCGAACTGTAGAACATTAGAACTTTGGGTTGCTTTAAATAGTTTTCACAATGGAAATACACTAATTTAAACCAACCATCATTTATGGTTCGAACAATGTTTGTGTTTATTTTTTCTGGCCTTTTCATGCCTGTATTGTGTCATTTTAATCTCTAGATGGAGGTCTTATGCTCCTATTGGCGTGAAACAGCCAGATCCCCGACTAGACTGCTAATGTTATTATCTAACTTACATGGCGTTCATCTCTTGAAAATGAAAACGAGTAACGCCAAGGATGTCTTTCTCCTGTCTTTTTTAGGTACGGTAACCGTGGGCACAACCAGCCTTGCATCCACAAGGGAACGGCTCGATGCTTCATCACCAGTCAGAACCACGGCTTTGCCGTCGACCCCGACACGCTGCCCGAAGACTGGGACGTCCTGTTTACCAACGCCAATGATCACACCAATGAGGGCATCGTGCACAACACGAAACCCCTGTTCAGGTAACGCGCTGAGCGACATCAAGGGGATGTGAATAAATGGTGTGATTAAATCTTTGGTTGATCTTTTTTTCATTGTTTTTTTTTTTTTTTTTTTTAGTGTTCAGTTCCACCCAGAGCACATGGCGGGGCCCACGGACCTGGTCGGCCTGTTCGATGTCTTCCTTGACACCGTGAAGGAGCACAAGGCTGGCAACGCCACCACATCTGGTAAGAACCCGTGAGGATTTTTTATAGTTTTTTTTAATTCTCTAACGTTGCTTTCCGATGTTTCATTAAATAAGTAAATGACGAGACAGCATGTCTGACTGACGGCTCACAACTGCCCTTTCTGAGAGACCAGTCCCTGCCAGAGAGGGAGGTGATGGAGAACCACTCCTTGTGAAAAGCTACACGTTTAGGGCTGTGCTTCAAGTGTTCAGTTGACATTAATAGCTAATCGGCACAGTGTTAAGTTAGTGCATTACAGTAATGAATATGAGCAACACCGTCCAAATCCTTGCTTGTGATTTTTCCAGTGAAGCAACGTCTCATGGACCACCTCACCTACCCGGGTTCCCCAAAGCCTGAAGAGGTCGAACGACCGAGGAAGGTCCTCATCCTGGGCTCCGGAGGGCTATCCATCGGCCAGGCCGGGGAGTTTGACTACTCCGGCTCCCAGGTGTGTGAGGAATGCCAACAGCAGTTCAAATAGTCCCCAAGTTGGGTCTTTATGAGGCGGGCGGGCTTGTTATTTCATCTGACGTTGTCTTGTGCTTTAGGCCATTAAAGCGCTCAAGGAAGAGAACATCCAGACCGTGCTGATCAACCCAAACATCGCCACTGTCCAGACCTCCAAGGGCTTGGCTGACAAAGTCTACTTCCTGCCTATCACGGCGGAGTATGTCACTCAGGTACGGATGAACAAACATATTATCTATATTTTATTTGTGCGTTTTATTTAAGATTTTATTTAAGGTTCAATACAAATAATATTTTTGTGTTACTGAGAAGTTGAAGTGAGCAGTCCTATGTGCTAATAACAATATGACTTATGTGGAAATGGAGAATATATAAGAAAAGAAAAGGACAATAAATTACTTTATCTTGTACTTGTACAGCTCTTTCTGCGTCAATGCTCCATGTTGTTTTTTGCCCTCAGGTGATCAAAAATGAACGTCCAGACGGCGTGCTGCTGACCTTCGGCGGTCAGACGGCGTTGAACTGCGGCGTGGAGCTCACCAAGCTGGGCGTCCTGGAGAAGTACGAAGTTAAGGTTTTGGGGACACCCGTGGCGTCCATCGAGATGACCGAAGACCGGAAAGTCTTTGTGGAGAAGATGGAAGAGATCAACGAACACGTCGCACCCAGCGAAGCGGCGCTTTCTGTCGATCAGGTGAGGAGGCTGCTCAACCGTTCCTGCACAACATGCCTGGTGTTTTGTTATGTCCGAACGCGTCCTCTCCACCTGTGCGTTTTATCAGGCGGTGGCAGCTGCCGAACGCCTCGGCTACCCGGTTCTGGTGCGCGCGGCGTTTTCGCTGGGAGGCCTGGGCTCGGGCTTCGCCAACAACGGGGAGGAGCTCGTCGCTCTGGTGACCGCAGCCTTCGCCCACACTTCCCAGGTGCTCGTGGACAAATCCCTGAAGGGCTGGAAGGAGATTGAGTACGAGGTGGTTCGCGATGCCTACGACAACTGTGTGACGGTGAGTACGGAGGAGACTAGAGATGTTGTCAAGCAAGCATACGAGCACGTGTGTGCCACCCAAGACAATGAGAAGCATTTTCAGTTGCAGAAATTGAATTTTGGAAAAAAATGGACTACCCGTCCACATCATTTTTTCACTTTTTCTATAAAATTAAGCCCTTTTGTTGGCTGAAACTTTTATTTCCCCCAAAATATGTATAGATGGTGAACATAATTATTTTTCCACATTGAGATCTGATGTGTTTTCAAAGTGTTTAAGTAATGAAACAGCTGCCTATTACAAAGATGTAAAAGCGTAATATTACTGAACTTCTGAATAGCGTTTTGTACATAAATCTACTTATTTCATGTAGCATTTGACGATACTCGTTTGCATGCTTGAGAGTCCATTTGTTGTTGTTCAGGTGTGTAATATGGAGAATATTGACCCTCTGGGCATCCATACTGGAGAATCCATCGTTGTGGCGCCCAGTCAGACGCTCAACGACCACGAGTACAACATGCTGAGGAACACTGCTATCAAAGTCATCAGGCACCTCGGCATCGTAGGAGAGTGCAACATCCAGTACGCCCTTAACCCAGAATCTGAACAGGTACCCGGGAACACAATATTTTAAGTGCAACCGGAATCCACACGCTACTTGGACTGAAGTACAAACACTAATGCACGAATGATGTTTTGCAGTACTACATCATCGAGGTGAATGCCCGTCTGTCACGGAGCTCGGCCCTGGCCAGTAAGGCGACCGGTTATCCTCTGGCTTATGTTGCAGCCAAACTGGGCCTGGGGATCCCACTGCCACTACTCAAGTAAGCGTGGAATATCCAAATATGTCAGAAGAAAAACAGCCTCTCAGACTAAACATGAGGATTGAGCCAGCAGGAGTGGGTTGATAGTTTACATAAATACAATTTTTCTGTGTAGATGTGTTAATATTTGTCCAAATCTTTTTATTTCGTTATTCCGGTATTTCATAGGCAGTGTAAGAAATGAGTCATCTTTATCTGCACATTAATTAATTATTGACTTGTGCTATTTATTTACTTTTCAGTTTTGTATTTACTTATCCATCCAAAACTTGTTGGAGTTGTGTGATTTAGGAATGGAAATTCTGAAGCAAATCTGTTTCCTCTAGGAACTCTGTGACCAACTCGACAACAGCGAACTTTGAGCCCAGCTTGGACTACTGCGTGGTGAAGGTGCCTCGCTGGGATCTCAGCAAGTTCCTCAGGGTTTCCACTGAGATTGGCAGCTCCATGAAGAGTGTTGGTAAGAGAAAAGGAATTGTATTACCACGTCCATCATGGCCTGCTGTTGGTGAAACCGCATTAGCACGCAGTGAATAGGTCTTCACCGGTGCTTCTTCTCGACAGGCGAGGTAATGGCCATCGGCCGCAACTTTGAAGAGGCCTTCCAGAAAGCTCTGAGGATGGTGGACGAGAACTGTGTCGGCTTTGACCACACCATCAAGCCCGTCTCTGAGAAGGTAGAATTAAAAAATAGGCAGTTTGTGCCTCATTTTTTTCTGTTACCGCTGTTGATAAATATAATATGTCCTTCAACCCCATTATTGTCCATTATTTACATTGCATCGAATCAACCACGCTGTTGTCCACTGTTCCCTATTTGATGGAGTTCTTTTCCCAAAGCTTTTATCAAAAACATTTCAAATCCTCCGGCAAATGTTGAGATGCAGAATCGGTCAGATAGATGATACATTGTAATCTGCCCTCTTTGCTCATCAGGAGTTGCAGATTCCTACGGACAAGCGCATCTTTGTTTTGGCGTCGGCCTTTCGAGCCGGCTACACGGTGGACCAGCTGAATGAGCTCACCAAGATCGACCGCTGGTTCCTGCACAAGATGAAGAACATCGCCGACCACGAGCAATTGTTGGAGACGTACAACCAGGTAAATCTGATGAGAGGGAACTGATGATGGGGGCGGGGAATACAACGCAGTCCGGGCTTCTCTTGAGTCTTTGGTATTTGTTGTTCTCTTCCTACCAGGATGAGAGCGCCATGCCTCCAGAGGTGTTGCGAAAGGCCAAACAGCTGGGCTTTTCAGACAAGCAGATCGCCCAAGCTGTACAGAGGTGAGAAGGGGCCGTACTCACGGGCACGTTGCAATTTTTAGTCAAGTTGCCGCAGTCAGTTGGCACCACAATTGAATCTGTATACCAAACAGGATGTAGATAATCTCGTTGTGCGTGAGTTAATCCATTCCGTTGTTGTCCTTATTCACACCGGAATGGATGGTTTGAAATATTGGTATTTTATTTTCCTTACTTCCCCCATAAATATGTTCTGACGTTTTTTTTTTTTTTCCCCTCCTACAGCACAGAACTTGTCGTTCGAAAGCTGCGTCACGATTGGTCCATCCTCCCTGTAGTGAAGCAGATTGACACAGTGGCGGCCGAATGGCCCGCCCACACGAACTACCTGTACCTGACCTACCACGGCACAGAGGACGACCTGGCCTTCAACGACCAGCACATCATGGTGATCGGCTCGGGCGTTTACCGCATCGGCAGCAGCGTGGAGTTCGACTGGTGCGCGGTCGGGTGCATCACAGAGCTCAGGAAGGCGAGTCTGAGCTGAGTGGAAGAGTACGATAGGAAACATTTCACTGCTTTACCTCAGGCAGTGCTTTTATCTGTTAGACATGCAGGACTTTCCATCCAAAGCTATGGACAGACATACAGAATAGCAGAGACTCTCTCCGGCCCACCGCGGTCTGAATACTGCTTTAATAACTGGTTCTCTCATTTATTGCAGATGGGCTATAAGACCATCATGGTGAACTACAACCCAGAGACCGTCAGTACAGACTATGACATGTGTGACCGCCTCTACTTTGACGAGATTTCCTTTGAGGTAAGGGTTAATATATTTAGCCTTATCCTGAAACACATATAAGTAAAATATAAAAGTTATTTGAAAAGAAGAGTTGCTGTTCGATGTATACATGGGTAAATTAGCCCCGGGCATCTCTCAGGTGGTGATGGATATCTATGAGAGGGAAAACCCCGAGGGAGTGATCCTGTCCATGGGCGGCCAGCTTCCCAACAACATCGCCATGTCGCTGCACCGTCAGCAGTGCCGCATCCTGGGAACCTCCCCCGAGTTCATCGACTCGGCCGAGAACAGGTTCAAGTTCTCCCGAATGCTGGACACCATCGGAATCAGCCAGCCGCAGTGGAAGGAGCTCTCCGACAGGAAGGTACGACGGCCCGGGTTCACTCGAACATTCGTTTCAAATATAAACTCTTGGAGGGAGAAGTGGATGTGTTGCGAAGGATCCTTTTCAGCGTTCTATTTCTCGATTTCTTTTTTTCTTCAGTCTGCTGTGACGTTTTGTGAGACCGTGGGTTATCCCTGCCTGGTTCGTCCTTCCTACGTTCTCAGCGGGGCGGCCATGAACGTCGCCTATAGCGACAGCGACCTCGAGAAATACCTCACCGACGCTGTCGCCGTGTCCAAGGAATATCCCGTCGTGATCTCCAAATTCATCCAGGAGGCCAAGGTCAGCAATGATAGTAGTAAAAGTTGAGCTCTAACATGATCTGTCAGAAGATGAACTTTATAAAATCGAGTCTGTGTCGTTTGTGTTGTGTCCAGGAGATAGACGTGGACGCCGTCGCCTCTGATGGGGTGGTGATGGCCATCGCGGTGTCTGAACACGTGGAGAACGCCGGCGTCCACTCTGGAGATGCCACACTGGTGACGCCCCCGCAGGACCTCAATCAGAAGACGATGGAGAGGATCCAGGTGATCGTCCATGCCATCGCTCAGGAGCTGCAGGTCACTGGACCTTTCAACTTGCAGCTGATCGCCAAGGTGAGCACCTTGAAGGAACAATTCATATATATTCATATTCAGTGAACTGCGAACAGGTGCGCGTGTCAGAAGGGAGCGCGAGATTCAGTGAATTTCAAACAGGGTGAGTGATGGTTTTAATACTTTCTGGTATATCCAAGTTAAGTTACCCAGGAGCTTTGTTGACATAGACTTAGCTATGTAGCTGTTAGCTACAGCTTGATGAATTGAGTCATTTAACACAGCGGGAGAGAACGAGACGTTGGCCAGCTAGCTAAAGCTCCGGTGGAAAATGATTAGCTACCGCTACCGCTACCGCTACCCCCCCCCCCGTCAACTAATTACTCGAAGAAAGATTCGTTCATTTTACTGAACGAGATTCAAAGAACCGAGTCGGTCAAATGGTCGGTAATATCTTACCACCCCGTCAACGAATGACTCGAAGAAATATCTGGGACAAAACCAGTTGAAAACCCCTGCCCTAGAGGGGTAATATCCTTCTCACCTTTTTCACCCTTGACCCATTTTCATGCCTGTTATTAAGCGGTGCTTTTTCTTCCCCAGGATGACCAACTGAAAGTGATCGAGTGCAACGTCAGAGTCTCCCGCTCCTTCCCCTTTATATCAAAGACACTGGGCGTGGACCTGGTCGCGTTGGCAACACAGATCATTGTGGGGGAAGACGTGGAGCCCTTGGGCCTCATGAGAGGCAAAGGGATTGTGGGAGTGAAGGTAACCTCGTTACGGCTGAAGCTTCTATGGGGACTGTTGTCCTGAAAGCTGAGGAAACACCAGTCCATCATTTTCCCTTTTTCCTCCTAACCATTTGTCACATATCCTCCAGGTCCCCCAATTTTCGTTCTCTCGCCTGGCCGGAGCCGACGTGGTGCTCGGGGTGGAGATGACCAGCACTGGCGAGGTGGCGTGTTTTGGGGAGAACCGATACGAGGCTTACCTCAAAGCCATGCTCTCCACGGGCTTTAAGATCCCCAAAAAGAACATCCTGCTGTCCATCGGCAGTTATAAGGTACTGGCCTCGACATTGACCTGTTATGAGCCGTTATGAGTTTGGGGTCGGCCCGAAAGCCGCATGGGAGTGTAACCCCCCGACCCATGGGCTACTCACCTGAGCGGCGAGTCTCCGGTTTGATTCCTGACGAGCCGGAACATTTGCTGCATGCTGCTCATCTAGGAAATTAGAAGAAATGTTAATCCAAATGTTTAAAAAGTTTATTTGTCTCTTCATTTATTGTGTTAATTGGACAAAAATTTGTATATTCAGTTAAATTCTAACGACCTTTTTCAAACAGTGTTTTCTACGTTTGGTGTATCTTACAGAACAAGAGTGAGCTGCTGCCCACCGTGCAGGCTCTGGAGTCCATGGGTTACGACCTGTACGCCAGTCTGGGTACTGCAGACTTCTACACAGAACATGGAGTCAAGGTAACTGAGCGGTAACTTTCACTTAATTACAGAAATATATATTCGGTGTAGTGCATGACTGCTCAGTCAAGTGACAGGAGACATTCATTGGATCGACAGACGTATTATAGTTCAGAGTGCCACCCAATTGACTGCCTGTGGAATAAAACTAAGAATCAGAGGTAACCGCATATACGCATATTTGTTAAATAAAGATTATCCTCTACCCAATGAATGAATATTATGTTGTCCATAAACTGAGCGATTTAATATCCCGACCAGTGATGAAACAAAACTATCAAATAAGGAATTATCGATCGACCCTCCTGGCTTACGGTTCCAGGTGAAAGCAGTGGACTGGCCATTTGAGGAGGAGGTGAGCGAGTGTCCCACCAAAGAGAAGCAGCGCAGCATCATGAACTACTTGGAGGAAAACCACTTTGATCTGGTCATCAACCTTTCCATGAGGAACAGTGGAGGTCGCCGGCTCTCCTCCTTCGTCACCAAGGGCTACAGGACAAGACGCATGGCCATCGACTACTCCGTCCCGCTCATCATCGACATCAAGTGCACCAAGCTCTTTGTCCAGGTCAAATTCATTGGTTTGTTGTTGCTCTCTAAGAACGATACTGAGCTTTTTGTTGGATGTCAACGTGCGTGTTGATTGGTCTTCAGGCTCTTCATCAGATCGGTCGGGCTCCACCAGTGAAAACGCACATCGACAGCATGACGTCCCAGACGCTGGTCCGTCTGCCGGGTAAGTGGCAGCGACGTGCAGTGATCGATCCATGTGTTACACTCTCCTCAATGACCGTGGGGGCTTTGAGAAGGTCTGGACGTATGTCTACAGTCGCAAACGGCAGAGCAGATACAAGTCTTTTTTCTATTTTCTTTTTTTTTTTTTTTTAAAGAGGTACCTAAATAAGGAAGCTTCAAGAGCAACATTGAACATGTGTTAATATTTTTTGAATGACACCGGTAACTGATAAATAGATGTTTTCATACTAACTACAAAAATGAATATAACAAACTGTTATATTATTTTTGAGGTACCAATAATCTTTTTTGAGCATTTAAATCATTTCTTGGTTCCATAGACCTTAATACTTGTTGGAATGATGTCTCCATCACCAGGTTAAAACCCTTATAAGACCAAAATCAGGATAAGAATTGTAAATAACAGTGTACATGCCATTGAACAAAGTGTTTGTTCAGAAATCTAACATTTTGCACAATGATCCTCAGGGCTGATCGACGTGCATGTTCACCTGCGGGAGCCCGGTGCCACACACAAGGAGGACTTCTCCTCTGGGACGGCAGCTGCTCTGGCAGGAGGCGTGACCATGGTGTGTGCGATGCCCAATACTTCCCCCGCCATCACCGACGCCGGCACCCTGGCCCTGGCACAGAAGGTACGCAGAGGGTTCTTCATTATTATTATTTTTCTTTTCCATCAGTCAAATCGGAGCTCATTTGTCTGGTCCAAGCTGTGAAACAAATCCGATCGAGATCCAGTGAATCTTTAATCCAATGTCAGAATTTCTTTTGGCTTTCATCAACATGAGATATTATCCAAGCCTTTAATCAAAGTTAACCGACATAGAATGAGAGAAATGAATCCCGTGTCACATCGTATCATCAGCTGGCCAAAGCGGGCTGCAGGTGTGACTACGCCCTGTATTTGGGCGCGGCTTCAGACAACGCCGCCGCGCTGCCGTCCATCGCCAGCCAGGCTGTCGCCCTGAAGATGTACCTGAACGACACGTTCTCCACCCTCAAGATGGACAACGTATCTCTCTGGATGGAGGTAGGTCTAAGCCAACAATGTTTATCGTAATATACTGTTTTCAAAATGTAGTTTTTTTTTTATTATGAATGGATGTCACACTGGTAGAAACCTGGCGAAAATCATTTTAATGCCCCCAATGGGGGCGAATAAGAGCAAAATACGGAATATATTTCTGGCATTTAAAAAAATTATTTTTTAAATGTTGTTCAACCCTTTCTGTCAAATTACAACCAGAGATAAATGTGTCTCAAACTAGTTTTCTATATTTGTTTGATAGTAGGACTCTTGTAAAACTGTATGGAAAGGAAATTGGTGTCAAACATTTCTTGCCTCATTATATTTGGGAATTTATTTTTGTCATTTTTAGTACTCTTTGCCCAAGTGTCAAATTTCTTCATTTGACACTTGGGCAAAGAACGTTTTTAATTTGGTAGACTGATTTGTGAAACCTTAAGACCCCGTTAAGATGTGTCTTTTGTTAATCACCCTGTACACTAAACCCTGTGTCTGCTTTTCTCTGAAGCACTTTGAGAAGTGGCCCAAGCAGATGCCCATTGTTGCTCACGCTGAGAAGCAGACTGTGGCCGCTATCCTCATGGTGGCCCAGCTCTACCAGCGGCCCGTCCACATCTGCCACGTGTCCTCAAAGGAAGAGGTAAAATACAGTTTTCCGTTTGATTATTTACAAGATTTATTTTACTTTCATTTTGTCATTTTGTGAAGTCAAAATGTCAACAATATGGTCAATTGTAGAAGGAGGGATCGGGAGATCGACAGGCGGATTGGATTTTTTTTTGAGAAAAGTTAATGTTAAACAAATGAATCCCTGAGCTTAAAATGTAAGCTTTGTTCTTGAAAAGCAAAATTGAAAATATCTTATTTTTGCAGAGCCATCCCATAATAATACCGTTGAAATATGTAGTGGTAGGTTAGTTGTATTCATCGCCAATTACATTTGTGCCGGGCATTCACATTAAGACTGTCAATGCTGTATGCTCATTGTCACAGCCATGTACTCGTTCAATTATGTATGTATTATTTATACCGGTTATGTTCCTGCTGCAAGTATTTAATGACATTGTGCTCCACAGGCCTGATGTCTCCATGCTGTTTTATTAACCCCACCTCGTCCTCCCCTTGACTTCTTTTTAAGATCTTGATCATCAGAGCAGCGAAGCAGAAGGGCATCCAGGTCACATGTGAGGTGGCCCCTCATCACCTCTTTCTTTGCGAGGACAACGTGGCGATGATCGGAGACGGACGGGCGCAGGTACGGCCCATGCTGGGAACCCGCGAGGACATGGAGGCACTCTGGGAGAACCTGGACATCATCGACTGCTTCGCCACGGATCACGGTCAGCGAACACACACCAAGTGAAATCACGATCACCTGAGGACGAGAGCGAATGTTTTACTCGTGAACATGTTTCGTGTCGTCAGCTCCCCACTCTGTTGAGGAGAAGAGCGGCGACCGCCCCCCTCCAGGGTACCCCGGCCTGGAGACGATGCTGCCGCTGCTGCTGACCGCCGTCAGCGACGGGCGTCTCCTTCTGGATGACATCATCAGGCGTCTTTACGACAATCCACGCAAGATCTTCGGCCTCCCTGTGCAGGAAAACACCTACGTGGAGGTACACACACGTTGAGATGCTCAAGGGCGGAGGCAAAAAGCGCAGAAAGGAATCGATGCCTCATATGTGATCTGGTGAATAATCCTCACACTTGTATTTTGTTAATGACTTCTTCACTTGTCTGGGCCATCAGGTGGACTTGGAGCAGGAGTGGGTTATTCCTCAGGCCATGCAGTTCACCAAGTCAAAGTGGACACCGTTCCAGGGTATGAAGGTGAAGGGAAAAGTTCGCCGCGTGGTTCTTCGAGGAGAAGTGGCCTACATAGACGGCAAGGTAACATTCACACACATACGTGATCATTCGCTGTAGCCTTATTGTCTTACAAGTTAAGCGGGTTGAATTGAGATGTAGGCTTATGAATAATCTGAGTCATGTTTTAATGGTTTTACATTTATTGTGGTTTGTTCTTTGGAATTATAAAACCGTGTAATAAAGCTTTGAAATACATAACGGTAACAGCTGAATCTTCCCTTAGCACCCTCGCATTCCAATCAATACATTAACAAATCAATAAATAATTGCTAAGACCGTTTTATTCCTTGATTTCACTTATATTTTGGATTTAGGACTCTTGGTCATGTTTGCTGGAGCAAATGTTCAGTACGCAGAAGCTGGGGAATTAAGAAATATGAAATACAATACATAATAATGTCTTGTGTAGTAATACTTGTCTGTGTACACCTGTATTAAAACGAAGAAATGTTCATGTTTATAAGATTCAAAGGTATTCAAATACTGTTATAAACAAATATGTATAACAGTCAAAGGAGTTTATTTGATTAGTTTTGAAAATGATTTTGATCATTGTTCGGGTTACACATGTACATGGAATATACATATGAATGTAAGAAAGGTAGGTGTAATGAGCTAATGCTGTAGATTACAGGAGAACTTAAAACATGATACGTGTTTGGTGGGTCCGTCTAAATGCTTCTCTCCACCTCAGGTGTTGGTGCCTCCGGGTTATGGCGAAGACGTGATCGCGTGGCCCACTTCTTTGATTCATCGCTTCGAACCTGCCAAAGAAAGTCCGATGGTATTCAAAGTTAATGAAACAATAATGGATTAAAAAATAAACACAAACTGAGGAATGAAAAGCTAATAGATGCATGCTACTCTATTTCCTCATCATCGTCATGGTTCCCTGTGTGGATACTCGTTGCATGTATTCAGAGATTGGGTATTTGTCGTGTTTTTAGACCCCGGAGCACACGCGTCCTACCCCTCCCCGGGAAGGTCCAGTCCGAACCAGGGCGCCCAGCCCCCGCCGGTTAGGAGGTGAGAGCCGCTACCTGCTGCCTCCTCGCATCCACCGCTCCTCCGATCCTGGACTTCCACCAGGTACCACACGTCCCACAATGCTGGGCGAACAGTCCAGCACAGCGGGAAAGTTAGAAATATTTGCCTTTTTATATAAACAGCGTTATGCTTTGCTCGTGTATTTAACTGGTGGGCTGTGTCGCCTCACTCTCTGCAGAGATGGTTATGCTTCTGACGGCCGGCGCTGGCGATGGTTACAGCCACCCTCCTCCTCTGTCCAGGATCCTGTCCCCTCAGTCTGGAACAGGACAGCTTGTTGCGGGACCGTTGTCCCACCTGCAGACCTCTCCTCTGCTGCACCCACTGGTGGGCCAGCACATCCTGTCTGTCAGACAGTTCAGCAAAGAGCAGGTACGCTACACACAAAAAGACATTGTGTAACATTTGAGACTTGTGCAACCCTTTTTGTTAATGCCCGTTGTATTTATTTTTCTCAATTTGTATGTTTTGTTGGTTTCAGATCTCCCACCTGTTTAATGTTGCCCACACTTTGCGTATGATGGTTCAGAAAGAACGAAGCCTGGACCTCCTGAAGGTTTGTGCGCTTCATAAAGGTATTCAGTATGTGTGAGGATGCGGATGTACGACACTTTTCCCAGTGACTAGGACCCCTTTTCAGGAATTCTTTGTCTTTGACCGCAGGGATTTGATTCTGAACTTTAGAATGGGAGGAAGATTTTCCCCCCAAAAAGGCCCTGGTTGGGGGTGCTGTGAGTCCTAAACCTGCATTTTGGAATATTTGCTACCACAGTTTTTGTAACTCGTACCTGAGTAGTTATGAGTAGTATTTGTTTGTCTCAAGCCGAGCACCAGATGCATCTCCTGTCTCCGTACCAGGGCTGTCAAAATTTTTTGGATTTTTTGAACAAAGACATATATTCAAATATGTGGTTGCGCATTAGGCGCGTCAATAACAGAACAAATCTATACGAGACATAACTACTTGTATAGGTAATTTATTTAAGTTTAAACATATTCAAGAACATATTACCTACACAAAATTAAGTAAATTTACTAACAGCCAAGACCGCAGATCTCTTGCATAAGATAACGGTTTAAATGAACGACAACAATAAACAAATGCTGAGTGCTGATGAGTTTAGTGCCAGCAATTTAAGGTTGCGATTCTTGTCCCAAATATGTCAGGCTTCATTCAGTGATTGAAACTGAAAGTTTTATAGTACCGACATTGGACGCTCCGAGTGAGCTCTGCTGTAAACACGGAACTTTTCCTTGGCATGAAACGGCAAATAATCAAACCAGTGCATGAAGCTGTAGCCTATTTTATTCATGCAATATATAGTCCGTAGATGCGCGCGCCGCCCCCCTGCAAAGCAGACAGTCGCGCCGCCGTTTTTTTTTATTTATTTTTTTACATTTGAATATTAATTTTCACATTTGAATAGTTGTTTTTCACTATTCGAATATAGAATATTGGTTGACAGCCCCACTCCGTACTGTCCAGGGCAAAGTGATGGCGTCCATGTTCTACGAGGTCAGCACTCGCACCAGTAGCTCCTTCGCGGCAGCCATGCAGCGTCTCGGCGGCTCCGTCGTCCACTTCAGTGAATCCACGTCGTCGACACAGAAGGGAGAATCTGTGGCCGACTCAGTCCAGACCATGAGCTGCTACGCCGACGTCCTGGTGCTCCGACACCCGATGCCTGGAGCCGTGGAGGTGGGTGTGAAGTCCAGCATCGTTTGATGTGGATCTGCGCTTTCTGCAAAATCTGTTTTTGTGGTTCTTTCTGAAGCGGGAGAAACCACTAAAACGTGAATTTAAGATTAATACATCATTGGCATTTCAAAACTACTTTAAATGAGCTGTTAATTGAAGTTTTCTATGATTCCAGCGATTGCATTTGAATTGTTATGACTGTTTGGTTTGTCACTCGTCTCCAGAGTGCTTCCCGTCAGTGCCGTAAGCCTGTGATCAACGCCGGAGACGGCGTCGGGGAGCATCCAACCCAGGCGCTGCTGGACGTCTTCACTATCCGAGAGGAGCTGGGGACTGTTAACGGCATGACGGTGAGGAATTTATCATTCACAAACTTTTAGTTTGATTGTTCACCATCCTCCAATTAGAACCCGTGTTTAATTGATGTATCCACGATGCGTTACCTTTCAGATAACCATGGTTGGGGATCTGAAACACGGCCGCACGGTTCATTCCCTCGCCAAGCTGCTGACCCAGTACCGCATCACCCTGCGCTACGTGGCTCCAAAGGACCTCCACATGCCGGCAGAGATCATCAGCTACGTGGCCTCAAAGGGCATCAGACAGGTGGGGATGAGACTGTGCTGAAACGGTATCACGAGCCACATTTGTGTATAATCAGATAGATTTCTGTTTACACATAGACATTTCTCAATGGTTTTGATGGTTTTTTATGTTATTAACTCAGTTTGTGCCCATTTTTCACCCGTTTGCAGGAGGAGTTTGAAAGTATTGAGGAAGCTCTGCCAGAGACCGACGTCCTCTACATGACGAGGATTCAGAAGGAGAGGTTTGCGTCTGAAGAAGAGTACAATGCTGTAAGTGAACTTGTTTTTCCTTCAATCCACTGCTTGTGTTTTGTCGTCTCTTCAGACTAAAGTAGAAAACAAGAACATCATTTTCCACCAAAGCCTTTTTTTTTGACTTGGTAAATGATCATTTATGGGATGGAAAGTTGTTTAAAGCAACTCCGCTTACGTTTTGTGTCTCAGTGTTTTGGCCAGTTCATCCTCACCCCTCACATCATGACTGTGGCCAAAAAGAAGATGGTGGTGATGCATCCGCTGCCCAGAGTCAATGAAATCAGGTCAGTCCCAATGTGAACCATGAGGGCTTCTCATGCAATAACCTGTCGACCTCTGGGTGTATCAAAAGAACATTTAGTTTGTCAACTCCGATTCAATTCATTTTTTTCAGAGCAGCTTAGATTCTTACTTGCAATAGAATCCATTTTTCCCCCCTGAAATAAGATTAATGTGGTTGTATGTCAGGCCTCAACTAACTAGTTCATAAGACTCATCAGTGGATTCCACTTCAAACATAGTTTAGTTCCTTTATTATGCAACGGACGAAGACATTTGTGTCCGTAAAAACTAAGGACGTTTTTACTATTTTTGTCAACCGATTAATCCAAAAAAAGCTTAAATCGCTTGACAAGAAGGCTCCCAGGGAGATATTATTTCCAAATGATAAAGTGATATTTAATCTGAATAGATTTTTTGTTAAAAGCGATTGGTCTTGGCGGAAGCCATTTGAAATGAACTTTAATAATCATTGACCGTTCTTGTACAGTAGTGTTGGATAGAGCAGTACTCGAGTCGTTAAACGTATCCTCTTGTGTTTTTCTCTCAGCGTGGAAGTGGACACAGACCCAAGGGCGGCGTATTTCCGTCAAGCAGAGAACGGCATGTACATCCGAATGGCCCTCCTGGCCACCGTACTGGGCAGATAGATCCACGTGGCGTCTATTTGCAGCACAAGTTGTGGACCATTTTTAAGAGTGTTACGTCCTAGACACGATTCCAGCCCGTCAGTGGATTTCTTGTTTCCAGTCCCAGAAGGGGTGTAGTAATAAATGCCACAAAAGACTAACTTGATCGTTAGGTTTCTGAACTCGTATAATGCTGCTGCGGACCGGTACTTGTTTTTCATCGTCTTAGTGGACGTTTTCCATAAATCTGCCGCTGAACTAGAAATACTAGATGTTGTACTTGGAATTGGGAGAATTGAGAAAGGACATTTAAGTCATAACCGCCGTGGCGTTGTGTGTTATTGATTAAAGGTATTGGTCGCTGAATGAATTTAAAGGGACCCGTTACGATATTAAAATGGAGGAAACGGTGAGGTATTGCTCTGTTCTGACCAATAATGCTGCCAGTTTGCTGGATTATCTACTTCAAAGTGTTCCGTTAACTGAACATTCATACACACGCACATTCTCTTGAAACTCTGCCTTTGATGGTTCAGGAGTGATTCCTTATTCTGCTGCAGTTTAGAAGTACTCTTTTATCATCTGTGAACAAGTGTTGATGAATGACTGTATTATGGGGAGAAATAAATAATAAAAACAATTTCCTCTTTGCATTTGACGCGCTTATTAATATCTCATCGCTTGAAGAAATAAAACACTGAATGTGGCATCAGGCTTTCACTAATGTAAAAACGGACTTGTTTTTTGTAGTAGTAGCAGATTTCAAGTCCTGGTTGTTAAAGTGTAATGCAAAAAGAAAATGGGTTGTGTAACATTACTTTTCTCATGAAGTAAGTTGATTATTTACTTTGTGATCCTTGAGTTTAAAGTAATTTAATTAGTTAATTAATGGTTTATTACCTGTGTATAACTAATAAAACATCTACTCTAATACAAAACTAATGAAACATTTTGAATGCATGTTTGCATGGATAAATTATGGCAAAGAAACCAAGGAAGTGATCGTTACAATAAATGCTGTATTTAAAACTGTTAATTCAATCTAATTCACAAGTGTCCAAGTATGACTCAGCACGTTTTAAACATTGAGAAAAAATGAGATTCCAAGAACAAATAGATCAGATCAAATCTGAATCCCTCAAGACACCGCAGCTGCTGAAGTGTTAAAGACTGCAACTCTCTTCTATGCTATTATCTAACATCCTATGGGAATGTATGTTCCTGTGGTTCTTTAATATTAAACGTCACAACCGTATTTCCTCTCAAATATATACGGCTTTCAGGGAATAATTAATTGAAAGCCGTCATAACATTCTGAATGCCTAAACTATGTTTTCCTCACGCCGCAGTATATCAACTCCGAGATTATTAATTTGCGAAATAAAACCTCATAATTAGCCGCGCGTGCTGGAAAGGTGGATTTTTTGGGGAAACCCTTGAAAGCAGCATCCCGTTCCTGGAAGGAGGAACCAGCCAATCACAGCGCGGCTGCCTTCACGCGAAGAGACGCGCACATGAAGAGGCGACCCGGGGGCGCCACAGCTGGCCATCACTCCTCCGCCACCGGTCCCCACTGAAACGAGCCTTCACCGGGCAGCTGAGACGTTAAACCGGATGCCTCTATGATCCAGCTAACCGCGCGGCGAGATATACGGTGTTCAGTTTGCGCAAGGTAAGGCGTTTCGGGGCAGCGCTTGATCAGCTAGCTTGGGGTTGGCTAACCGCGGCGTAGCTGTCACGGGCTCACGTAGGCCAAACTCCGTGCAAAAAATCTGGCATTTTAAGGCGGATTCTCCACCAAGCGGACAGCGCAGCGCCGCGAACGCGTAAGACGATTCCAAGCATCTTTATGAAACCCACACGATGCAACTTCGCGCGCGGGGCACATGTTCCACAGCGCCATGCAAATGTTTTTTCCTTCTTAAAGTGTTTCACTTCCAAGCGGGAGGGCGGCGGCATCGACGTGGGTCGCAGATTTCTTTATTTTATTTTTTGCGGCGCGTGGTGTCTCTTTGGCAGTGAGCCACGTTTCAGCGCGTTCGTCCGTGGTCATGTTGCACGTTCATTGAATCAAAATCGCTTAGGATGCATCTGCCCCCCCTCCGCGCGACGGCGATGTCGGGGCGACTCTCCGGCTAACAGGTAGCGCGATGTAACGCCGCGCGAGCGCCGCGTGACGTCATACGCGTAACGTTGATTGTCCGCGCAATAGACAAAAGTACCGTTACTTCCATCAGTGCTTCCTCCGTGGTCTCGTGTCACGCTGGCCGGTCGGCTGCTGGTCTCCGCCGGGCCCGACGCGTCAACCCCCCCTGATTTAAGTCTTTAACGGCGCCGTAAGTGGCGTCAAGTGGAATTGGTAGAAATGTTCGCTGTAACGTTTCCGCGTGAATGTAACGTGGACGGTGACGCGGGTTCGCCATGAGCAGGGAGATTAGCGAGGGATTAGAGGTATCTCTCTCTCTCCCCCCTCCTCACCCACTCTCCGCCACTGTAGTTGAGAGGGAAATCTGCCATTTACTCCACTTTAAAGTTACTTCGCCGATTCAGATTAATAATACAAGCTATAACCAACACGTGTATTATTATTTTAACGATTCACAAACCACTACAAACTCATGTTTATGAGAAATGTGTATAAATTAATTCACATTTACACTCTGCAATGTCACTTGTAACTGAGTCATTTTACGTTGGAGCAGAATACATGGAATACTTTTCCCACTTCTGCAGCTGTGAAAACCATACAGTGACCGTTATGAGCGGGATCTGTTCTGCCAGAACCGGGCTCCTCTGTTGCAGGGTGTGCGTGTGCATGTCAGAAGCTGGATCACATGACTGGTTAAGATTCCCCATCAAGCGGAGGCCTTTACTGCAGACGTCATATAACCCCGCACACATCTTTACCGCTCAGTGCGAGGAGATCGGGGGGGTTGCGTTCCTTACTTTTGACTTTAATGATAAACAGATGCAGCACAGTTTGGGTCGCGGTCGATGGCGGGAGTCTGCTAGCGATGGAGGCGGGAGTCTGCTAGCGATGGAGGCGGGAGTCTGCTAGCGATGGAGGCGGGAGTCTGCTAGCGATGGAGGCGGGAGTCTGCTAGTGAAGCTCATCTCCGTCTTCTTACGTGTATATAAATGGTACTTTTAAATCCAAATGATTTATCGTTGAAGCTCATAAAATACTACCTTTCCTCTCTGAGACACAGCCATCCGATACGAGTATGAAAGAACTGTTACGGACACCGGCAGAGATGTTTTTGTTTTGTTTTTCTCTCTGGGGGGCTTGGCGCCGTCTTTTATTACAGCGATGACATGTCGCAGACACACACCTTCGCTGGTTCTATTTCTGAACAATAAAGAGACGTGCTATTTTAAGAGTGAACAAGGTAAAGTCGATTTTAAAAGATGGTTTGGTCCTCAGTCCACATGTGTTTTTTCTCTTGTCCTGAGAAGATAAAAGTTCCTTGTCTTGTTGTAGTGAAGCAAAACAGGACTTTGGTGTCGCTTGATGTTCTGTTCTAATAATAGGCTGTTAAAAATGGTAATACAAGTACATCTAAAACTGGGCCTGAGTAGTAGATTAGGTGTCTGTGCCCACACATGTGCTGTTCTGATGGGTGGCGTTGCTTTCTGGTGTGTGTTTTTTGCTCTATTACAAGATTATTTTCTATTTTTAACAGTGAATTTGTTGTGGAATTCTGCTCAGCGGTGCTTTTAGTGGTCACAGTCATATAATTTATGGTAAGACCGGGGTTTTGTTGAACAAATATCTTGTTAAAGGTTCTAATGAGACATTAAGGGCATTTAACAAGACGCAGCAAACGGCTATAATGCTTCATAAAGAAGTAAAGCAGTAAATTCCTACAGAGCAGCGAAGGAAGTCACTCCCTCTGTGTTTGAGCATGATGTATTTTAACCTTTTTAAAATATTATATATATATATATAACTATGAAACATCCTTAAAGCAATCATGCTTTTTTTTTTTGCAAACCAGTTTAATAATATTAAGTATAGATTAAATATTCCATTTTGCACAGTGTGTGTGTGTGTGTCACACAAGCAAACATGTACTTTCCCTCCATTTTGGTCACTCAGCTGACAGCCCCTCGGCTAGAAACAAAAAATAGCTCTTAAATTAAGATGAATATCTGCACTTTGTAGAACTTGGAAGCACAAAAGAGTCCCAGTTGGACATTTTGAATGTGTGTCGGTGGTTTTCAGTGGCTTTGGAAACGCGTTATGCCTCATTTACATACCATGGGTCCTGGTGGCGTGATAAAGGAGGACCACTTGCATCCATTCAGGCTTTTCTTTCTTCTTCTTTTTTTTTTTTTTTCTAGACTGCACCACCAAGACTGCATTTAGCCAATCAGCCTAATAGACTTGGCTCAGTGACCCTCCGGTGGGATTGATCCGTGCATTGACTCGCCTGCAGGCCCGAAGGTCTTGCAGGTTTCTGCGTCAGGCAGAGGCCTCGCCTGTTGGTCCGCCCCGTCCCGACCGTCTGCCTACGGTTGGCGCGGCGTGTTTGGAGAACTCGGCCGTGTTTTGCATCAGCTTCAGCGGGCGCGCCATCTGGTCCCGCAGCGCGTACATCGGCGAGGAAAATATTGGCCGTTTTCATCTCTTCTCCGCAGGGTTTATTCAAATGAAAAGTCCGCTCATCCTTATATTTTAGAAGCGCCGGAGAACCTTTCAATTCGTTTGTCGGTTTCCTCTGTTGGTGGAAAAATTGGCGACTGGCTGGTTTTTCGAAATTGTTTTTATTTTTCAGCTCCAGCTCTTGTTGACGGTGGTAGTTGTGTCCATTCATAGCTGCCGTTTTGCAACCAACAGTGGTTGTAACCTCGATCAAAAGACAAAGAATTTGCAGCAGGAATATGAGTGGAAGGGAGGAAGGCATCAGCTGTCGGACCGCCAGTGACTGAGTGTTTCTTCCTAAACAATTCTGGTGTTATTTTCCAGGTTAATTGTTTGGTGTTTACGGTCCGAAAAATTCATCTTTTGTCTGTCTAAGTATTCAGTTTAACATGAAATAAAAACAAGGTTCTCTGGTAGACTTAATTCATTAGGGTGATATTTGACTAATTCATAACTCAATCAAAATGATAGAAAAAATACATGTAATAAAATGTGCCTAAAACACCATTTTAAGGCATTCACCACAGTGCAGCTCTTTGGAAATTGTGACCATTTTTCTTTCCATTCTGTCAGCCAATCGATCTAAAATGAATCTAATCTCATTTCGTCGTCTTCCACTCCAACTGCAGTCGTCTACTTTATAAACATCTACAAAAAAAAAAAAGAAGGAGGAAACCACCTTTTTAGTTCTGGGGCACATTTAAACCAAGGGGACAGTCGCCTGGATCGATGCTCGTGTTCTAGTTGCCCTCTTTTATTTTAAAGCAATACTAATACTAAAAGTATCCCTTCGTGGGTGAAGTATTGCAGGACTTAACAAAGCGGGCACACAACTTCATGCTGGTTAGCTGAAATAACAAAAGCCCACAGCTTTAGCATCAGCTGGGGATTTGTAATAACCGTGAAGGTCATCTGAGGTTTTTAATCCTCTGCAAATCTGCCCACTTTGTAATATCTGAGGTAAAAAAAAAAAAATCAGCAAACTGCCCCCCCTGAGGCGGCGAACCCGTCGGGTCGCACTAGTGCTGCGTGAATAGACAAACCTAACGGCCCTTTTTTAAATCCTTATGTCAATGTCTTTCACGCTGACGGTCTAATGGGGGCAGTGGTGGAAATACTTGATGACACAAACAATGACACAAACGTTGTGCGTTCTCTCACATGGACTCGGACCGGTAATCTGTCGAATCGGCAACGCGTAATCTCCTTTAGTCCACAACCCGGACAGCATTATATGCCTGGCTTAAAAGTAGTCGGGGTGTGTGTGTGTCTGTGTGCGTTTGTGTGTATTTGTACAGTAGCCACGGTTTGATACTAAGCTCTTTTGTCTATTGTGAAACACTTTTTACATTGCAGTCATTTACACAACAGCAATTATGGATGAAGTCTTTTGATTTGTGCACCTAAGGTGTAGCTTTCTCACACCTTCACCTCGGCCAGAGCCTTATTTCACATTTGATGAAAGCAAATGAAACCATTTCATTTTTATTCATTTTTCTTACGTTTCCAAAACCTTTTTAAATGTAACATTTTGGTCAAATGTGGGCCATCAGCGTTCTATATTTAAACGCTGTAATTACACGGTCACAGCGGCCAGCGCCACGCTTGGCTTGGCGCTGGTCGCTGAGGCGAAGACAAAGTGTCAGCGAGCTCAGCTGTGTGGCAACAAAGGGGCCGTGTGCAAAAGAACCATACACACCACACAACAACACTGTAGAATCAATTCAAAGCAAAGGCTTGTGTTGCAGCGCCATATTCAACGGGAATAATAATAGTTCCATCTGGCCCCGCTTTACTGCGGGTGTGTTTTTGTACTCGTCCTTCAGACAGCGACGCATCCACAGTGTGTTGTGTCGTTCCTCGGCTGTCAGCTGTTGTTAGTCGCTGCAGAAACGGGGCCGATGGACGTCTTGTCTCTTGCCGGTTCGTCTCGGGCCGGCTCCGTCGGACGAAGGGTCTTCGGGTTGGCCGCGCCGACCCTCGCAAACCGCGACGACAAGCTGCAGTGCTTTCATCTTTTAATCCCCCTGCAACATCGTCCGACGTGTCACCATCGTGAAATGATCTCTGTTTCTTTTGTGTGTGTGTGTGTGTGTGTGTCACTTTCTCCTGATGACAGACGTGAGCCATGGCTGAACCGAACCCCTCCCGCCCCCAAAGGAAGATGTCCACCGCCGGGGAGAGCGTGTACAAGGTGCTAGGGCTGGAGAAAGGAGCGACGGCCGAGGACATCAAGAAGGCCTACAGGTGTGCATTAAGAGGTCTCCTCTGAACGGATTCGTTTCTCTTCTTTCTAATTATTACATTACTTCCTAAAGCCGTGGCTTAAATGAGTTTAATCCCGGGCAAATACTGCCTCATAGGTGGTCCGATCACTCAAGTGTTGCTGAAGAGCAATAATCTGATTTGGGCAGAGGCGGATACTGAAACCATAATTTTAATAGTCGTCGTAATGAGTCGCCGCTAACGATGGAAAATATGCAAAAGTTAATCGAATCGGAACCCGATCACTTGGAAGCCTTTTCCCCACACGTGGCATCGTTTGATCCCCTCCCGCGTGCTCCTCCTCTCTCCCGCCAGGAAACTGGCGTTGAAGTACCACCCGGATAAGAACCCGGAGAACCCGGAGGCGGCGGAGAAGTTCAAGGAGATTAACAACGCCAACTCCATCCTAAATGACGAGACCAAGAGGAAGATCTACAACGAGTACGGCTCCATGGGCCTGTACGTGTCCGAGCAGTTCGGGGAGGAGAGCGTCAAATACTACTTCCTCATGTCCAAGTGGTGGTTCAAGGTTCGTGCTGCGGCTCGCTGGCGGCCTTCGCCCATTATAAAGGCGCCACATCTTGCTAAATTTAAACATTTTAAGTCGCAATAGGGCTTTCTGTTTTTTTTTTACACAGCCAGGTGTAACATTGATATTGAAAATCCAAATTCCAGCAGTATTTGGCTCAACTGTGTGCAAAACCCTCAGGCCGTTGACCAAATGACTCCCGCAGGGTCTGGTGCTGTGCTGCACCATGTTCACCTGCTGCTGCTGCTGCTGCTGCTGCTGCTTCTGCTGCGGGAAGTGCAAACCACCCGACGACGAGGAGAACTACCAGTACGTCGACCCCGAAGACCTGGAGGCCCAAATCAAGGCGGAGCAGGACGGAGGCGAGTCTCAGGCTCTCGTTTTTGTCATCCATTGTTGTGATTAACTGCGGTCCACGTAGGAGATCGACTCAGGCTGGGGGGGGGGGGGACTATTTAACCATGGCGCATTTTTTATTATATATATAATATAAGTATTAAAATGTTATTACATCTTAATGTTAAGTTAATGGAGGCCTTTTGTTCCATGAATTCATTTAGCCACCTGTTAGCATCTTCTTTCTTGGCGACGTGTAAAAGCTTCATAATTCACACAACAGGCGTATCTGGGGACGTGTTTGATGACCTTCATTCAGGGGTCAAACATTGACCTCGAGACGCGGGAACTGGAGATGCAAAAAAAAAGCGTCATTCCTAATTTATTCCTGTTTCCCTGGAAACCCCCCAAAAATGTGCTCATCCTAAATGAAACCTTTCAGTCGTTGAGATGTTTGGCCAACGTAACAAAGGGCTTCTTTCTGGAATTTAAATCCACATAAGCTTGGTTGTTAATACTTCTTTTATTTATTCACAAGTGGTTGAAAGCTTTCTGTTGTTGTTGTTGTTGGTCTCGTGTTTGCTGACCAGACACTTTTCTCTGGATCAAAAACAGACTGTGTTGAGCAGAAAGGTCACCCAGGCAGCTTTTGCAGGTTTTTTTTTTATTGCTAAATGAAAAGAATAACTTCATTTATATAGCGCCGTTAAAAACAAATTTACAAAGCGCTTTATGGTTCAAATACATTATAAAAGTAGAACTATTTGGATTATAATCATCTCCTGTAACTGCATCCGCTCGGTTGAAGGTGGAGCGCGCAGCGGGAGGATGACGGAGACCTCAGTTTGTGCGTCAGTGGCTCCGCGTCCTGTTTGTAGAACACGAGCCGTCTCCCCTTCGATCTACTGGAGGTCGGACAGCATTCAATGGCATCAACGTTATCATTTAACAACAAAAACTATGTGTCAACAAAGCCGTGTGTTTTCAAGGGTTCCGAAGTGGTGCGAATGTCCGGATGCTTTTGCACGTTTGTTAATGTGCAACCAGCCGGCACCGCGACGCGCTCTCACGCTGGCGGATTCCTGTGTTCACGCTCCGATCCAACAGGTTACACGGTAATCATAGGCCAGCCCAAATCTAACCCGGGCGCGGACGGCCCAGAAGGCCCGAGTCAGCCCGCCCCCGTGCCGCTGCCGATGCCGCTGCCGATGCCGATGCCTCCCGCCGAGGCCCAGTCGCCGAGCCCGGCCGGTCCAGCGGGGGAGGAGAACCCGGGAGGGACGCTGCCAGAGTCGAAATGACTCGTAAGAGCCGCCTCGTCTTGGCCCTCCGTCACGTCGTCCCCGCTTGGTGTGTCCGTGTCGGCTCGCTCGTGTCCTGGCTGCACGTTGTCCCCCATCAGCACGGCACCGCCGCATCCATCCCGTCACGCCGCCTGCATGTCGTCTCCATGTCACTGTCATTAACCGCTGCCTTTTTCTTCACTGTCACCTTTGTCACTCGTTAGTCATTTCATGTTTCTTTGTCCCCTTCTAGTGTCATACTGGCATCCATCTATCCATCCACCGTTAATAACCGTAGCTGTGTTTTTCTCAAATATTGTCCGGTTTTTACATATTTAAATTAATATTTGCTGTAATGGGGATTATGATATGGAGACGGTAACGTGGCTACTTTCCTCCCCCCCCACAGGAAAGTGACAGTGGGGATGAGCCTCAACTAGCAGAAGCAGGTAGGAGAGTTATATTTCCTTATGGGGGGGGGGGGGTACGCAGAGTGAGGCGTCCCTCAGATCTTTTGTGTGGACCACCAAGCAACGGCGTTTTCCCTGTTTGTGATCTGGATACAGCAGCTGTTCAATCTCTGTCTTTCTCCCCACCCTCCCCCTCCCCCCCTCTCTGCTTTAGCCTTTCGAGCCCCTACTATGATCCAGCCACATTCGACTGCTGCCAGAGAGCAACCAGCTGAGAGCCACCAGCCGCCCCCGGCCCCACACCTCAATCCCGCCCCCCCCCCCCGACCCACCGGATCTACCCTCCTGGACCACACCCGCAAGGTGGGCGCCTAAAGGCCCCTGGGCCCCTTCGTTGGAACTCAAGTTATAGAGACGTATTCATGCAAAATTAAACTACCTACTGGGCTTGAAAAGGCCAAGCGCCGCCCCCCCGCCCCCCCCCCCCCCCCCCCCCCCACGCTCCATCTCCCTCCAGGTTGCTACATACTTTTAGCCTAGCCTGCGGCTACGTGTGATCCTGCCAACCGTTTCAGTCCGTCATGCAGGACCGGGCTTAACAGCGCCTCACTAATCTGTTCTGATCATCCCTTAACGAAGCCGGGAGGACCGGGCTGCCGCAGTGAGCTGCAGGGCCGCGCCATCTCACTATCTGCCTGCTAACGGGACTGGCATTGACTCTCTCCGAACCTCCCTCACGTCTCCCTCCATTTTGGATTGTGTACGTGTCTTTTATTTCTTTTGTTACATTCCCTTCCCTCTTTAACTCAAAGAAAAAGGATTTTGGAACGCCGCTCGTGGCGGCTGCACGGCGACGTGCCTGCGGAGGACCTTATTTTGTCGTCGTCCTCGTCCTTCAGTCTCAACGAACCGTCGTATTCCGCATTCAATATCGCATTGACGCCGCCTTCGCGTTGACCCTTTCAAACGCCGCGCACGCTGCCGAAGCGTGGTGGTTGGATTCTCCTCACACCGGGGACGAAGCGGAACAGAGGAGACGCGGCTCGGCCCGAAGCGATCTTTTGACGTTGCGTGTCTGAGCCGAAGCCGGGCGGTGACGGCGCAGCAGCGCCCGCGGTGCCGTCCAGGCGTTCCTCTCCAACATGCATGCATTGTTTCTGTCCCGAATGCACGCGTTGTTGTCATCCCTTCCCCCTCGGCCCGGCACACACTCATGTACAGCACTGGAATACAGTCAGCCCACCAAACCAGAAAACTGCCTAGTGCGCACACACACACACACACGCACACACACGTCATGGTCACTGGGCTGCAAAAACGAGCCAGCCAGATGTGTGGACTGAAACGGACAACGACAGATGCCATAGCGTGGAAGAGAAATACGTCGCTCGTCAGATCGCTGCGCTCCGTCTTTTCTTGTGTTGCAGTCAAACTCTTTGGCAGACCGACGCCAACAGCTCCATGTAGCGTGCCAACCCACGATCACTCCAGTCGAGCCCCATTGGTCTCTGGAAACGCCATTTGTTGTTTCTTATTCTCTCATATACGTTTGGGTCTATGCACCTTGCAAAGCGGGTCCGTTCCTTTCAAATGGTTCTGATGTAAGTCCAGGGTTTTATTTGACCTCTTACACACCAGAACGACCAAAACTGGCCATTTTTAAGTTACTTGATGAAGCGTGAACTCTGGTCCAGATCCATTAAGACTGCATTGCGAGGGGAGGTCATGAGGGATTCGTGAAAAAGGTCACTGAGAATACTTGTTCCCGGCTGTCTGGCTGACACGTGTCCCTGTGCCGGCCTTTAGGGGATCTGGATCAGTGTTGTTGTTTCAGCTGCACAGAACTGTGATGATGGCCACAAAGAGGGGTTTTTTTTTTTTTCACAAAAACATTTTTTTCTTTTTCGTTAGGGCCGCTCCTTCAGTGCTTTAGCTCACTTAAATGTTCTTGAAACCATCTGGTTTTGGGTTGTTTGTTAGAAGGGAGCGTTCACTCATGGTTAGGTTACTTTTTAATAGCGGTTTCCTCTGCATGGCAAACGTTGACGCTGCAGCTCGACATGGGACCATATGGAAAGTTACGGTCAAGGTTCCCTGTATCATCCTTTGAATTGAAATGTGGTATAAACTGTTAAAATGGCACTAAAACAGACTGGAGCAAACTCCATTTTTAGTGAACAAAACGTTAGATGAGGCAATTCTTAAATACCTACATGGTAACGAATAAATGAAGGTTTAAATAATAGCAGCATTGTGTGTCTGTTCTTTCTTCTATAATAATTCTCATTATGTCTTTACACTCATAATGGAAATTCTCCATCAACTTTTTTTTTTTTTTTAATTTCATTAAAATCCAATACTCCTTAAAACCTACATCCCATCTCTAGCTGCAGCAAACAGCTTTTCATGGTAGCTTTACTTTAAGGGACACAAATGATTAGTGGACAGATTTTCTCTTGATCAAATAACTGACTAATCGTTTCAGCTCAAGCGGCTGAAGGTCTTTTTATCGAGTTATTCCAGCGTTCCATTGTTACTGATCTGTACAGAGGGCTTTTGATGGAGGCGTCCGGCTGCGTTAAGAGTCTTATGAACCAAAAACCTGTGTTTTTATTGAGTCTGATTCTGCCGTGTTCCGTGTAAAGTCGACCTCGATGCGCTTCGCCAGGTCTAGCAAGTCAATATCGTGGGGATGGTGTTGAGTAACGTTTACTCTACTTGATACATGCTGTGAGTTTCATGTTTGATTACTTGCCACACAGGTGCTTTGATAAATTGAACGTGCTTTACTTCTGGAACATGGGGATTATTAATGTGGCGACATCATCACCGGGTGGGTTTTTGTTGATTCTTCATCAAAGACTTAATTGCTGTCAGCGACTTTTTATTCATCTGTTTTATTGTCTGGGACCCACCGTGAGTCCGAACTGACCCCGCGGAGACAGAAACATTCTCGTGTGTACGTATCTAGATAAAAAAAAATAGAAATCTTCCTATCAGACGGTGTTTTAAAAGGAGTTGTTTGACATTTTTGACTCTACTGATCGCATTGAAAACTTTTAAGAATGTTTACTCTGGTCAATACGTCAATGTGCTGTTGAGAATTATTGTCTCGTGCAAAATACTGTCGCTTGTAGGTACATTGTTTTTTTTTCTAAATGTTCTCGCTGTCCGCTGGCAGATTATTCCTTTTGTTTTCCTCCCACTATAAATAAAGGCCATAGTGTGTCTGTGTCAAGCTCAGCTGCTAATGCTCCTCAATGTTAATATTGCCTGGAAAACTGCACTAGAATAATGTAGACCTCCACGTGGAACCAGCAATCAGGAACACTTTCATTTTGGTGAATTACAAAATGTTCCCAAACCAGCTCGGACTGATGCTTCCTTCATTGACTTCTGTCTCTTTAACCACCGATCTTTAAAGAGGGACTTCAGATCTCGAATCAAAAGCGTTAAAGCAACGAGGCCACGATGCTCTGAATGAAGACATTATTTATTATTTTTGTAATTGTTGGTAAAAATGGTAAATTTTCATTATTGTGAATTGAGACGTTTAACAAATTAACGTCTAACAGTGTAATTTGTAATTTGTTTTCTTTTTTTTTTTCATTTGTCACATAATGGCATAATATAAATGTAATATTACTAATGTGGGGGGGTCAACTTGTCGCTTATGTTGGCTGTTCAATGATGAGTGAAGTCTCCCTTGAGTCCGGGTGCAGCGCTTCGTGCTAACCTGATAGCATACGCTCTGGTAACATGAACTCAATGCACGCGAATGCTAAAAGCTGTTAGCATGGAGCTAACGTTCTGCACATGATTTGTGGGTTGGTGTTGTCTTTAATTGACTGACAAGTAGGACAATCCACTAAATTGCTGTATTTCTCTTCGTAGTGACGAGAACATGTTAAAACGATTAGATCATGGTGAGGACATTTTTATCGATGATGTTTTTTTTGAGGGGGGGGGGGGTTCCATGTGGACGATGTGTAAATGATTTAACGTTAAATTCAAACGAATAAAAAAAACAAATGTTTTTTTATTTTTTATTTTGTCATTCATTTGCATTTGGGTGTAATTTCCCCATGAAAATAATAAAACCACTGTTAAAACCAGTAAAGGTGTGTTTTTGAGCCCATTTGCCCTTTTCTTTTTAATGGTGTCTGTGGAAATAAATGTAGTAAATAAATTCTTGGGGGGATACACAATAATGACCTAAACATTGGGAGTGGGAGCTGTTGGAGAGGCCTGAATAGCTGTGCGTCGGTGTGTACAGTTCACTCGGCTGCTTATAAATAGTCTAGTAATCCCGTTAATAGCTTAGTCTATTTAGCCAACTCCATTCTGGGGATTAGGAAATACCTTTGGCTGACCTCGACGCTATCTACTCGATTATCAGGAAGTTCACAAAGGTCAAAGGTCAGCGACCCGAGGTGAAAGTGTCTCTGGGTCATATCGTGGAGGGAGTTTGATTCGACATGGATTCTGGTTTGAAATCTGGTTATTAGGGATTAATTACATTGTTGTTGTGCTGTTGACATTTGTTTACGTTGATCTTGATCAGGATTCCGGTCAAACAAATATTTTTTTTCTTACATTTTTCTCATGGCCTACTACACTTCAATAATAACTAATGACAAATATGTATAATGAAGGTCTTCACGTGCTCGACTCAACTAAATGTCCTCCATGTAACTAGTGGAATGTTCGCTATGAGCTGCGTTTGTTCTGGCTTGATGACTCAATCAAACATGACACATTTTAAATACAGCTTACTCGTGGAAATATGAGTTATATGAAGCATGAATCCTGCATTCAATAAGTGTAACTCTTGTAAAAGTACAAAATCAAAGCTTAAAAATTACCTATTTCAGAATTGTGTATATATAGATATAGATATATGTAGATATACATCAGTTAGCATGTTCCCCTTGACCACGCTAACTAAGGGGGAAAACTGTCATGACGTGTGACGAGTGCTTCTTGTGACAAACAGAAGTCCGAGCTGAGAAAAGGACCCCGCTGTTTACGCCAAAGTGCCAATCGGCTCAAACACAGAAGCCAGAGGTTGCGTTATGTCACGAGGATCCCTTCTTAAGTATCAGACGTCACACAAACATTTTCATTTGAGCCACGGCGGCACCGGCAACGGCCTGGACGGGGAACGCAGTTTAGACAGTAACCCAAGCCAGAACACACTGAGGGTCTAAGAATAGTCAGCAGCCCGGCTGCCGTGGTGACGGAGACGGGGGGGGCGGGGGCGTGGCCGGGTCTTTGCGTGGGGGTTAGCCAGGCTGCCAGTGGGGGTAACATACAATGTAGGAGCTGGAGAAGAAGATAGAGGGACACTAAAGACACCTAGAACACCAAACCCCACCTTCGGTTTCTCTGCTTGTTCCCTACTTCCGTCTCCTTGGACCGCTCACTCACCGCACCGCTGGAGGGGATGAACTTCGCCCTCAGGCCTCCATCCTCAGGCAGATCCGGGCCCGGTGGCGGCAGAGGAGCCACCATGGAGAACCTGGAGAAGCAGCTGCTCTGCCCGGTCTGCTTGGAGGTGTTCTCCAAGCCCGTGGTCATCCTGCCCTGCCAGCACAACCTCTGCCGCAAGTGTGCCAGCGACATCTTCCAGGTGGGTGTGCGCTGCGTCCCGGGGGGTTGTTCATCGGCCCGTTTTACCCCCCAACACACATCTCATTCCAAGCAGCCATCGCTGTGGTGTTTTGGCGTCGACCAAATCTTTTTGTTATCCATGTAATAGATGTATAGCATAGCAGTATACTAGTAGTATACAAATACTGCATTCTAGTATAACTTCACTACAATAACACATTGTTTTCTTTTATAAATTCAGTAAATATTGTAATTTATCAATGTGTAGGACATTTGAGGTACTTTATGCAGTAACTGTTATTCAATTACAAATCCCTGAATTATATTTCCAAATACATATATATGGTCTAATACATCATCTAAAATCCTAATCTGTAAGGTCCTTTGTAGTTATAGCTGTTGAATCATTTAGTGGAGTAAAAAGTACAATAATTCTTTCAGATATGTAGTAGAGTCGAAGTAAAAAAAAGTAGCCTAAAATGAAAATACCCCCAAATTGGAGCAGTAGTGCTCAAGACTTCCCTCTCCCTAACAATGTGGAGGCCGGCTCCATTGCACGTGGACGGCACGTGTGCAAACTTGTGATCATCTTGGTAATACAACAAAGTGATTGATATGTCCCTTAGAAAAGACACAACACGTCTCTTAGCGCTCCGTCCAAATGCTCCGTGAGCTCCATACAGATGTTTTTTTCAAAATACTACAAAAAGATGACACATTTCCTTATGGGATCAAGACAATATTGGTGTGTGAATAAGTTGTGGTGTAGATTTCTTCGGGTAGTGAAACAGATGAATTCTGTTGTCTAGACATCGTCCCTCACGCTTGTTCTTCATCCCCTCTCCTCCTCCAGGCAGCCGACCCTCTGTGGCGTTCCCGCGGCTCCTCCAGCACGGGCTCCAGCGGCGCTCGCTTCCGCTGCCCCTCGTGCCTGCACGAGGTGGTGCTGGATCGCCACGGGGTCTACGGCCTGCAGAGGAACCTGCTGGTGGAGAACATCCTGGACATGTTCAGACAGCAGGAGTCCTCCAGGCGAGTCTTTCACGCGCATAAAGCACGACAGAGATTTACTCAAGGGGTCGTGATGGAATTGTAAGCAGATCAATTATTTCGTCGACGTCTTGCAGACGTTTCACATTGAAAGGTCAGATCTGGAATGTGAGACCGCGTGTCGTTGCGATCACGGGGGGCCGCCAACAGAGAGCAGTGTTGTATCGTCTTACTGCCAGTCGTTGTTCACGATGATGGAAACGGGCTCTGCTCATTGGGGGCAACAGTTTGAGAAGTTTTAATGCATGGTTGGTTACTCTTAAATGATAAAACACTGTTTTGTCCAAATTGTTCCCACAGATTTGTTTACACAAATAATAACTGAACTAGGAGTTAAACATTTCAGGCCTGCAATAAGGAAAAGAAAATCTGGAACACAACATACTGTAAGAAATCACAATAATATAAGACAGTATATTTGCATTTTGAGACATTTAACGACTTGACGTGTGTGTGCACAGAAAAAAGTACCAGGGAAGAAAAACGTGTCAGAGAAACCCAATAAGAGGACAAATTTGATTTGAAACCGTAACTATTTATGGCTTCAATATTTAGAGGCGGAAACAATGTTGTTGTTTCTTAAGTTTGAGATTTTAAACTGCAGAATAAAAAACAAAATAGTCAAGGAGACAAAAAAAAGTTGTCAAACACATCTGATCTCATCTTATATTCTAAACTCAGAACTTCTAAGTGGTGACGTTTACCAGAAGCAGTAGGTGGAAGTCTCCTTAGGTGACCTTTATTTTGTTGAGTAATGGCTGCAGAGAACAGCAGAAATAAAGTAGTTTTGCATTTTCACTTCAACCACCCATTCAATTCAATTCAATTCATTTTATTTTGTATAGCCCATAATCGCAAATTACAAATTTGCCTCAGAGGGCTTTACAGTCTGTACACATACAACATCTTCTGTCCCGAAACCCACCATCGGCACAGGAAAAACTCCCCCAAAAATGAAAAAAACCCTCCAAGAGGGGAAAAAGGGAAGAAACCTTAGGGAGAACGTCAGAGGAGGGATCCCACTCCTGGGATGGACAGACTACAATGGATGCCATGTGTACAGAATGAACAATGTATAGTACATGCAATTCCTATGACAGAAATGATTCAAGTAATTGTGAGTAGTAAGCCAGGCGCACAGCAGGACCACTGCAGGGGCAACCACCATCAGATAGAACCACCATCAGATAGAACCACCATCCACAGAAGCCTGTGGGGAGGGAGAGCACAGAGACTTTAGGGGAGGGTATAATGTTGGTTTACGAGTTCAGTAATATGATTAATATCTAAAATAATGACGATGATGATGATGATGATGATGGCAGCAACAGGTGTCAGCAGGGCCACGGTAGGTGTCAGGACCAGGGTCCCGAAGGAACCACGATCTACGGAGACCTGCTAGGGGAGAAAGCACAAAAAACTCCCGGAAAGAAGCTGAATTAGTCATGTGCATTAATAAAACGTGAATTATGGTAGAACGAGAGCGTGAGAGAGGAGCTTGGTGTGTCCTAAGAATTCCCCCGGCAGTCTAAGCCTATAGCAGCTTAACTAAGGGCTGGTCCGGGCTGACCTGAGCCAGCCCTAACTATAGGCAAAATCAAAGAGGAAAGTTTTACTTTAAAAGACCTGAATCTGCCCCCCGGACTGAAAGTGGAACCTGGTTCCACAAAAGAGGAGCTTGATAACTGAAGGCTCTCGCTCCCATCTTACTTTTAAAACCCTAGGAACAACAAGTAACCTAGCATCTATGGAGCGCAGCTGCCTTGTAGGGCAATACGGTGTTACAAGCTCTTTAAGATACGACGGTGCCTCACCAGCAAGTGCCTTGTAGGTGAGGAGAAGTACCTTAAAATCTATTCTTGATTTAACAGGGAGCCAGTGCAGAGAAGTTAATGCAGGAGTGATATGATCCCTTTTCTTAGTTCTTGTTAATACACGTGCTGCAGCATTCTGAATCAACTGGAGAGGCTTAAGAGATTTATAAGAGCAGCCTGATAACAAAGAATTACGGTACTCCAGTCTGGAAGTGACAAACGCATGAACTAATTTTTCTGCATCACTTTGAGACAGGAAGTTCCTGATTTTTGATATGTTACGTAGATGAAAAAAGGCAGTCCTTGAAGTCTTCTTTATATGCGAGTTGAAGGTCATATCCTGGTCGAAGAGAACTCCCAGATTCCTGACGGTGCTGCTGGGTACCAGAGCAATTCCATCCATAAAAACTGTATCACGCGACAGCTGGCTTCGAAGGCGCTCTGGGCCTATCAGGATAACTTCCGTTTTTTCTGAGTTTAGCATCAGGAAGTTGCCGGTCATCCAAGTTTTGATGTCTCCAAGACATTCTTGAAGTCTAACTAGCTGGTCCGTCTCTTCTGGCTTGATCGACAGATACAGTTGAATGTCGTCTGCATAACAATGGAAGTTTATGCTGTGTTTCCTGATAAGATCGCCCAAAGGAAGCATATAGAGGGTAAAGTGTTAAAAAATGTTAAAATGTTTCCTTATTAAAAACTCCACCGACTACGTCAAGCAAGTGTTACAATATCATTGGCCTGAACTTGGTCATAGCTTTGTTCATTTGCTTATCCTCGATCATCCGACTCATGATTCAACATATTTTGCGGTCTGAAGTCTATTGTTAATAAATCAGCGTTAAAGTAGAATGTTGAAAAGTAGAAGCCTCCTCCAACACATCTGCCCTTGTTTTGTAAGCTCGCACACAAACTACAACTCCACACGGATATTTAAGTCACCCTCACTCCGAGAAAGAAGCCCAAGCGTGAGTCACTGTTGGAGACAGAAGGGCAGGAGTCCCCTCGTTGTCTGTGTGGGCTAAAATACAAGTGATTGTTCACACATGTTTTGTAACTAGTAGTTTCTCCCACAAAAATATTTTTCACTACTTAATCATCACATCGGTCAGAGACGCCTACGTCAGAATACAAAGAACCTTTTATTGCGTATTTTTGTGCTTTATGTAAACAGGATTGGCTTGTTTGGATGCTCCAAAGTGCCGATGCATCCCAAATACCCATATTGACCTCCGTGTGAGGGCTTTAAAGCAATCATGTGTGTCTGTGGCAGAATCCCATGTTTGGCATTTAGGGAATCGTATAAATTGGCGGAGTTGAGAAACATTCAAAGTTATTACGTCCTTTGGATGGACACTATTGGACGCTGACACCTTCTCGGTTCCCAGGTGGCAAAGAAACAACTCATCTCAGCCGAAATCTTCATGAGCGTCATCCGCTGACGTCTAAATACGTCAGCAACAACAGAACTAACCCGAGAAGGTTTAACAGCACAACGCTGGTAAGCCGTGTGGACACTATGCCACTAAATGTGTGACAATCCTCCTTTTAGGGCATTTGAATTATATTAGACATGCATTGAAATGATTCGTAGTCCACAAGAAGCTCCCTGTGTTCTCTGTCTCTGCAGTAAAAGGTGCAAATTGTTTTTGAAATGAGGCTTAATGACCAATGGGATTCTCTTCTTGTCAGAAGATAGACGACTTAAAACAACCAACCAGACGGTTGGTACACGCAAAGGATGCACAAGTAGTAGTAACAGGACAACGACGAGTCATGGATGCAAACCTGAGTAGGAATCTCTGAAGTTAAACTTCAGCATCAACAGACCGCAATGCAATGACGAAGAGCTGCAGAACATTTGCCCTTAAAGTGCTTCAAAGCTTCTTCCTTCAGCTTCTTTCTCTGAATGATCTGAGCTCAGATGGAGCGTCAGGATCACAACAGTTGGGCTCATTTCGCACGAGTCGAGAATAAAAAGATAAAGCCGTGCGTGAACGTAGATGATCCATTTCTTCTTTGTGCTACTTTCTACTTTCTTTCCAGGCCTGTGAACATAAAGCCAGAGCAGAAGCTGCTGTGTGAAGAACACGAAGAGGAGAAGATCAACATCTACTGCCTGTCCTGTGAGACGCCGACCTGCTCCATGTGCAAAGTGTTTGGAAAGCACAAAGACTGTGACGTGGCGCCGCTCAGCAGCGTTTACGCGAGACAGAAGGTGAAGACGGGTCAACGGCACATTCGTTGTAACGAGATGATTTTAGGGCTTTTTATTTCCACCTGGATTGGATTTTTTTGAAGGTCAACGCGCCAATAAAGAGGGTTTACAAAAGCGTGGGCAGACTTCTCATAAGTGAAGGTGGCTTTTATCTTGGACACGTCTTTCAGTTTCTATTTTTAAACATAAAACACGTTGCACACTGACCTTCTGCTTTTACAAATGCACAGTACACACATAAACACTGGATGTTACCACGTAGTGATATCAGATATTGTTTTACATCAAACATAATCCATCTGCTCATTTGTGGACCCCCAGGGAAAAAGTGCAGTCGTTTTTGTCTTTTTTCTCGTGCAGATGGAGGCGCCGCGTCCCGCACGTTATTGAGCAGTTGGCTTTGTTGACATTTTGGTGCCAGCCTCTCGATCTCCCACTCTGTCGCTGATTCACTCATCTAAAATTCCGATGAGGTCGGAGGAGAGTTGCTGATGCTCCGTGTTGCACGCAAAAGGTCAATCTGAAGAACAGAAGTCTGTGATTTATCGCCGGCCAACTTAGGGAATGTTTGATGAGGTTTATTTCACCGATAAACGGCGACGAAGCTGCAGAGAAGCGGTAACAAACTGTAAACAAACGTGCATGATGTCACGTGAGGCCCGAAACAGATGCACGCTGGTGAGTCGTGTTCCCTCGACAACACAATTTATCAAACAAACGAGAAATGTTGATTGGTTGAAAGTTATTTTGATTTCAGTTTAACTCTTATCTTACGCTCAAACTGTATTATACTGTATATATGATATAAAATTAGATTTGACAATTGGAATAATAAGTATTTGTCCATTGTATACAGACAAGTACGTATAGTGGAATAGGGTTGCATCAAAATCCGGCTCAGTGTAAAATATGCTAAATAAGCAAATGACCAGATTTAGACCCCAAATGAGCAAAATAAACTCAAGGTGTTGAAGTGACGGTGAAAACACACGTTGGTGTTAATTGTTGATGTGAATCGCTCAGATTAATGTCAGTTGTGTTTGTGGACGTTCGCAGGCCGACTTGAGCGACAGCATCGCGACGCTGGTCGCCAGTAACGACCACGTTCAGGCCGCCATCACTCAGATGGAAGAAATGTGCCGCACTGTCGAGGTCAGACACACACACACACGCACACGAACACACACGCACGCACAAAATATACCAATGTTTTTTGATTCTCCTTTTCTTGGGGGCAATTTTGTGATGTAACAGCTTATTGTTCACGTGTCAGGCAATGAAGACGCTGAGTGATACTCCGTATTTCCCTACAGATTTGCCCAAAACCAGACGTATCCCAATATCATTTCTATCTTCTGGATTGCCTCGTGTTGTCGTTGTTATCTCCCACTTTCATATTTGCACCTTTACCCGGTCGTAACCCATTGGTTTCCTTCTCAATGTGATAATAGAAACAAACAGTGCACACTTAGAACCAGGTCTACGCTCCAACGGGTCGGTGAGCGGACCGAGCAGGCAACAAAAGTCGTCCTCTCCTCTCTCGCCTCAGGAGAACGGCCGGCGGCGGAGGGAACAGCTGGCCGGCCGCCTTGACGGCCTGGCGGCCATCTTGGACGAGCGGAAGCGGGAGTTGGTGGGGCTCATCGCCACGGAGCGGGACGGTAAACTCGGGCGCGTTCGGGGTCTCGTCGGCCGCTACAGCGATCGGCTGGAGGCCGCGGTGGCGCTGGTGGAGTCGGCCATTCGGTCCAACGAAGAGACACGCGCGCCGCTGTTCATACAGGTCGGCGAGGCGGAGTTAGACGCCGTCGTTGGGGTTGGGAGGTTTCACACACTGATCATCCAAGTAGAAGAAGTATTTTAATGGTGGATGTCATGGTTTTTTTACTCCTCATCCACACACGAAGGATTATTTTTAGGCCAAGAAAAATACACCAGGTGTCATTTATCAGTCTGCAGAAAGCTCAAAGGAACCATAAAGTACGAAATGACCTTTTAAAAGCGATTATCACTGATATAAGGTGAGATATGTTTGATTCTAACCAATCAGAATATGAATTGCTTTCTAGTAAGAGAATAGAAAAAAATCAATGGCAGCAATTGTTAATTATTAATCAAACATATTGATGAGGATTTCAAGTCTTTAACACAGAACAGTGGACAGTATCAACTAGTGTTTTGATGGAGACACCATGCACACACACACACACACACACACACACACACACACACACACACACACACACACACACACACACACGCACACACACACCATCCATTGACTCGTAAGAAACATTTGAAATGAAAGAGTTTACCTGATCTGTTTTATTAATGGGGTTCAAGGGACCAAATGCTGTTTCAACAGCTTTCCTACCATGATTTCATCAACTCACAGCATCCTAAATTGTAAAAAAAAAGGTATATTTTCAATTACTTTGAATCCAAGTATGTTACAGCTTTATGTAGCAGATATTTTCATTGAAAGATTTTTAAAAAGCTCTGTACGAGCTAACAAGCAGTCTAGGAAACTAAATTTACACAGTGTTTTATCAAAGCCTTTTTTTATTTATGGGTTGACAAAATTGCCCAAAAATGCTGCCATTTTTTCTGTGGTGACTGGTAGTGCACATGTTCTTGCACAATTGAGTTAAAACAAACTTTGACATAATTTGACCGAAACAAAAGCATAAAGGTTTGTTTACACCGGCGTCTCCCTAAAGACGTTCATGCCTCTTCATTCTGAGGTGAGACAGAAAGTGGGAGCCTCAGGTGTCCCCGTTTTATGCTCGGCATCATCCTCGGACAGAGCAGCTGTTAAAGGGGATTTAAGGAGCACAGGTAGCCGGCTAGTAAACGCCACGAGGCCGACCTGCCATTTTAACACGGTGACGCGTCTTAAGAACCGTTCTGACTGACGTCGGTGCCACTGACACGATGTCATTAATTTAGACTCTTGTCTCTTTTTTGTTTGTCTTCTTAACTCTCACAGAGCGCCAACGTCATACTGGAAAAGTGAGTGGAATGTTGCTCCTGGTGAATCTGTCATTTTGTATTTAGGGAGTGTGGATTTGAATGTCAATATACAGGTAATATATTTAATGACATTTGAATATGTTATGTTAGACAATGTATACAACAAACTATACAATTGCTTTGTTTTATGCCATTTAAATGGAATATTATCCCAGCTTTTATCAAATGGAAATATCATCCGCTTCAATGTCATAACTATTGAGTTATTTATCACATAACTGAAATGTTAGGGTGGTATAATTATAACTTACTACACTGCAAGTTGTTTCGTATACATTATGTAGCCGATCTGTAACAGATCTTCTCTCAATGCTGCTGCCAATACCCGGCCACATGGGAATGAGTGTGTGTGTGTGTGTGTGTGTGTGTGTGTGTGTGTGTGTGTGTGTGTGTGTGTGTGTGTGTGTGTGTGTGTGTGTGTGTGTGTGTGTGTGTGTGTGTGTGTGTGTGTGTGTGTGTGTGTGTGTGTGTGTGTTTGGTTAGCTGATGGACCAAGCAAATATTTGCCAAAACGAATCATCTTTTCAAATAGTTTGCCCTATTAAGTATTTATAGATATCAATAATAGACAGGTTGTACATTATATGCTGTGCTATTATATGTTTAGTGAAACGAGGCTAAAATGATGTATTTGACTCCAAATCGGCCTGGCTTCATGCATATATTTCCCATTTGGAACGAATAAACCCGGATCATAATGCCCGAGGTTGTGGTGGTGTTTCAAGCTCGTGCCGTCCGTGTTGGCAGGATAGCAGTGGCAGCGAGATCGTCCCACGCGGAGCGTCCCGAGCTCCACGAGGACGTGAGCCACTTTGTCATCGACACCGACGACCTCGCCGACATGCTGAGAAACATCCGCTTCCCACCAGGTACAAGTTCCCTGTACTATATATGATATATTGTAAAAGTAGAGTATTACTGTCGTGACAGTAATACTCGTAATACTAAGTGGAGCTAGTTTTAAACATTTTTTTAAAGGGGTTGATGTTTATGGCTATTTTCATTCTGAACTTATGAATCGTTTCACTTCTACTTGTCTAAAATGCTCAGTAGTCTAATTTACAACCAGGGCTCATATCTTATAAGTTCTAAGTACTTGTAAATTAACTAAAGCACTTAAATATAGTGAACTAAAAGTAAATATTTTTAAGCGAGAAGCGAGAAAAGGTCGCCACGATGTACATTTTGGAGTTGGGACTTTATTGCTGCTCAGGGATTAAATATGAGTCAGTGAGGTGACCGTTTACATGGGAAATAAGATCATGTATTGTTTTTTGTGTGTATTAAGGTGACGGAGATGAAGATCCCGATGAATGCGGAGAAGACTCAGACCTCTAATTCCGCTCCAGATTTTGAGACCAAAACAGAAATATTTGTTGTTTTCAGTGACTGAAGGGAAGAGTTGGATTTTTCTAAAGGTCAAAAAAGTAAGAATGATCCGACATCCTCGGGTGTTTGAATCTCCCCGTCAACCTCTGATGATAAATTGATCAGCGTTTTGCGTCAGACTCCTCTCATTAATAATTCGGCTTCCAGTCATCAGCTGGGAAGGATGCACCTGAAGGCCTCATGTCAACGGTTTATTCTCAAACACACACTGGACACCTGCTGTTGTCCATCATCAGATTGCTCATTTGTCATGGAGACACACACGTTACAATTCAAGACGCTCCAAGAAACAAAGAAACATATTTCAAAGAACCCTTTACGTCATATTGTAATAGTATCTAAATATATTACACAAAACAGATAAATTACACCATTTAGTATAAATACGTACCTCTTTATTAACTCCGATATGATGACTTACTTGTTAATGTTTGTTTTTTTGCACTTCAAAATAAATTTGGTTAATTATCCATGGTTGGTAATGATTTGTAATTATTGTTTTTATTTTGTGTAACTGCTGGAATATAATCTAGACTAATCAACCTGATGAACTTGCTTCTTCAGGTTGCCAAAAATGACAGTAATAATGCTCTGTAACGTCCGGTCAAAGTGATTTTTGCTGACGTGTGAAATCCTCTCTAACGAGACCACTTATGTAAAAAAAAGCTGAGCTGCGGAGGGAGAAGGATTCCCCTCATCCACCCGCAAAGGCGACAGCATCATTCCTGCTCACTCAGCCAGAAGCGGCAGCATCCTCCTCCTCCTCCTCCTCCTCCTCCTCCTCCTCCTCCTGCACGCTGCAGCGGTGTGACGTTTGGCCGAGCGGCTGGAGAGTCACTGCTGATTGTTTGGACGCGTTGACGATGAAGACGCCGATCTGTGAATGTAACCACGTGAAAGGACAAGGAGGACATTACAAAACGCTGAAACCACTGATGGAAGTTCCCACCTTTCTCCACGGTGCACGTGTGTATTCCTTGCCTGGATGCAGGAGGCCCGAGCACATTTTAGCCTCCCACATTGTTGCCTTTTGTTCAGTCAAGAAATCCAGTGCATTGTTGGTGAATATAACTCGCTATTTATAGCACAACAGGACCGTATGAAGTGGGTTTAGCACTGCATCCTGTGTTCTGGGAGGAAAAGTAAAAAGGTTTCCTTCATGTGTCTTTTTCCTCTGGATTTAAAGCCCTTTTCTGTCACAACGCTGTCTAAGAGCTCCCGTAAACAATCATTTTTCGAGATATTTTGTAAATACTCATATGAACCGTCCCTGATCCCAACTGTTTGAGGTTGTGGTTTCTCCGGCTTCCCCCCACAGTCCAAAGACATGCAGGTTGGTAAGAACACTTTCTACATCTCGAGACATTTGAGGATTGAAAAAACGTGAATGTCCATTTCTAAATGACATTATGTATCTTCATGCATGAAACAATCTTTACAGGTTTTCATGCAACAGCAGTGAAGCCGATAACTCATCTCAGCCATGAGGTGTTGCGGTGCTGGATTTTGCATCAGCTGAAATCTTTTGAATGAGTCATTGCTTTGTATCTACAGATTAATATGTAGTGGCATTTGCAAAGCGTAACAAGATGAACCAACACGTGCTCTCTCACACACACACACACACACACACACACACACACACACACAAACAGAGGGTGATTATAGGCGGAAGAATCACCAACACCCCCACGGTTTGGACTGAGTCAGAGAAACAAGGAACTCACAGATCATTTTGACTTCTGTGTTTGTTTCCTCGTGTTTGTCTGTCTCAACCCCTTGGACATCGACGTCCATCGTGTCTCGGCCTTCGACATCTACGGATCGACAAAAACGTTTCCGTCGAGATGATCCGACTCGACAGAACTTTGGTCGTCAGCTGGTGAAATTTAGTGCCAACGAGTCACACCAAAGGATTTTTAGAGGACAGGACGGAGACATTAGCAGTACAGAAGCTCCCTTGCACACGTCTGAAATGGTCATTGATACGTGGACATACTTGTGATGTTTGTCCAATGGGTGGCTCCTGCACATTGAGAACATTGGTAAAGTAAAAAAAAATCGGAAATGATGAAAAGACTCATTTATTTTTGAGATACTCAGGAAATGATGAAAGATTTCTCCTCTGGGGAAGATGGATATCCAAACGTAAGTCCAAGGATAACTGGTTGTACGTGTTGGGATTTTGGAAAGCGCAGTTGACAGGTGACACTTGGTACAAACCATGAACCTGTATCGCAAACTGGCTGATGTTTTCACAACCTTTTTACAAATCAATCCATAAAAAACATGAAGCAGTCACGAAAAGTTCGGTTTTTATCAACTATTCCTGTTCATATATAATCAAAACAACAGAATCAAAAGATTTGTATGTTTTCACTTTTTTATTAAAAAATATAAACGGCAAAAAAAGCTTTTTGTTCTTTTGCTTAAACAACACGATCAGTGTCAGACATGGTTTGTTTTCTTAGCATGCTACAGGTAATACAGTACCAGAGATAATGCCCCCACTCCAACTGAAAGAGGAGGTTGTGGACGGAAAACAAATCAACAACAAGTGTTTTTGTCTCTCATTCCACCTCCGATCTATTTACAATCATACGATTACATTGAGTTTGATCAATCAGAGCGGATCAACAACAACAAACTTCACAATATGCAAAACAACAAGATTGACCACTTGTTTTTGCAGGACATAACTTTCCTTTAGTGACACATTTAGTGTTGCAGAAGGTAAAAAATTAAATAACACATAAAAAAAAAGTATAAGATGAACGTCCAAGAATTATCCCCAAAAAGGTTCACTAAGGAAAAAAAACCTTTATTTGGATTATTGTTCAGCATGTGATCATAAACCAGTGATTATTATTATTCACCACAATGTTTTGTTGGAAAATGTGGAGAACATGATGGCCAAACATCAATAACCCATTCAGTGGCAAAGACGCCAACAACGATCTTAATTATGAAATAAGCCATACTGTATACATTTAGGTCAGCCTTGCATTATAATTATTTTCCTTTTCAAGCATCAAAACATTTGATCATAAAGACCGATGAACCAAACCAAAGCATTTTTTCTTTTCTGGATCAAATGTCCAAATGTGTCCTAACGTTAAATTGAGAAATGACACCCAACAGGGGTCTCTTCCAAAAGTCATCGTGTTGTGGTTGAGGGTGGGGGGGGGCGGGGGGGGGGGGTGAACCAGTGTCGTTAAGGTGAGAAGTTAATTTCCATATTTTCCAACAAAGACTTAAATAACAGTTAATAATTTACATTTTAGTCGCGAGTGCGGCCATGCGTAAATTGGCACCACGTGTGCGTAAAATGAAGTGGAGAGGAAACCAGGCGCACAAGGAAACAACTAATGTCAGAGGTATTGAATACTTTGAATTGAAGACAGCGGTTTGGCTGTTGTCAATAGCATTTGAGGAAAAAAAAAAAACCCCAACATATCGAGCTTTACTTCCCGACCTCGTCGAGGACTTTGCGGTTGATCAGAGCCTGCTCCCTCTGGTTCTCCATCTTGGCCATCTGGATCATATTCCTCAGCAGGTGGAACGTGAGGTCGATGGACAGCGGGGTCTCTTCGCTCCGTTTTAACAGCTGCACCGCCGTCCTCGCCGCCTCGTCCTCTTCGCGGGGCAGCGGGTGCGCCGGGTTCGGGTACCTCTGGCGCAGAAAGCGCACGACGCCGTCGCCCAGCAACTCGGAGGCTGCGCCGTCGCCGGCTTCGGCCGCTCTGAGGAGCACTTCGTCCAGCTGCTGCGCCTGGAGGCGGCCGCTGCCATCCAGCCAGCCGGGCACGGTGCGCGGTCTGCCGGCGGCGGGGCGCGGGTGCGAAGCGAGGAGGACCGAGGAGAGGAGCAGGAGCAGCGGGACCGGCTTCATGTCCTGCAACCGGGGGGATTTGTTTAGGTGCCATGAATCAAACACCCGTGATCCACTTTAGTGTAAAGATGCAAAGTACAATATCATTCTAGAGATAAATAAATACGATGTGCAGATGATTTTTTATAAATAAAGTAAAAATAAAAAAACGTAATCATGGACAATAACGAGTAAATGAGAAGCGCTCCACTTACTTTATTCTCTCCAGATGCGTAAGTTCGTGATCGGCCGGTGTCTCTCAGGTCAGAGCTGAGTGATGAACGTCCCTGTGGGGAGGACTGGAGAGGACGCAGGGCTTTATACGTCCAGCCTGCCCATTTGACGTCAATGCAAGCACATCCACCGGTTTTGGAGAGTGGACAACTATTGGGACAACAAGGCGTTACAGTCCCGAGGGACAGCTGATGCTGTGATGGACGGGTTGTAAAGGGTGCTTCGGGTTTATTTCCTATCTAAGGACCTCCCGGGGTACAAGATTGATAAAACCATGATAGTTTCCATTCCCTTATGAAAGTGGTTTGTTTGTGACATTTTTGACTTTGCATCAAATGGCCTCAATTATGGACCTAATCAGTCAGAAATAAACCTGCACGTGAAAAAGAGTCTGTGACAGATATCTGAAGACAACGACCTAGAAACAAGTGCTTTTCCATCATGAGCTGGAATAGAGGAAGGTGCCCAAAAGCAATGCAACAAGATGACAAGAACAATCAGTCAACAAGGATGGAATGAATGATCTGTCCATGGGACAGACATGTGACATCATGACCAGTACACAGTAACCCGAAGCTATTTTACACACGTTAACATACAGTTGGGCCCCAAATAAGGAGAGAAGACAGGAAGACACGTGGGTGTAGTTGTTGAATAAATTAGTTTTCTGTACACCTCAGGAGTTAAATGCCCATCTTCCAATTAGGAAAACGATCAGAGAATTTTATGATCAGAATTCTTTCTCTTTTTAAGCAGACCGCCGACATTTCCGATAGAATGGGATGTGTCATCTTACCTGCAGGTGTTTAAAGTGTAGAAAACATTTTAGGGTCATTTGCTCCATCAAAGCGTTAATGTTGACATTTTGCACGACAGAATCCGAATAAATAAAGTTTTCCAGACTGAAATTGTTTAATATTTAGTAGCAGAAAAATAATTTATTTGAAACCTTCCAGGGACTTTAACAGAGAAACATGGAGCAAATGCAGCGAGTGAAAACTATTCATTTGTTTTTACATCACATTACAAATAACCCCGTGAAGGCCTCAGTGCTGTCAGTGACCTTTTTAAACTGAGGAACTTTTAGAACGTTAACGCATATTTGGATTTGCACCACTGTAAACATCTGGTAAACATTTGGTCTCCATCCGCCACGACTTGAACATTGCTTGACTTCCACCGTTAAAAGCCGAACGTGCAGAATTTGTTTGACTGCGCAGCTCAGCAGCCTCCACCAGCTCAAGCCAAGTTGGCCAAAAAAACATTAGTGAGGTCAAACAAACTACTGACATCATGTAAAAGCCTTTATTAGATTTCATGCCACAGACACTAGAATACAATTTGATTCTGCAGTGAATCTAAACTCCAACAGTGATTGTCGATGCAGCGATGGATTCAGCGCCGTGCGATAAAGAGAAGTGATCGCTTAAGAGAAATGGTTTCCCTCCCGATTGCTTACTGTGGAATGGAACTCTCAGGTCAATATGGGTGGAAAAGGAAGCACCCAGTTCGTCTGGGTTAAAATCTCTCCAGATGCAGAAGCGTGAGTTTGTGATGGGCCGGTGTCTCTCAGGTCAGAGCCGAGTGATGAACGTCCTTATTACCAAGCTACGCTGCTGCTGCTGCTGCTGGCTGCACATTCACATTTATTCTATACAGGCCTGAGATCACTTTACTGTTCAAGATCAGGTTGTGAAGAACAAGTGCTGCACAATACATGTCACCACAAAGTCCACAAGTGCAATAAACATATGAGAAAATCATTTGTCGAATGAGTTTGTACTCAAGTTGTTGCATTTTTTTTTCCAATTTCATGGTTGTATTGCAGCAGCAACTGAAAGCTGCTAAAGGGCAGAAGACTTTGATATCTATTTAACATGTAATTACTCATGTTCCCATAACAGCTAGTTCTTACTTATCACTCACTTTCCGTACATTCTGAACAGAAACCCCAGAACAAGTTGCTTTCCTTTCCCTGAGGAACGTTATTGGCATCCTGAAGTACACGTTGTACGCAGGTGGAGACTAATTGAAAATAACAACACAGGAATACAAAGTGTGGAACATGCTGATGAAAAAAAAAAAAAATCAACAATATGAAGAGAATCCGAGGTTAAAACTTCATTATAAGACTTACAAGATTTCAAGTGGTTAATGAAACATTATGTGGGAAACAACTAGTGGGAATCAACGCGTGTGGCAGTAAATCCTATTTCCAAAAAGAACAAACTTTCACAGACATTCATGTGTGAATTTGTCATTCAGAGTAGACGAGCGCTTCCTCCCGACCTTTACAAGTGAGTGAGTCACAGTTTTACACATTGGAAACACCAGAAGTAAGTTGGACCAGAATGGACCCCATCACTCACACACACACACACACTACAAATGAGTGTAGAATCATTATAATCATCATCATCATCATCATCATCGTCGTCGACGACAGGCCGGACTTGTGATGATTGCTCACATCTTGTTGGCCTTCCACGTCAGGTAGGAGTTCCAAGTGACAGCGACGATCTGGACCACAGGCAGCCTGTAAGCACACGCGTTTGTCCTGGATGTAATTCACCTGGTCGAGTGGCACAGCGCTTCGAAAATCCATCACAAGCTAATCAAACTTTTAGCAAATGGAAACAAGGAGAGTGCAATGTTTCACTACTTTAAGAACGCGCCGTTTTAATAAGTCTTCAAATTACATTAAAGTAGATTAAAGCGTTGAGCCAATACAACTAGACTATCACGTGTGTGATTGTCTTTTCAGCAGGACTTCTCACCTGTAGTGGAGTGGAATGAAGTAGAAATTGGCGATCTGGACTGGAGGCCAAAGCTGAAACGGAAACACGGGGACAATATGATGCTCGATAAGTCACTTCCCTCGATAAAACGGTATCGCATACGGGAGGAAACTTACGTAGTAATTAGCGATCAGAGCATCTGTGTAGTCCTGTGGAACAAGAACAAAAACGGTTCAAACGGTCTCGTAGTGACTCACTTTCTCGTCGGTGAGGAGCTGCTGATATTTATTTGTTCTGGTATTGAAACCTGTAAAGAAACGTTCAAAGTTCCGGCTTCCTGCGGCGGTTGTGGACCCAAGACTCGAACAGCTGGAGTGAGAAGCGGTGATGTGTCGGCACTCCGGTTGGTGGGAGGCTTTCATTCCCAGGGGTGCAAACTCATCAGGGATGAAAAAGGTGACAAAGATGCAAACCCCCTCGGGGGAATATATATAAATATATATATATATATATATATATATTTTTTTTTTTTTGCATATGCTTCAAATTGCTTTGGAAATGTTTGGAACCTCAAGAATAGATTTCGCTTGGGACGAACAGAATAAATATTAGCAAGAAGGAGGGGGCTTCTACACAGTAAGCCTTTGATTTCTCCGTTGATTTCCCATTTTTTATTTTAGGATTTTTTAATGTGAAGATAAGGTAGGTACATTTTTCGTTGTTTCCTCGCTTCGATTTTTCAAAAGTTCCCGAGAAATAGACACTGTACTATCCGATAACACCGTTATTGTAACCAGCAAAAATGGTAGATGTGATTTACGAAGGCGTCTGTCAGCCGACTGCCAGACAAAGCCGCACGGAGGTTTTGTAGCCAAAAAATATCAGCACATGGCCGAGATGTTGTTGAGTAACGATTAACCATCGACATCTCTATTAACCCCCTGTGGATTCAGTATATTCTGGTCAATTTGTGGTATGAAAAATATTCAACACTCAAGCAGGGGACACGTTACTGCGCTGAGGAGGAGCAATTAAATGAGGAAGAAAAGGCTTCTAGGCCGCGGGTTTTTCATGCGTTTTTGAACAAAGCTGGAAAGCGGCAGCTTAACAGATCGTTAGTAAGTAGGTTTAATTTTCAAATAAATGTAGTCTGCCATTTTATCGCATTGTGCAAATGTGATACTTTGTGTCATTTAAAAGAATGAAGTGATAAATATATTCTACAGCGAGTGTTCGGGCTCATAAAGGGCTGAAGTAGAGTCTCAGGTCCACATTCTGCTTGTGTCTCCGTCCATGCTTCTGAAATATTTAAGTAGTATTTGCTCACAGGCAAATACCTACAATTACTTAGTAATAGTAATAGTAATAATTAATAGTAATAATTAAGTCCCCACCAATGGGCCCAACAATACAGAATACGGTGAAAATAAACATGAAAATGTATTGAACCGAGTGAAAACGTGAGTCATCTAGATAAAAGATCTGCTAATCGAGGACACGAATGGTGGCGAACGCAGAACAACACAAGCAAACGCACACGCGAGCTCTGTGTGCGCCATCGTGCAAAGGTCGCCTGAACACAGAGACACAGAACGACAGCGGGCCGGTGTTCTGGTGAAACGGGTCTCTAATTACGGACAAACAACCTACTTCGCCACCTGAGGGGAAATTGCCCCCCGAGGGGACCTTCCTCAGCTCTACGGGGCGGGAGGAGGGGCTTTCTAAGCTGGTTTTAGACCTTTTCGGTTACTCCACAAGAACCCAATGCGCCTCCGTGTCCCCAACGGACAGAGAGAGAAGAGACACGGGACGAGGGACGGCCGGAAAGCGGCCCGTTGTTGTTTGGACGGCGGCGGCGGCTTTTTGATGTTCAATCTCGCATTTCCTCCGTGCCAGGCGACCTTTTTTTTCGTAATGAGCACATTTTTCATTTATTTTCTGTCCTTTCTGACATTTACCAGGTTGGCCTTTCGCGTCCTTCTGTAAATAATTGATGGCGACCAGCAGCACGCTGGGTAACGTTTGAGCAGCTGGCAACGCCAGTTAGCTCTGACCTGGCACGCACATATATGTAAATATGTGAGTCACTCTACAGCTATTTCCACAGTTCCCCCCCCCCCCCTCTCGTCGCTTCCTCCATCACAGGAAATAGTTTCTAATAATAATGGAAGGCGAGTGCTGGCGGTCAGGCGCTGTGTGCTCTCATTTACCTGCACTCTGTTCACACAGACAGGAAACTGATCTCCAGCCAGTTTGTGTCACGTCTCGGGTCTAAATTGCCAAACGTGCATCAAGTCCAATCGCAACAAAGAGAGTCCGGCGCCGACTGAAAGCTACTACGGGGAGTTTGTACTCACTTCATTTGTGAGTATTGTGTTCGCTCGTTCTGGATTTGACAATTCCTTCATTCTAGACCGAGGCTGATGTGTCCGTTATTTATGAAATTAGTGGTAAATATTGAATGCACCTATCGACTGTCGCTCTACTCCCTCAGATGAATTTATACAACAACATGTTAGTCAAAAATGACATCACGATGCCCAGCAGGTACTCGGCCTCCTGCAGGAGTTTGCATGGAGAGCCTCGATCAGGCGGATCTTTCTCTCAATAGCTTACTAAGCCCGAAGCATGTGCTCTCCAGATGAAGGTCCGTATGTGGAGAACACGTCAAGGCCGCCAGAGTCTCAGAGACATTTAACCAATGTTTCTTAAACTTTTCTATTTTGCACCTCAACTTCACACTATAGTACTTGTGTGTAGAAATACATCGATCAGAAAGGAGTTGGACTATTTCTGGATTTCCGGCGGACACACGTCGTCTCTGGAAGTTTAAGCCTGCGAGTAATTACTCGATGGCCGGAGTTGAAAGTGGCTCCTCGAAGGAAACATTTGTGGCCCCCGCGGCCCGTCGGCAATGAAACTCCACTTTTAACCTTCCAGCCTTGGCAAACAACAACGAACCTGGACTCCGCCTGCTGACCGGGGGGGGAAGCGAGCCGCAGGCGGGCAGATGGCTCTCCTCCCTCTGGCAGGTGCGAATGTATCCAGGGAGTCCTTCGTCTCGAGCGCCACGACCTTGTCCCCCCGTTTGTTTTACTAACCGGCCCGAGTGTCTTTTCTGCTGTTTTGCCTCATTTGCACAGACGATAAAAGACTTTGTTTCTGGTCTTCACCGCTGAGGACCGGAAACGCGGCGCATCGGGGGGGAGCGGCCCCCCTCGCCGGTGCGCCGTGATGTGAGGCGAGGCCGACTCACCCGCTTGAGCTTGGTGACGTTCTCCTCCAGCGTCAGGCCGTTCAGAGCGCCGGAGATGCAGAGAAAGGCTCCCAGGAAACCCGGAGCGAAGCACAGCTGGAGCACAGAGAGGATTCAAATCACCGCGGCGACACTTAAATCAGATTTCATTCATTAACGGAATGGACATTAGAGAATTAAAAAGGAAGGGTTTCTACCCAATAACAAGAGTCTTATGAAGAAATGAAGAATTGATTTTGGGGGCCTTTGTGAGAAACGTACGTGGTAATTATTTTAGTCATTAAAATAATTACGATTATTTTATCACGTTGTTGCTGCACTACTACTAGACTTGCATCGGAGTCCCGAAGCACGTACGCCGCCTTGTTCCTTCCAACGGCCCTCCGGCTATTACTGGGCCGAGGGGGGGGGGGGGGCGGACCCTCGGCTTCAGTCAATACATCAGCAGAGGGGAGACACTGAAAGCTCCAGCAGGGGTTTGCACTCATCTGGGTGGATCAAAACGCAGAGGGAGCCGTCCCGTCCGTGGTGACATAATGGGACACCCCCCCCCACCCCCTCACCCCTCCCGTCCAGCTCCAAGCGTGACAGCCAGAGACGCCCCTCAGTCCGATATGAGGAAATGGTATCTGTGTGGTTGCCACTTTGTCCCTATTTGTTGGCTGAAGTGTCGGTTGGTTCGGTTGACGGCGGTGGACCCAACACAACAACAATTACAGCTGACAACATGGCAACATGATACAAGAGAGGATTTGATCATGTATGTACATATCTAAATTCCCTCACTAACTAAATCAATGCGAGCACTTTTAATGAGATATGTCTATTTTATTTCCAGGCCTTCAAAGCAACAGGTAGTGACAGAAGATGACGAAGAAGAGGAGGAGGAGGAGGGGATGCGTTTCTCACCTGGTCAACCAGCATCTTCTTCATGGCAGCACTTTTTGTTCCTCCAACCACCAGCCGGTCCAACACTTTGTACCAACTGCCGATTACTGGACCCTTTGTGGTGAACAAAACCAAACCCGATTACCGGGGCTTCTTCCCTAAATGTTTCCTAATACAGCGTCTGTGATCGAGGTCGTCACTGAAGCACTTTTCGGCCTGATACTCAGCATCCGCGTGCCGACTGCAGGTTAATTGAATGGAAGCCAGTGAACGTCCATTAGTCATGAGAGGAAGAATGATGCGTGATGAAGGAGTTATGAGACGGTTGTTACTTTGCAGATGAAAAGAGCAAACGCGTCTTAACGCGACACAAATCCGGTGTCAGCGTGAGGACAAGCGCCATAATTCACCGGGACGAGGCGGCCGATCGGCCGAACATAAGACGATTATGGACGTATAAATAAACTTTGCTGACGCGGAGCTGATGTTGAACTGAATAATGCAGCTGTCACAGGACCTGAACGTGGGAAACATTCACAAACATTCAAAGGCCCGGAGAACACGCTGCAGAACACGCTGCAGAACACGCTGCAGAACACGGATGAGCACGTCATGCTCGGCCACTTCCAACAGAGCACGGGCGGGATGGATGATGCTGTCGGATGTTGTGATTTAGGAGCTGGGTGGGTGGTCTGGATCAAAGGTTCGATCCCCCGCTGCTTTACAGTTACAGATCAACCATTAATAGCTTCATTCTGATTTAGTTCTTTCATAATTAGGCGAATAGAGAATAAAATTTTACACACATTTTATTTTTAATGCAAAAATCTTGAGCATCCAGATCACATCTGCTGCATCCTTTCATTTCAGTACACAAATCAACTGACCAGAAGCCTGTTTCAGATAACAAATCAGAAATTTAAATAGGATTTAAATTGTTTGATAAGCCGTAAACTTAATTTAAAGACTTTTCTTTCTCCTTCTTCATGCATGTGGACAAATGTGTTGCATCAGCTCACCACAAAGAAGAAACCGATGCCCATCATCTTGGCCGTGCGCCGCACGTTGTGATCGGCCAATCCTCTCCTCTCAATCAGCTGTTGGGAGATGACATCACCGACACCCACTAGAGACCCTGGAGGACAAACAGGGGACAGATGCGGTGTGTGAGCATGGTGATACAAACAAATGTAGAGGAGCTTTCATATCCTGAAGGTTTCAAAAGAATCCTTGAATCGCTATTGAGAATGAATTGTAATTCGGTCATAAATACAAGCAAGTGACTAAAATGGTTCATTGGTGGTGGTGAATTGTGCAATATTACTTAAATAAATTAATTAATAAATAGAGAAGCAGATTCTGCTGCTTTGAGAAAGTGTTTAACGGAAACGAGAAAATTATTTCCAACGTCCTTCTGTAGAATAAATTGATCACTAAGCAAGCGCACAAAAGGCACCAATGCAAAAATATATTTAAAGCCGTAACAGATTCAGAACAAAAAAAAACACATAAAATGATTAATTGTGATAAATCCTCAGTAAATAACTTATTGAGTGGGAGATAAAACCTTATATTGTCTCATCCCAAATTAATGTTTACAACACTGAAGCAACGAGATTACATCCACCGTTCACTCAGGGGAACAGTTTTTCCAAAAAATGTGATGGCGAAAACCAACCAAACGTAACAAAAAGTAGGACGACCAAACATTTTCTGAGACTAAAAAATAATAATAAAAAAGGAACCCGAATGGTCAGAAAACTGTACAACCTGGACTTGGCAAAATTCAGATTTAGATTTAACTTTCAAATGCTGATTATTATAGTGAAATTACATTGACATTTATTGTAATTCTGAGGTTTGAGATTTGGGAAACAAAACCACGAATCAGCATGGAGTGCAAGTACCCCGACATGTTACTCAGGTGAATTAACCAGAGGTGACTTTAATTCTTACAGTCTTTTATAAATTATATTAAAGCAACTATCACTTCTGTGTAATGATCTTTAGACATTTAGTGAGCATTGCTTCCATCTAGTGGTGATTAAACTGCGCTACAGCGAAGCACTAAAATACGTTTATAAGACATTTAAAACATTTGGTGAAATATTTCGGTTAACAGAAGCTATATGTTTCAGTAATAGCTTTGACTGCATTGAGATTAATACATAAACAAAAGGTCTGACATGCTTTCAGCACCTAAACATGTTGCTTTTCATGTCACTAAGAGTGTTCCCCACAAAGCCGAACCGTAATCTTCCCTTTTCATATTTTATAAAGCAGTTTTTGCCAGTTTTTTTCTTAAATCCTTTTATTATTTATTATTCTAGCTGATTAATCATTAACTCTGCAAGGGTGAAACGTAGTTATAAGAGTATGGCAGTTATTCTGATTGCTACTTTTGTGTTTACAGAGAACACATTACTTAAAAAGAGAGACTATTGAGAAAAAAAAAAGCTCAGGAGTTAAGAGGACAATAAGGGATTTTATAATTGTTCAAATTGTCTGATGACAGTATGAATACACATCTGTTGCAAAGGAGAAAAGCTGGGAAGTCCTGTAGTAAACAAGGATTTTGCATTTGTATAATATATCATTTTATAAATCTGTCTGAAAGCTGATAGTAATACGAAAGAAAAGGGGGTCACCGAGTTCACAGGCCATCTTTGTTTATTCTGAAACTGGAGCAAAGGTCCAGCAGGTGAACCCGTTTATCCCTGGAGTCGCCACTTACACTTAAATGTACAGCTTCTAGTCAAAAAGGTCTGCACCTCTTTTTTGATTAGAATAATTAGTGGAATAAATAATAAAGACAAGACACATGCATATTCAGTGCCGGAATGTAGCCAAGAACATTTAGGCTTCTCAAGTCAAATCTTGAGGTACTTGTAGTCTATTCAAGTATTTTCATTTTCAGCTTTATTCCACTGCAATTCAGATGCAAATATTACTTTGCATATTTAGATGACTAATACCGAATAAAACAACAACAACGAAAGCAATGACTGCCTCAGTAATAGAGAATAGTAATGAGAATAGTATACATTATTCAGAAATGTATGCAGCGTATGTAACGTTAGTGTGCAAGAAGGATTTATTCCCACCAGCGGTCACTAACTGTACTGTCCAGGGGTATTTGGTCATCAAGACTTGGTAGGATCTCCACAGGCCTGCCATTCTCCCACCTAGGCCGAAAAAGTAGAGATTAACAGTTGCAAATACAGGATTCTTCCAGTGTGCACCCCGCCCACCGTCAGGCACGCAATGTGACCTAAAACGAAGGCACTCTGCTAATGGGCTCCGTGACGTTGATTAGTTAATTAAGTTGAAGTAACGCGCTAACGGATAACACTCATAAGTTGTAATATAAAGAACATTTAAAATAAAGATGTGTCCTCTGAAAATCATATCTACGCCGATTCGAAGAGTTGCTTCAAATGAAGCGTAAATCTGGATTTGATGGATGAACAACAAGAAAACTTTTACTTTTACATTTTGTAATGCGTTTCGGTGTGACGTTTTAGCAGCAACTATCGTAACGCGTCTTCACGGTAATTACGTTACCTTTGAACGCATCATGTCGCTGCTAACTCATGTTAGCTTTAAGTCTGCAACAACTTGTTAGTCAAAGTAACTTCTGCCGTTCTTAGTGTCATTAAATGTCCGGGTACATGGCGGTAAGACCACTGACCTGCTGCTCCCAAGCACAACTAGCTCAGCACGTAACACTCGTCCAACGTGTTTTAATCTTCACCACATTACAGTAACTGTTTAAATGTAATGTGCACATGAACGCAGGTCCACCCAGTGAGCTTATGACGATGATGATGCCTTCACGTGTCCTTATCGGCTCAGAATTTGGAGAACGAAATGTTACACAAGCGATGCAGAACGTTCCCTTTGTTGTACATTTAAACTATGACTTACTCAAGTCAAAATATGAATTGGGAGGTTCTCAATTAATTTGTGTTGGGATTATATAAAATGCAGTTCTGCTTACGTCTCTGCTAACGTTTAAATCAATTACAAACTTATTAAAAGTTATATCAAAGAATACACAAATTAAAGATGTTGCACACACATGCTGATGCGTGGTCAGGTTGTCAATAATAATTTGATTGAGTGCGACCCTTAAAAAACATCAGCAGATGGTTTAGAATTTTCTTTTATATAGCAACGGTATTATTATTGTCTCTTCATAAGGCTTCAATTCAAATACATACTGTACACGTACCTTTTCCTTGTATCTCTCCTCTCGCTACGGATGTTACATGTGTAGTAAAATGAGTATTTCCTGCAATCCCCGAAGGCAGCATCAAGGCCGCAGTGTACGTCACTTCCGCTGTAAACAAGACATATTGGAATCTGCTGCCCTCATGCGGTAAACCCCGTTGTAGGACAAAAATAAAATATGGAAATATTCTCCAAACATGAATCTATTATTAATTATTATTTTATTATATTATATCCCCACTTTCTGAAAGGAGGGGCTGCAAGAAATTGGACTCTAAACAGGTACCTTAAACAACATGCACAACAAAAACATGCAAAATTTAAGAATTACCTCAAAGGGGAGATTTAATGAAGGGGTAAATAAGCTCAATATGAATGTGACTATGATCAGTCCCAGACAATCTTTCATTAGATATATATAAATATATATAATAATGCACATTAAAAATACCTGTCTATCTTTTTAATCCCCTTATCTTTATCACCTTTATGCGGCATCGTTCTAGACTCGCTGCAGTGCAGGAGAAAGTGTTTAGCGTAGAGTATGTAAATTACATCATCAGCTCTTCATATCTAAATTATTTCCATACAACTCTGGAATCATCGATTCTTAAAAGAAAAAAAATGGAAAAGTAGAAGCTTCGTATTCCTAAAGCTTTGCAATTGTGCACACAAGAGAATGCTTCATCACTTTATTTTCCAACAAACTGTTTTTTACAATTTACTACAGTTTCAGATCTTAAATTACAGACAGACACTATTTCAGACGACGAAGGCGGACCAGGAGGATGGAGGGTGAGGATGTTGTTGTCCCTCTCGGTCAGCGGCCTGCTCAGTTACGCTTTCTGTGAGATGTATGAGGAGATAAAAAGGTCGTTAATACGTGAATACATTCATTGAATAGCATTTCCCTTAAAAGCATCACCCCTCGGTGCCATAAATATGGTATGTGGCGAACAACAAGCTCCCAGTTTCATAACCACCGTTTCATAACCACCGTTGCCTCCACTGTCTATTGTCTCCGGTCATCAACTGTCACCTTCCGTCATGGGGCATCGTATGAAGTAGAGCTTTGCTTTAGACACTTTGCACCCTACCTGACCAGTGTAATCTCGATGGCCCGTCTTACAGCTGCAGGCGGCCCAGTGAGCTCGGAGGGCAGGTCCAACAGCTCCACAACGGGTGGGTTCTGAGAGGTGACGGGCGCGGAAGAAAGTCACTAAATGTGGAAGATGTCTGTGGAGATGTAAACTTTTCGAGGGTAGCTTCGACATACCAGCTCAAGTTTGACTCTGCGGCTTGTTGCCTCGGGCTCAGGTCTCTTTGTGCTCAGCGGGCTCACACCTTCGGACGGACCCGCGCTGATCGAGACACCGGCCGACTCAGAACGGGGGCCCTCGGTTGCCTCCTCACAAGATCTGACCCTTTTGGATGAGACCTCTGGCTGAGGAGAACGGCGTCTCTTTGGGTGCCGGGGATCGGCGGAGGGCGCCGCAGGTCGGCTGGAGCGGTGAGCCGCAGATGCCTGTTTGGACAACGAGGAAAAATGCGTTGGTGTGATTTGGTTCAACGTGGGTCTGGTTGGTGCAATTCCTCTCCAATGACATTTCACCGCCAGCACGGGGCATGCTGAAAGAAACGGTTTCGCGATTGGACGGATGCCATTCTCACGACCGTGTGATTAATGTGAGGTAACCACCCACAGCCTGTTAGCTTAGCTTAGCGCAGAAACTGGAAACGGAAAAACCGACAGCTGCGTCTGAGGGTAATCCGTGTACTACGGACAACCACATGTTTCATCTGCGCAAAAAGGGAAATGTGGAAATGTGGCCGTTGTGCCGGACTCAAAATAGGTGTCATCTTAACAAATGTGGTGGTATGAAGATAAGAGAGAAACAGCGAGATCAGATAACCGTAGCTCAATATTCACCACACCGAAAATCTGCTTATCTAGTTCTTGGCAAGGATGCAAGAAAAACAAATAGATCAAAAAAATCCTTTTCAAATGGAAGACGCGCTCACGTCTGTAGCTAATCAATGAAGCCTGAAATAGTTTGTCGCACTTTGACCTTCTTGTCCCTGGACGACTGCATGCGGCCGGTTCTGTTTGGCACCTTCCAACAGAGCTGGTCCTTGGCCAGGTATCGGGCCGAGATGGTCATCCCCTCTTTATAGACCTTACAGCTGTCTGCCAGACTGTAGACTGCCACAGCGAATAATACGAAGGAGATTTAGAATAACAAACCATATCGCTTTGCTGTTATTGAGTTAAGAGAAATAAAAAACGTACTTGTGTCGGTGAAGGACATGAGGGGGAAGGTCATGTCTATTTTCTGTCTTTTAGACTCCCCCATGTTGAAGAGCAGTCCAATCAGCCACTTGGTGCTCTGGTCGTCTCTGAAACACGTAGAAATACAGTAAACACATGCGACTATCAAAATAACACATTTATATTACATGAGAACAGAAAAACAGTAAGGCGTTAAGAGCAATTAGGATTTGACGTTAAGGGCTGCAACTCTCTTCTTGCCATAATTTAAAAACAAGCTAAAGTCCCGTGTCCTTACTTGGCACACAGCCGGCTCGATCCAGAGGTGGACTGTGGGTTAATGTGGGCCCGCTTGACGTACACGTGTCTTTCCAGATTTTCCACCAGCAGTCGGATTTTAGACTCAACCAGGCCGACCCTGACGAGAGAGAGAGCGCGTCATGTTCCACAAAGCGCCACTGCTAGTGGAAGTAGAACATTACAAATGCTGAGATTGCAGATAAAAACCCCAACGCCTGACCCAGCTTTCCCCAAACGGGTCACTGTCTTTGCTCTGTGTTGTTCTCACCATTCGAGGTGCTGCTTCCCTGCGGCTGAAGAAGCATGCAACAGGATGAAATGTCTACAAACGAAAGAGAAACAGGCGTCACAGCATTGAGCCTTTGCAAGTTCCCAAATCAAGGACGCCGCCTGTTTTGACTTTTCTACATGCGGAAATTGTAGAACAGAAGAAAGATCAAGAAGGATTGTAACCGTAGCAGATTTATTAAAACAGGAGGATACGGTAATCCAATAGAAACAACAGAAGCTCCTGGGACTACAGATTACAGGTCAGATTTCATACATTCACACGGCTTCTTAAATCTACTCGACAAGCTTCGGCCCAGATTTTGCATCTATGAGGAGAATCACAATTCATCTCAATCATTAAGGGTTTACAGGTTAAATGAACATTTATGAATCCAAATAGAAACAATCGGATGATTCTTGTCTGCCAAACAACATTCTGTTAACATTTCCAGTTAATAACAAAACACCACTAAACTCCACCTTTATATCAGCGGCGCAATAAAAAAGGAATAATAGTGATGCTGATTCCACAACAGGCATTTGATCGTGTTGGGTCACAACAACAAAAGCATTACTGCAGATTTATATACAGTATATATATATATATATATATACTGTATATATGTATATTACAAACAAACTAGTTGAAAATGTCCATTGGTTATAAAGGTGTGTGTATCTGTGGGTCTCTAGGCAGCTTAATACATACTGGTACTTGTTTAAAAAGTCCGGCTCTTGAAACAGTTCCAACCAGTCAGCCTTGTTCTCTTGTATGTCCTGAGTGACGGCCAGGCCTGCGAACGAGGAACGTCTGAGTCAAAAAAAGTCACATCTCTGTTCGCAGAATTGATTCTTCTACATGTTATTCAAGTTCTCTGGGTATTATAAGCATCAGAGCAAGGAGAGGATGGATGTCTTGTGACCACACACCCCATTGGATCTCCTCCATCCACACGGCCAAGGTGGAGAGAGACACGTTGAAGGCCGTGTTCTGCTGCGGGTACGTCGGGGTGATGATGGGCATCACGTGGCAACGGTCGCTTGGATTAATCTGGGAAATGCAGGGGAGCACAGTGAAATGACTCGTGTGGCTTTTATGAAAAATCCACCGAGGTTCAGAGCAACGCGGCTCCGGCCCGTGGCCTCACCCTGGAATCCCAAACTGGGAGGTTCATGTTGTAATCCTCCGGACGCTTCAGCTCAATTGGGACCGGCCACTTCCTGAGACGCAAAGAACTCATTTTCATCTGCGACTTTTTACCAAGCATTCGCACGCGGCGTCACTTTCAGAGTGGAGGGGAATAATAAATACCTAAACATTCAACCTATCCTGCCTTTGACAAATGTCAAGTTGTTTAACAAGCTCAAACAGCTTTTAATGGAAACCGGGCATTAACTGGACCCAACAGTGGATCTCAGTGCCAAATGACTTCTAATCAACCAAATTCTTTGTTTGTTTTTCATGTTTACAAAGTGGAGAGCTCACCACATGCTGTAAACTTTGAAGAACTTGTTGACCAGGGTGGACGCTGTGGCGTTCGGGTAGACCTGACAGATCCTGGCCACCAGTATGGCCCATGACACCCCCCCCAGGAAGCCCAGCATGCTGGAGTAAATGTTTCGCCCTGAAGAGAAATAAGAGGATGAGAAAATAAAGTCATAAATATCGCATGTGTGACCTTTATTTCACATTACAGCTGCTTCTGACTTTTTTTTTTTTTTTTTACTCCAATTTTGTTTTTTGCAAATGAAACACTGTCTGTTGTTGCAACAGTGTGGCTGAACTCACGTTTGGCCCACAGCTTGATGGCTCTCAAAACCAGTTTAAAGCTCTGCACATTCGGCACCGACCTCAGGATCTCCTCTGTGACTCTGTAGCCTACAAACAGCACAATTGCAAAAAGGTAAAGAAATAGCTGCGCAAGTCCGAGTCGTGCTGTCCCGCATCAACGCCGCCGCGATCCGCGCACCATTGAGACTCCTGATGCATGTGACGCTTGAGTTCTTCAGCAAGCTGTTGCTCAGATCCAGATTTTGGGGGATGCTGTTGCGATCCACGCTGGCAAAGAGTAAGTCAATCTAGGAAATAATCGGAGTGCCAGCAAAATCAAGACACATGCAAACAACTCTGGATTAGAGTAATGTTGCAGATTTTCTTTAGTTTACCTTAATCCCCTCATAAGACATTGTGATGACGGGGACACACGTGCTTTGAATGGTCTAAAGAAAACAATAGTCAGATATTTGGCCCCTGGGAGGAAAAATGCTCTTTGACTTAAACAATCACAGCAATAGCAATAAATCCGATGGACTAACCCGAATGTCTTTGACCTCTTTCTGAACCCTCAGCTTCTCAAAGAAAGAGGTGAAGAAGTCGTTTCTCTGGATGAATCTGGGTCCGACACAGAGGGCGTCAACATCATCACCTGTACGAACAGCACATACTCGTATAAAAAGGAAACACTCTGAGCCGTTTTCTTCACCACGTACAACTCGAGCCACAGTCGTATATGCTCGAGAAAAGAAACTGGCGATCACCTTTAGAGTCGACCCCCAGATGACGGGACCCGAATGTGAAGATCTTGCCTCCAACCTTTTCTGTCACATGATCAGGTATGTTCTAAAGCCAAAGAAAGTTACAATGTAAACTCTATTTATGCCAAAGCATGTTTACAGCATAGGCAGAATTCCTATGGATGTCTTACCAGCTCTTTGCAGATTTCTGTGAGCCACTCCTTAAATAGTGACTCCAGCTGTTCCACAGCATTCTCTCTGCAAACATTAACAGCTCGTTCAAATAGTGTTGTGTTAAGTTTGAGTTAAAAGCAAAACCATCACACTTGATCAACTTCATTCGGATCAGCAAGAAGGTACTTTAAAAAAAGCCCCCCTCTAGCTTGAATATGAAAACAATAATGTGGAGCCAATGGAAAAGGTGGATCGTACCTGCGCCGCAACTCCAAGTCGTCCACAAACGCATCACACGTGGCCAGAGTCTTGATCAGCTGTTCGGTCAGGATCAGCTGGTCTTCTGAAGGCTGATCCTCGCTGATGGGGCCGCTGATCCCGTACCGCCGGGGGGGCGCCGGGGGGGACGCATCTGGGCTCTTACGCGGACTGAAAGGGAGCGTTTGCGTGTTATAGCGTCGTTGATATCGTGTGCTGCGTATTGACAGCAGTTACAACATTTACCAAACGAAGACGTGCCCATCACCCTGGTTCACGTCTTTGGATAAAAACAACACATGGACGTTACTTACCGAGACATCGTTGCTTCAATTGATCGTTTTCTTTGTGGAAATATAATCTTTCTCTGTACGAGTCTGAGTGTTTGGACACAGAGTGAGTGGATTTCAGAACGAGCGAGTTTGTATCTTCTCGAACCGAACCTCAAAACGTAAGATCTTTTGCTTTTGAGGTCATTCAACTCTTTTTTTTGTGTTCTCTTTAAAGAAAATTATTCCAGATGTTACCCAGTGAAATGATTAGGTCCAAACTAAATGGTAAAATAAAATAGTCTATTTCGGGACAACGGCAACATATTTGAAGTAAAGTTGACACATCGTAGAAAAAGTGCAAAGAAAAAGTAAATAATCTGAGAGACTGAAGAAGAGATTTCATGCCAAACCTGCATTGAGTGCTTTGCAACTGAGTGTCGTTAACTGGAGATACAAAATACAAAGCAAAAGAAAAAATACAGACACATCCATATAATTTGACTTTGCAGAGTCTAGACCATTGTTTTTACTCAAGATAATTAAATTATGAGAAAACTAATCCTGTTTACCCTTAAGCTAAGGCTTCAATACTTTAACTTTTCCCCAATGCTAAACATGTGCTCAGCCTTAACTGTAGCTGTTTAAAGACGTTTGAATGAACGCATCCACCACACAAAACATCACGTTGTGAACTTTCTTTCTTTACACCATTCTCTTTACCAAAGGCAGTGTTTGGGCAGTGTTAACAATGTCAATGATTAGAATTATTAAAAAGTAAATTTCTTCATTGCACATATGCTATTTTTTATTTTGCGTCACAACAAGTAGTAGTATTAGTATTAGGTATTAGGAGTAGTAGGAGTAGTATTCATCACTTGATGTAAATGTGTGTATGCACATTACAATGTTTTGCATGAAAGTTGCTTTATTACATTTACAGCTTATTACCCATTAACGGGGGGCCTCCGCGCTGTGCGTAATTCCCTGCGCCTTTTCAGATTCCCTTTGCGCACGTACACCGTGCGTTACGGGTTCGCTCCGCACCCGGAAGCGCGGCACGTTCCCGCCTCTCTGCCGCCTTCTTCTGGCGCACAGGAGTCTAACTTCTGATTGCATATGGGCAACTTATTGACGTCAACCGTGCGCCGGTGATCGATTGCCGCTTCCCCGGGTAACGGCGTCGGTTCTCTCTGCGTTGGCGGTACCGCACGCGGAGGCTGAGCAGCGCGTGCACGGAGCCGCAGTCGGTCGGTGACATTGGCGCGTCGGTGGCGTTGTGGTTGCTGTGCACAAGTTGCTGTGTGCACGGAGCGGTTCCCCCTCCTCCCCCCAGAGGCTGCAACCATGAGCGAATACTTCAGCCTGTCGGACGGTGACGTTATTGGCTTCGACCTGGACCACACGCTCTGCCGCTACCACCTGAAGGAGACCTCCAGGGTGAGTGTGTGTGTGTGTGTGTGTGCGTGCAGCTAGCTCCGATACATAACCATACGGTGGCCGTGACGCTTCTATCCGCAACACATCTGTATTAAAAATAGCACGCGGCCGTCAATAAGCTGCACGGTCACTTTGCCAATCGGCTTTTTTCTTCTTCTCCCGTGCACCGATGCGTTGTGTCGAAAAACAAAAAGGCTTCTTGTTGTGCCTGAGTGGTTGGATGGAGGGAATGTGTGCCTGGGGGGGGGGCGGATCTCCACTCTCCTGGCGCTGCAGTCACTCTGCGTGACTCACGGGTTGAACCGCGGCGGTGGTGACCGTACGTGTCCGCCGGTGCTGCCCGGTTCCCGCCGGCCGCAGCGCCTCGATCGCCGCGGACTCACAGCTGGAATTCAGCGACGCGGAGTGACAGCAGCCCGAATGACTGCTGTTGAATAGGCGGCCAATCGTTACGGGCTGGTTCGTCGGGCCTGCTGGTCCCCGTGCATGTCCCACCTATGTCCCCTGTCACGGCTGGGACAGGGTAGGACATCTCCTCTGACTACCACTAATAGGATTTATGTCTGATTTGGTGAAAGAAATGAAAGGAAATGAGTTCAGTTTAAAGACCAATGCATATGTACGTCCTGTAATGCATAACCTACAGCAACTTGGATTATTTGATTTAACTGCAATAATTCTGCCATATATTCTTGAAACAAATAACTTTCACTGTATGTTGTGCTTCTTCTTTCTTCTTATCTCATATTTACTATAACACATTTATAAGATGTCACTGTTCAAATAAGTTGGGTGAAAGAAAGAAATACTGGGTGGCCAAACATAAGTGGGACTGAACGGAGAGCTTTCACTAATCAACTTGTCTAAAACCACATAATTTGGTGTTGATGTACGCGGCATGCCTCTGCTGATCGCTCAGAAAAATAAAGTAAAATATGATCAAAATATACAAGCAAGAATTAACAATATAAACCATACGTTAACACAGGTGAGAGAAACTTCTCTGCATTGATATTGCTATTTCCTTTTTGTTTTTGCAGCTGATCTATGAAAGTTTTGCCAGATATCTGGTGGAGCATAAAGGCTATGACAAGGACCTGCTGAACCTGACCCCTGCCACCTGGGATTTCTGGTGAGTCAGCGACAGCAGTACTTTATCTTTTACATGTAGTATAATGACCTACCTGTTTATGTTCCTTCCTAAAATCCTTCCTGCATCATACGTTGTTTTATCCAAATGATTTTTAAGGTAAATAGTTGTTAGTGTTTTCTAGTATTGAAACTGCTGAGTAAAATGTGTCCAGTGTGGTGCAACTGAAGCTTTGTGTCTTCTCGAATGGTAGACAGCAGTGACGATGTGTTGATATACTGTATTTCTAACATGCAACATGTTGTGTCCAGCTTTAAGGGACTCGTGGTGGACCTGGAAGATGGAAACCTTGTGAAGCTGGCTGAGGATGGAACTGTCTTGCGGTATGCTCTTTCGTGCATGAGAAGACATATTAGCTCGTCAGTTACTTTGTCAAAGCTGTCAGTGCTAATACTGATCTTTAAAGTGTGTTAATAGGAATTTTCATCTCTTGGTTGATTAGAGCTACTCATGGAACCAATGACCTCAGCACAGAAGACATCATCAAACATTATGGCCCAAAGAGGGAGTGGAAACACTTCAACAGCCTCAATACCTCCTTCACAAGATCCGGTAGGATGTTTATATCTGTCTTTATTACCTATGATCTGTATGTTGTTTGCTCTTAAGTAGGCTGAGGTGCCTTTCTTCACATCGCCCGTCACCAGATGTCATTGACTCTCTTACTTTGGTCTTTGCAGCAAAATACTATTTCTATGACAACTACTTTGACCTACCTGGGGCTCTCCTCTGTGGAAGAGTTGTCGACATGTTGCGCAAGGTAATATTTTCTAAGGTATAGTTACACATTTCTAATTGCCATTGGGGAAAAACATATTCGACTTCAACTTTCATGTTTTTGTCAACAGCGAGGGAATGAGGTGAATTCCGACTTTTGGAAAGACATGGTTGCTGCCATCGACCACAACTACAACACGGCTGCGTTCAAAGGTACAGTTTTTAATCCAAAGCAGAAGAGTATATGGCTTACTTCTAATGGACCTGTACTGTGAATAAGAACCACACACACACAATACACAAGATAGCTTTGTTTTTCAAACTAGTTTTATTCTGTGTTTTGGTCAGCAAGCGGTACATAACTTAACACATCCAATCGGACATAGTTGTTTAAAAAAAAAAAGATATGCCGTTTGAATTTCTCAATGTGTGTTGTTTTACTGATCACAGTGCTTGTGGGAATGTACTGATCTTTAATTACATGTAATGCACAAGTACATGGGATCCCCGTTTTGTTCATTTTTTGTATGTATATCACAGGAAATTCCTTAACAACAGACATTAATAAAAACAAACACAAAAAGCACCATTTAAAAGACCTTCCACTATGTTTCATGTTTCTTGGAACTACAAAGGCACACACATGGTGAAGTGGGGAAAGGGATCAATTGAAACCATTTGTTGTAGTCTTCATTACACCTCAATAACAAGTCAATTCCCTTGTTGGCAAATTATTATTTTTATTGTAAGATCTGAATGGCAGTTTTTATTTTTTCAATCTACCACCTTGATTTGGAATTTAGAAGTAGTTCAATGGTTGTAAGGTTTTGAGGTTTTACTTGGTTTAGCGGAATCACGTTGAGGCAATCAAGAACCCAGAGAATGCGCAATGAACATTATCTGCTGCAAATACACCATTACTGTCCTCATCGGGGACCTGGACATAGACTCTGTCACCGTCATTCAACATAAGAACAGTACTGCCTGACATCTGATCCAGGAAGCCTTTGTTGTACTCATCATAGGTGAACATAACTGGCTCCTCGTTTTTGTAGAGGGCAACTAGTGCATTGGCACCATTGACATGCATATGATAGCTGAAATAGTAGAGGCCTGGGATCTGACAGGTAAACACACCACTTTGCTCATCATAATGGTTCTCCCCATTGTACACAACCTGGTTGAACGGAATAGGGGTTGCAGCTTGGGGGTAGGCTATGGTCAGCACAGCACTGAAGGCGGACATCGGGGCTTTTACCATCTCATGAGACATCACAACCTCGTGGGACTTCATTGGCATGCTCTTCTCATTGTGGTAGACCATCTCTCCTGGTGGGCCAGGAGCACCAGGAGGACCTGCAGGGCCTGGGTAACCATCTTGACCTTTGGGACCAGGAGTTCCAGGTGGACCCCGAGGACCAGAAATTCCCTTAGCTGTTATGCCAGCAGGGCCAGGTGGGCCTGGGAAACCCGGATGGCCCTTAACTCCAGTGGGACCTGATGGACCGGGGGGCCCAACTGGTCCCATAGATCCTGGTCTTCCGTTCTCACCACCTTTTCCTTGTCCTCCTGAGGGCCCTGGGTGTCCTTTTAGTCCAGGAGCACCATTTGCACCTGGAATCCCTGGAGGACCATCATGGCCTTGCACACCCTTTTGTCCTTGAGGACCATTATGCCCTGGAGGTCCTTGAGGACCTACTGCTCCTGTAGAACCTGGCTTTCCAGTGAAACCTTGAGCACCCTGGTCACCCTTGGTTCCCCTCGGCCCTGGTGCACCTACCATACCAATGTCGCCTTTGGATCCTTTCGGGCCAACCTCACCTGGGAATCCCCTTGCACCCTGTGGACCATGTGGGCCAATAGGACCTAGAGCACCTGTCTGACCAGTATAGCCAGTTGGGCCTGGCTCCCCTTTCTGACCAGTTGTTCCTGGAGTACCAGGTGAACCTCTGCTTCCTGGTAGTCCAGTAGCGCCCGTGTGGCCAACACCTGGCATGCCAGGTGAGCCTGGTTGACCAGCTGGACCTTGTGGACCTTTAGAACCCATAGGTCCAGGCATACCGGGGCTACCATTCTGGCCTGGTTTCCCTGATGCTCCTATTCCTGGAGCGCCAGTGTGACCCTTTGGTCCTGCCATACCCATTGCCCCAGGAGCGCCATCTCTTCCTGGCACACCACCCTTGCCGGGCTCTCCAGGATAGCCAGTGGCACCAGGTATACCAACTCCAGATTTGCCAGGCATTCCAGGTGGGCCCATTGGTCCAACGCCACCTGGTGCTCCTTGAGCCCCAGAAACTCCAATGCCTCTATCTCCTTTGGCTCCAGGAAGACCGGGAACACCAGGATGTCCCTTCAAACCAGGCTCGCCTCTTTGTCCCACTGCCCCAGGGTAGCCAGCTGGTCCAGGTTTTCCACTTGAAGAAAGTCCAGCAGGTCCAGGTGTTCCATGTGGACCAGGTGCACCTCTGGCACCCATGGGTCCAGTTGCGCCAGCTTCCCCTTTCTGACCAGGGAGGCCAGGGCTACCTGATTTTCCATAGCCACCTGGGGAACCAGGTTTACCAGCTTGAGAGTAACCAGGGGGTCCAGGAGGACCTGGAGGGCCTTGTTGTCCAGGATGTCCTGCACCACTCTTTCCAGGAGGTCCATATGGCCCCATTGGTCCTGGCTCACCTGGAGGACCTGGAGGACCTGGATGGCCCATAACGGCTAGGAAAATAAATAGACATGTGATGCAATTATTCTGATTATATATACAACACAGGTTGTAGAGTTCAGGGTTTTTTCTTTAGATGTATTTGGTTAAGTTTGATGTGTATGATTGGATTTAGTAAACTGTTTCTAAAAATGTGACTAGACAGTACTCCCCACGTTGCCTTGAAAATATTATGATCAAGAAATAGCTTCATTTTAAATGGTCTTTTTAACGTTTTAAAGCATTATGTAAGATGCCCCTTGGTCATTGAATAACACAGCCCCCTATTATTGCAGGCCTGGTTGTGACAGCATTCCTCTTTCCCAGGATAGTCTTCACAGCACCACTGGTTTGAGGTGATGTTTACACAAAGCTTACGCCCTTTGGCATGAGAGCGGCTCCTGTGAATTTTTGTATAATTTACCTACACAATACTGCACCCACTAATTGTCTGCACTGCTCATAGCATGGAATGTAGTTCGTGGTCTGCAAGTCGTCAACATCCCTCTGCTGCACATCCTGCCACATGTGTGGAGTTTACGGGCAAGGGCAACTTGGTGTAAAGCACAAAATTGTTATTTTACTGGAATATTCTCTCTAATCTATATTTATCAATAAAGTCAACATAAGAACAACCCCACCCTATAAAACCATGATGCGGTAAGTGGAAGAATTGTTTTTTCCCCTTTCTGTTTATTTTTTGAATCGTAGAGCTTACTTTGATGCTTGACAGGAAAGAGACAAAGCAAAATCAGGAGACAGAGATCAGGAATAGCTTGCTATAAAGTAGCCTGGTCGGCTTCCAGGGAACTCCTGGTGCCTTAAACCCTGGGCCAACAAGGCCAGTGCGCTTTTTCTCCTAAATTGTACATCATTTTATTTTATCCTTGTAGGAAATTGTGATATATATGTGTGTACGTGTGTTGTTGTGTATGCATATCTATGTGGACCCTTTTATAAATACACTGTGTGTATATGTATGTATGTATATGTGTGTGTGTATAAGTATATATATATATATATATATATATATATATATGATGCTTGAACATCAAAAAGGCATATCTGAGAATCATACGCAAATAACATTTGTCCTCTTGACCTCTCTTTTTCAAATGTGGTTTTGAGTTCAAAAAGGCTGTTATTTTAAGCCACATTAGGACGTGCTTGAAACCCCACAGAGGACATTTGTGCCAGAAGTGGACTTTTCGGCAGCCACAAACTTGAGGTGATACTCCTGCCCAAAGTACCTGAAACTTGAATGACCGGTTAACACTGCAAAGCACTACTATGCTCATATTCAGAGTGGCAATTCTATCCATTCCTATTTCCGTTTAAAAAACACAGCCCATGGAGTTTCTGCAGTAAACTTGCCGTGGTTTGTTTGTTGGATTCACTTGTTGATCTGTGTTTTTCTGCGGTCTGTGTTGAGCTTTTTTCTAATTATGTGGTGTGAATTTGAGACCACAAAGCAGTTTGTTAGGGTGTGCCTTCAACGTGCTAAAAACATCTGCTTGGGAAATCACAAGATTTTATGCGCTTATTGTTGCGTTTCTGTTCTAATTTTACGTTAAGTCACGCGAACAAACTATTACGTCTTCAAAAACAACTGAAAAAATAAAGAGTGTCAAAAAGCAGAATTTGAATGTTTGGTTGGGATATAATATATTGTTATTCATGAACCTGGCAGTTACACCACTGGTTTAGGTTTTGTGCAGAACGTGGTACCTCGTACGTGGCTAACTGATTATCGTTCAGGCCTTTTGGTTCCACGGAGCAAGTTTGGCAAAATCGCCATAGCAACACATGTCTCATAAACTGTCCCACAGGATGTACATTTCTGTACCGTGTTGCTCTGCAGAGGACATTGGGAAAGCCGCTGCATGCCATGCTTTTTGTAAAGTTCTGTTTGATTATTTTGCGCTTAACAAACTTATGGATGTTCCATGTTTCACTGATTAAATTGATCAAATTTCTGTATGTATTTCTACATACATACTGAATTGCCCATACACAGATTTGCACTCGCATATTGTGCATATATATCAAACTCCTAGTTCTATATCGCCATCTACACATACATGTATACACACATATATGTGATACACAAGCGCATATCGTACATTTTGTTGAAACACGTACGAGGAACCGAGCCCTTCCTTCCTTAACCTTTATTTTTCCAGAGCGCTTGTGCTCTTTTACATTTATTGTCCACATGCCAGTTCTAAACGTTCACAGCAGTTCAGCCAGTTCAACCACAGCCTCTTGCTTTCAGCCAGTGGACCCCTGCACGGGACGTCCTGGGCGTGCACCCTGATGCCAGTTAATGAAGGAGGGCGGGAAATGGGCCGCCTCATTTACTGATGTGAGCCCACAGTTCGCCGGGTTGCACAAGAGCTGATCTTACAGATCAGGACTAGTGGTGATCAGAATGGTGACTAGGCCAACCGTTTTCTATCGGCAATTAGGACATTTGTGTGCCATATATTCCGGGCTTCACAAGTCACGATTTTCAGAT